GGTGTGATCGCGCCTAGAAACCGCGCCTCTTGTCCGAGCCGAGCGCCGATTGGTTCGTTTGAATCTCGTGTCCCTTGACCCGGAAGCGCTTCGCGATCTCGCGGCCTCAGCATTCTGCAGCCGTTTCGCAGGCCTCATTCAATGTGACAACAAAAAACATCAAACTTGTGTCCTCTGCATTAATTAGCAAGGCGACTGGTCACCGACGACTGGCTGTCCGAGTGCGTGCTAGGGACCTGGGCGCTCTGTCCGATAACAAGGCAAGTCCCTGGCGGCGCGGCGGCGGCGGCGTGTGTGGCCGCGAGCGAAGGTCGTTTCAGGCGAGCCGCAGGCTTCAGGACGGGAGGCGAGGAGGCCCGCACGTGTTAAAGATTTTTATTTTTTAATTCAGAGTTATCAAAGTGCTCATTGGTGTTTATGTACGGCTTTGATCAATTGTGTTGGGGGAGAGGAGGGTGTTAATGATGTTGTGTGCGGTTCCTAGTCGCATAGGTGACGAGATCGTTTCTGAAAAATAAGTTACTACCTCGGTGGGCTTTGCCTGGTGGAGAGGGGGATGGTTTAGTTTAATTTGTACGCGTTTGAGTGGTTTGTTTACCTTTACTATGCACTACTATCATGTTCTTGTATTGTTGTAACGTTCTTATCGGCTCCTACTGGACATGTGTGAAATATAAGCTTAATAGCTCATCGTATTCCAGTATAAATAACATTCTGATTCTGAAGGAACGAGGGGTTTTTGAATCCGAGCGAGGGACAATCAATAGGGAAAAAAGTAAGGAGACGGACATGGACGGATACAGTCCGATGCTTCGCAACTTATGAGCGTCTCGTTCGCCACACTTAACACATTTCACCCTTGGTCCAAGTTAACCCGTGCGGTGCTCCGCGTTCTGCAGCAGCAGCAAGCACGCGGCTGTGGAACGATGACCAACTCGAGTGAGTTCAAGCTGAATCAAAGCCCCGAGGATGGCATCACGGCCGTCAAGTTTGGACCCAACTCGTCGCAGTTCCTGCTCGTGTCGTCGTGGGACTGCACGGTGCGGCTGCACGACGTCACGGGCAATACGCAGCGCGTCAAGTACACGCACGCGGGGCCCGTGCTGGACTGTGCCTTCCAGGTACCCGCAAATGTTGCCTTTGTTGCGTTTCTCTGCGTTTGAATGCGCACTGCCGTTTAGGTACAGAGTCTTGTGTGTTGCACTGTTAATTGCACTGCAAGTGGATACATTTTAATGGGGTCTGTGGGATCACACCTTTACTACGATGTCCTCATACGAGCTTTTGTTTATGAATGTGAAGTCACAATGGCGCCGCCAAACTTATACCGCTTGAACCCACATTGTATCACGTCCCACAAATTCTCAGATCCCTACAAATTGAAATGGGCTACATATTCAGCCTCACTTTTTAAAATCCGAAATGGTCTTTGCTCCATCGCATCTCTCCCCGCACATATTACTCAATACTCTCCTGCTGACACCCTTCACTCCAGCACTGAGGCCTCTTGCTGAAATTTACTCAACTCAAAATTGTGAGGTTGATTATTCTGCTGTTGCCTCCGAAATTGAAGTAAATTGGATACCAAACCATCCACATTTTATTGATTCGAAAGTGTCGAGCTAATGTGACTATAGCTTCAATACTGCCAACAGTAATTAGATGGGGAGGCAGATGGATAATGGCAAGCCGATTGATGTGAAAATGTTGACAGACAGGCAGAAAATCTACGAGTCAAAGAAGTGATGATGAGATTGGTTGAGAACTCAAGAGACCAGAATAGTCTCACTTTCAAGAATCACCTGGGGCATTAGTGTGCCAGTCGGAGTGATCATTGCTATATAAATATAAAATCCGAATTTAGTAATTTGTGGGCAATTTGACATCATTTACATTTGGAGCAGATGGCGCGTAGTATTACGGTTATTACACGCGCAGTAATAACTCGAGCTGCTGCTGGATTTGAACCATGAACCTCTGCAACAATCTGCGAATGCGCTAGGCCATGTCACCACTATGTATGGACCTAAGATGGATTCTGATTTTTGGCAGGACATGACACATGCGTGGAGTGGAGGCCTGGACAACACTGTTAAACTGTACGATCTCAACTCTGAACAAGGTATGTCGCATGCTGTGTGTTTTCTTTGTTGGCTTTTGCACACTTTTATTTTTGCACTGTATGGTGTATAGCATGCATGGGTACCCACAGCGCTTGTTTGAGAGTCCCATTTTGCTGCTTTTGCCCTATTAGAAATCATGGTTGGCACGCACGAGGCGGCAGTGCGGTGCGTCGAGTTCTGCCCGGAGGTGAACGTAATGGTGACGGGCAGCTGGGATCAGACGGTGAAACTTTGGGATCCCCGCACACCGTGCAACGCTGGCTCGTTCCCCCAGCCCGAGCGGGTAACAATGCACATCGACCTCCCTGCGAAGAAGGGCATCACTCAAAATGTTGTCCTGTTACAATTACATCTCATTCTTCTAGGACCAAATATAGAGTTACACTTAGATGTTTGCAATGAAAGATACATTCAATATGTGGTAAAAAAAAATTATCACGGTTGCTGAGCACAATCCTAAAATGCCAAGTGAGTAGGAATTTTCTTTTTAAGGTGTAATAGTTCATGTTTCTTGAATTGATAAAGGTTTTAAGAACTTTAAAACATTGACGATGGGAGTGAATTCAAAAGTCGAGCAATGTGAGGAAAGAAACAGAAAGACAAGTGTTTTTAGCACAGTATGAGATGAAACAGCGTTGTAGACTGAGCCATCAGCATGGGTGGAGGAGTCCATTCTGTGTAAGAATAAGATTGATGCAAATTTTGTATAAAGCGAAATGTTATATTGAGGCTCACGGAGTAAAGAAAATTGTACACAATTCTGCTCGGCAGCATTAACTCGCTGTTGCCTCTGAACCCCGCCGTGATCGCTGCGCCCGGGAAGGTGTACACGATGGCAGTGTCGGGCGACCGCCTGATCGTGGGCACGGCCGGGCGGCGCGTCCTCGTGTGGGACCTGCGCAATATGGGCTACGTGCAGCAGCGTCGCGAGTCCAGCCTCAAGTACCAGACGCGCTGCATCCGCGCCTTCCCCAACAAGCAGGTGCGTGCACGGACTGTGTCCCACACGGTCCCAGTACAACTCTAATGTTTTTTTCGGGTTGTACTGTGTGTCGTTTCAGTTCATGTTGCTGAGAGCTTCTTCGGGAACTGAATAAATGCATTGAATTTTCCTGTTCGTGATGCTCTTTTCCACCTCTCGCCAACCGTGTTGCTCAAAATTTATGAGAATGATGGAATACGCGTAGATATTCTCAAGCTGTAGTGGGACCGGTACAGTGTATTGGTCATTTCTGAACATTCTCCGTGATGGGGGTGCTCTTGTCCACAAAATTCAGGCCACTCGACAGCATTTGATTCACATGCCACACACTGCTGTTGAGATTGGAGAAAACTACAGTTGCGTATAGATCAGTGACAGTGTTGGTTTTTTTGTTGCAGGCTTACGTGCTGAGCTCCATCGAGGGCCGAGTGGCCGTCGAGTACCTGGACCCGAACCCTGAGGTACAGAAGAAGAAGTACGCCTTCAAGTGCCACCGCCTCAAGGACAACGGCGTTGAGCTCATCTACCCTGTCAACGCCATTGCCTTTCATAATGTGCACAATACCTTCGCCACCGGTCAGTAGCACTTCCAAAGTGTGTGTGTGTCATTAAATCGGTGTTCTTCACATATGATGGGTGGGGGGGGGGGGCGCTACACATTTGAAACCATTGGGTTTGACAGCATGATGGGGGATGTTTTCAAATTTGTGTAATGTCGGGGGGCCGTAAGTCAGAGACTACACTTAGGGCCACCAGGGGCCGCCACTGGCCTGTGGGCCTTGAAATGAAGAACACTGGACTAAATATTTCATTCGCGGCTGCATTTGCTAGAACAAAATGTAACATGTTTTTATTCAATTCACAGAGTTGGGTATACTCTTAATGTACCACTGGCTGATTGCTTTTGTGGCTTCCCAGGTGGCTCGGACGGCTTTGTGAACATCTGGGACCCGTTCAACAAGAAGAGGTTGTGCCAGTTCCACCGCTACCCGACGAGCATTGCGTCACTCGCCTTCAGCATGGACGGCTCCATGATTGCCATCGCCTCCTCCTACATGTACGAGCAGGAGGACATCGTACACCCCGCCGATGAGATCTACATTCGCAACGTCACCGACGCCGAGACCAAGCCCAAGTGAGTGCCCGCTGCCTCTGTGCGCTAGTTGAGTGCACAGCACCGCTCATGAGTTGGAAAAGTAATTTAATAGAACGACTTTTTGTGTTTAGTTTGTTATCCTTTCTCCGCACCTTCGATTAGCACGGATTTCTACATATGGTGCGAAAGTAATTCTACATACATACGCCATTCCTTGTATATCGTGAGAGTTATTTGACCCACAGCTTGGTGAAGGTGGGGAGCAGAGCCATGGAAATAAATCGTACGATTTATTTTGTTGTACTGCCCTCTAATGGTCATCACATAGCCTGTCTCCAATAATTTCAGTAATTAAAAAAGTATATAATCTGTGAGAAATAAAAATATTATTCGAAGTGTCATGCAACAACATTTTTTCCAATAGCAGGGTGTGTGGGAAAGTAAAACTTTCAAGTTTTTTTCTTTCTAACCAGGTGAAAACGCAACAAACCAAGGGTAGTCTCATTTGTAAGAGTGACCTACATCACCTAATTTTAAAAAAAGCTAAATAAAAGAAGGTAAAGCAGTGGAGTGAAGAAATTAGAGCAAAAACACCATATGAGGAGTTAAACATTTTTTTAAACCTCTAGTGTGCATATAAAAAGGTCACTTCAAGGGATATCAAAATAAGTTGTGTGAAAACATGACTATTTTCTAGTATATGGGCTTGTATTGCTTTTGCAAGAGTTCTGAGTGGATTTTTTTTATCACATTGCGCGTTGGCACAATGGACTAACATTGTGGAAAAAAGAGCACAACGTTGCAATCATCTGGGTTTCATTTTCATGAAAGTCATTGACATTGGTCAACTCCGCCGAGCGCGGGTGTTCACGAAGACTGAATCATCGTTAAACCGATACCCGATGCGGAGTGGTTAAAATCACCGCTGGGAATTTCAGAGGTTGCATGGCATGGTGTTAGTCCCACCACCGCTTCAAGCCACATGCTCTCCAAAGTCATCCAGCATTGTCTTTGCTTACACGTATGTGAGCACACTCTTGATTGTGCTCACTTGCAGTCATCTGTGTTTGATTAGCATTTTTGTGCGAGTATATTTGACGCTTGCATAATTCACACCATAGCGTAAAATGGAGATCTTTCGCACATTGCGTACCAAATGTTTTATTTTTCTTTCTACAAAGCTCAAATATGCTTTGAAATTTTAAGTAATAAAAATGTGAGATAATTGATTCAGTCTACAATGAACCATTGTCTGGTGGCAAACAGCACTTTACATAATACAATGTTTAGCATATAAAAAAGCAGAAAAATCACAGGTCAAGCGTTTAAATCACTGAACCAGTTACTAGCTATACAACACATACAGCAGTATCTTCCTACGTCACAATCTACATGTTATTAAATGTTTTTTTTTGTCATGGTCCATTATATTATTGCAAATGGAAATATTTTCAGGAGCTAATTGCCAATGTCGAGATCTTGTTGCCATTAGAGTGCTTCAGGAGAGAGTTGGTGCAAATGTATTATTCCATTCAAGATACGCGGACTAAAGTGGTTTACTATATGGTCAATAGTTTGGGTTGCATGGCCAGTCACATTGTGGCTTGTCTTTAACTTTCCATTCTTGAAGGAGATGTGCGCAGCGGCCTGTTGATGATTCGGATGTGGTTGATGGTTATACCAGTGTCTTCAAGGGATGTCAAAGCCAGGAGGTGCAATGTTTGGGTCTCGAAAGAGGTGTTTGTTCTGGACGTCGGCGTTCGTCTGTCCGCCAGCCTTCTTTCTGCATATTGTCCATTCTACCAATGTAATAAGATGGCTTACCTATTACATTCAGACCAAGCTTTTTTTCTGGTGTAGATTGTATAGAGTCTGGTTGTCTTGAGCTTGCAAGACAGTTCTTCTCATATACGTTTATTCAGCATTATGCCAACACTAGATTTCCTTGAGAAATTTGCACTTGCCGCTAGTCCCCGCAGTTTATCCATTTATTTTATTAGCACTTTCCAATGAGTCCCAGGCTGCTGAACAGCACTGGAGGACCTCACTAACATATACTGTAAGAAATGTTATTCATTTGGGGTTTTCTTTACTTGCTTTTGAAAAAATGTTTAATTAGGTAATGTAAAAATGCTAGCGTTGTAAGTAATGATTTGGTGCTTTGTTTTTTTCCAGGTCGTCTTAGGGGGAATGATCCAACGTAACACCAGAAGAGCACGACTCTACATCTCCACTATCTCTCCTGCTTTATGATCTCCTTTGTGACTTTTTCAAATTATTTTCTTCTAGTATGAAGCACTGTTCGGCTTGACAAATGGGATGTTGCAGATTATTCATTTGGTCTTTTGTAAATGTCTTTCCAAGAGGCAATTCACAGTCCCTGCATCACTGTGCTTTGACCGTTTGCCAAGATTCTGCCGCACATTTTGTTTATATTTTCTTTCAAGTACTTGCAGTCCATATGTCGAGCTTCTTTCACACCGTACATAGTCAACCGTGCATTGGTAGTTGTCCCTATCAATGCATGGCGCGTGTTTGAATATAAGTGTTGTAAGTGTTTGAAGCAAGGGACGTTTGCTCATAAAAACAGCTGTCACAGAACATCTGTTGCTCAGCTGCACCATCGCTGTTATCCAGTAAAGTGTACTGGATAACAGCTGAGCACAGATTTTAGTTATAAGCAATGCAGACCTTTTTTAACAAAAGGAGCTGATAAAATGAAGGCAGCATTCCGATAAAGTTTCTTAGATGTGCACACAATGCGTATGATGTGCAATGGTGTTTTTTTGTCAATACTTAAGGTTTTATTTTAAGAATCGGTAAATTGTGGCTTTTTAAAACTGGTTACACAGCAAAATGCAGGGGCCCAGTGAATTGTACTCCATAGGGAACATTTTCTTGCGTCCTTTGACCACAAAGCTGTCACTTTCAAAGTTACGTTCTTTACAATTTCCCTCTATCTAATGCAACACAATTTTCACACACTTTTGCGTAAACATGTTTAAAATGTACCCGTTTACATTTAATAAAGAAAAACAAATAAGTATAAACAGCTAATTCTTACGTGTGTTTATTCTAAATCCACATTCGTGAAATGTGATGGAGCAGACTCGAGTGAAGAGGGTGCTTCACCTATAGACTGGTCTTAGAATTTAGAGAGCATGAACATTTTACGTGAATATAGCTGATATTTAATACAAAACTAAATAATTATCTGCCATTGTGCATGGAACAGTGAAGCTATGTACATGGCGCACTGGGTGTTGGTGTGACATTCAGATTTTCTTAATTTTACCGATTTGATTCGATGTGAGCTGCGATAATCTTGTGAATATAAGCAGATATGAGGACTAAACTGAAATGTCTGGACCTTTTGAACTACTGCTGCAAATTCTCAAGATACGTCGCGTGAAGATGTGTTTTTTCTTTGCACATTCTTCAAACCATGAATGAAATGTTCTGTATTGGTCAATAAGATTTTTATGGTGGAGTATCGTAACAAACAGGCCATAACGATGGCACTTTACTAGAGCAGTGAGCTATTCACTTTTTTTCTTTTCCGAGGCCATGAAAAATATAGTTTATAAAAGAATGCAGTGCATACGGTGACAATTACACTAATCATAACAGCTTCTTAATTCACAATAGTTTGAGATTAAGATGTGAATCGTAGCGGTCCTCCTGATAGGGCGGTGTTCTTCATTGCAAGGTCCACAGGCCATTGGTGGCCCCTGGTGGCCTTTAGTGCAGCCTCCACGAATATGAAAACACCACATCATGCTGTCAAACCCAATGGTTTCAAATGTGTGGCGGCCCTCACTGATGTCTTATCGGTAAAAGTGGCCCCTCTCTGAAAATTTGTGAAGAACACTGATGGGGGGGGGAGGTGGCAGACGAGAGGATGGACCAAGGACCAAGGACCAAGCCCCGCTATTGGCTGAGTAGCACGCGGCTCACATGGGTGATGGGCACACGTGAGTCTGCAGCTTCCCCGCAGCCGCGGAAGGTCAGAACAGCGCTGGCGGGCAGCACAGTGATGCCAGCCGAGGGGCGCCACGCCCAGCCGTCTGTGCCACGTTCATACATCTGCACGGACACCTGGTGTACGCACGGGACACAAAGAACGGTGCTTTACAGTACGTCGATATGCCTGCCCATCCCATTCAGTACGCGGAAGAAATGTAAATATGCGTCGGTTTAAAATCAATGCTTTATGAGCATCAGTGACCACAACAAAAGCACATCAAATTTGGCTACATTTTCTATTCTGATAAAGATATCGTTTGATTGTTGTGCGACAAATATTGTCACCGGAGTGAAAGTGCTGCCCCCCTATTGCATAGTACAGGTCATGCCATAGTTTTGTTCTCTAACATGGGGTACAGGGACTCCTACTTACAATCATTTTACTTAAGAATTTCAGAGATACGAACAAACCTGTCTGTATGTTCAGTTGCCTGTTCGGACCGAGAGTCGGAAGTTCAACTGCCATGCAATAGATGGTGGTGGTGGGATCTACATCTGCAGAACATGGATAACCAGTGGCATCTACAGGAGATTATACAACTTTTAAAGCCAAATCATGAAATCGCTGGGAGGGCTACATCTTCACACACCTTGCGAATTATCTGGCAGATAATCTGGCAGACCCACCGTGGGCATGTACCCGAGCAGCGCCCACAGATAGCCCAGGATGGTGCTGTGCTGGTGCTTGAACTCCAGCGTCTCGATGTGAGCGCGATCCATGCCGAGGTGGGAGCAGCTGTGGAAGTCGCCCAGAAGGCGGCGTCCACCCTGCAGCTCCAGCACATCCCAGGTGCCCAGGGCGCGCAGCCCGGCCCGCGCTCGCCGCACAGCATCCGCCGACAGCCGCCCTGCGCACCAGTGGGTAAAATACATCCTACATTGCAGTGTTCTTCATTGCGAGACCCGCGGGCCACTGGCGGTCCCTGGTGGCCTTTATTGCAGCCCCCGACAATACACAAATGTGTGGCGGCCCTCGCAATGATGTCTTGTTGGCGAAAGTGGCCCGCCTCTGAAAATTTGTGAAGAACGCTGCTATATTGTATTGGTGGAGCACGGAAGGCCCGTGGATGGGGGGTGAGCGCAGACGATCTTTATTTGTGTATTTATAACAACTGACAAGCAAGCTACTGCGGAGTAGAACAAGCAATGGGGCCTTTCGTCAAATGCTTCCCATCAACAGCATAGGAGCGGCGAGTCTGGTGGTGCTCCCTATGTACTCCGTGACCTAGCTCACTAAGAGAGGGCAAGTTGTCAAAATGCTATCACAGGTGAACCATTGAACGGCAGCAACGAAGACGTTCATCAACTTACAGCCAATGCTGTTGAATGGCTAAAGAACGTGGGCACTAATTAATAACGTTCGTTGCTGTTTCAAAAATCAGTTGCTTGTCCGTGTAACATTGCTGTACAGAAGGAGAAAACTGACAAGGACGTGCTCAGTAAGGCAAGAGGCCCAATGATGTTTGCCTCTCGGCAAAGATAAATCGGTACGGTAAGTCCTCGCTTCACGTGTGTTCACACTGCGCGTTTTCACTATAACGCGGTTCACCCATTGGGGAACACTTTGCACAACGCGGGACGCGCCTGTTGTAAGGCGGAACGTGCACCGTTATAGCGGAGTTTCTGAGCGGTCAACGACAAACTACTTTTTTGAGCTGCGCAGCTTTGCGGATTAATACAGTTCGCGCAGTGGTACAGTAACGCGGCAGTGTCCCTTCAGTTATTTGTCCCACCATCTCACTCTGCGTACATCGCATCTCGCCAAACTTTACCGTTGCATTATGGGGAAATAGTTTTTGTTTAACATGGCACTTTTCAGGAACCTGTCTCCCGTGTTAAACGAGGACTACCTGTAATGCACAAGGCGCGAGTGTCCCTATCCGCGGTTGAAGCACCCTTGTGTGTTTGTGTGCGAGCGTTGTCTTGATGGTCACTGTGCTCCTTTACCGTTGAGCCAGTGCGGCGTGAGCGAGTCGGTAACCCGCGCCATCCACCCACGTTGCAGCGAGCGGACGAAAGCGGCCACCTCCGCGGCCGGGACCACCACCGGCTCAGGCTCCGTGCTGGGGATCAGCTCCGTGCTGGGGACCTGCAGTTCGCATGCCGGGTTGAGCAGCAGCAGGCGGGCGTGCACGGTCTCCTTGTGGAGCTCCACCCCGAGACCGCTTAGGTGCTTGCGCAGTTGCTCGCTCTTCAGCTGCAGAGCGGTCCCGGGTCGGCCATACGGATGAGTGGGAAAGTGTGGTCATCAGGCATTCAAAGGTGGGCAATGCAATGCGTTTCGAATTGACACTGCGTCTCCATGTGATCGCATCTCAAGACGCTGTGCAGAAACAGTGAGCATATTGAACTAACCGCCCTCGCTGAGATTCTATACATTGCCGTGATTGGAATGTAACTTCTTTCAATGTTCCCTACTGCCAAGCTTGCAGGACAGGCGGTGAGACACCTAATGCCCTAAGGGACAGCTGCCACTCGGGAATGGCCCTTTTTAAATGTTTAAAGTGCTCTGAGATGTCCCGGGGTGTAGGAGGGAGCTCTTGCAAAGCAACATTATTATTATTAAGAACTGATTATACTGTATGCTTATATTGTTGTATGTATAATGAGAATAATAGTTTTAATATATACACATTGTTACGCGCATAGTAGTCATAAACAATTACAATATAGACAAGTAAATTAACCAATTTCCGTTCAAGAAATATTTTGCCTGTGGAGGGAAACCAGAGCACCCTGGCTAAAACCCACACGTAGCATGTAGTAACACTTGCTTGCTGTAGCCCCATCTCCTGACCACCTCGCACCCTGGCAGATTCGGGAGTCTCTTAAATTTGCGTGATCCACCTACACTTGCCTTCAGAGCGCTAGATTAGAGGTGTGTGCCACCGCACCCAGCGTTGATGGCAAGGCTTCGCTGGGGGGCATGGAGGTTTGTTTTTGGGGATGTCTATCAAGCGGCTGGTCTGAATTATCCACTAACTATGTTTTGCCAACATTCCGAATCCACTGGCTCTGCAGAGAACCATGTGGTTTATGTGACCGTAATCACGTGCGCAAATGGGGGAAAAAAAATCGGTGCATGCAAGTGCAACTGTTTCGGTAAACACTTCAACAATTTTCTAGTATTACACCACAATTGCAGGGAATTATCCCACCATAAATAATCGTAACAAAACTTTGTAACGCGTACATATTAACAATACTAATGCTAATTTGTAATGCGCACAATTTTTGCTTTCCCGGAGGCAGCGACCCTGATGCGCAAAACGGACAAGTCGTTCGATTGCGAACTCGGAGGTGTGGAAGGCACTTGCATATAGCGGTGCGCAAGGTGGCAGTTGCACAATTTAAAAAAGCAACCTTCTCCCCCATAACCCAGCCCGGCATGTCATCTAATCTCTAAAAAAGCAACACTCTGCCCCATAACCCAGCCTGGCATGTCTACCGATCTCTAAAAAAGCAACCCTCTGCACCATGACCCAGCCTGGCATGTCTACCGATCTCTAAAAAAGCAACCCTCTGCACCATGACCCAGCCTGGCATGTCATCTAATCTCGAAAAAAGCAACACTCTGCCCCATAACCCAGCCCGGCATGTCTACCGATCTTGGGTTAATTGCACACATCGCTCGCCGTGCAAAAATAAATACAGAAGTCTTTAAAGTTGCAGGCGGATAAGAGGTTGTAAATTCTATAGCATTCCTTCAAAATTCAATTTAAATTAACCATGATCTTACCACGTATCAAGCAAGGCTGTGACGATGCACAAATTAATCGATTGTCAATTCTTAAGCTGAAAATACGTGCATCGAATTGCATGTTCAAGAATCAATTACTTTAGTTTTGTATGGAGTGAATCTCAGCAATTTAGTGACTGGGTGAATTTTGCACCCCTAGTCCTGAGCAAGGAAGGAGCAGTTTGACAAGTGATACATGGCAGTGGACTGCAGTGGCATAAAATGAGCCTTAAGATGCGGCCACTTTTAAAATTACACAGTTGTGGTGGTGTGTCGGAGAAGCACATGGGCTTCTGCAACGTAGGTTTAACAGTGGTGACCGCAAGTTGGAATCCAGCACCATAAATTCACAGCGCGGAGCGAAAAGATGGCCATAGCGGAGTATGGAAAATGTAGATCGTTTACAGCTTCAAACTGCCCCTTGCACTTGTACACCCTGCACACTACACATTGCAGTTCTCTTCTAATTAATTATTCTCAAAAACTTTCGAGCTTCACGATCAGAGTGCAGATAAAAGCAACGGCTCTGTTACGACGCATCACTGATGCAAAAAAAAGTAGTTATCTTAGTCACGTAATTGTATGGATGCTCGTGGTTATATTAAATAAATATATTCGGAGTTCCCCCCCACCAAGTCATATTCCAATGTTGCCATGTGTCATGTCATGAAATGAAGACATTTCCTTTCATAATACAGATTTTTTGGGTTAGATCGCGTAAATGTATAAATGTGTCGTTAAACCCGCCACCACCCGACACAGCCAATTAGTAAGGTTTGTCACGTAAACAGAACAAGCCAATTCGTCACTAGTACAGCACTAACTGGTGTGTTGGAGAGCAAAGCCACAACATTTACAATCTGAGTACGACGTTTCGCCAGTAATTACAACTAGCTTCATTAGGCGACAGCCAGATTTTTAGCTCGCAGTTAGAAAATGAAGCCACTTCAATATCCACACTAGGGGCACATTTTACATTACCTGCAAGGAGTGTTTAGGATGATGAATAAAAATGTGTTAATTCTCGGATCTGATAGAAGCCAAATTAAGTTGAAAGATAAATGTATTGTCATTGTTAACCGTGTACATGCAATCAACAATTCATATAATTCCATTTAACCATGGAATCTTGATGAATATCAAAACCCAGAATCTCCACAGTGCTGGCTCAATGCCCTCACATGGAATAGCCACCCGATCACCTTAACTTACAGAAAATCAAATACTCTTATAAATCACAATTGTTAAGCAAATAGTTTGTGCTAATTGGTTGTGATCATTGGTTGTGCGTACCTTGATGAGTTTCACAGGATCGACACACGGCGTGTAGCCGCCGCCCAGCCAACTGCCACCCCTTGGATCATGGATGTCCCAGTGACCCTGGCGAGGCGTCACCAGACCCGACCACGTCTTCAGGTCAATGCAGTAGAGTCCAGATCCTGGGTCACGTGCATGAGAGTGTAAACATCGTGTTGCACCGTCGAGCCGTGAGATCTTTCATGTCTATTCCCAGAATACGGATCGAACACACGCAATTCCGTCCAAATATGGACTAGCAAACCACAGGTGGGGTCAATGGTGGCGTGGGGGTTAACACACGGCGTTAAGCACCCAATGACCTGACTTCCATTTCCAGCCCAAGCTAACACACTTCATCAACTTGCATCGACCAGTGTGGTGAATTATCGTGCAAAAGTTTTCCCTGTCAATCTGGTAATGGAGTGTTCCTGAATTGCCAAGTGCTGAATACAAAATTAATGAATACTCCTTCTTAAGTCTAGGCTCGATGGGGAATTCTGAAGTCTGCTGCAGCTGTCGATTGCAGCCTGCTCCGAGCATTTCCGACGCGACTTACCCGTGAAGACGATCACGCTGACGTCACGCCGGGAGCTGTGCCGCTCGTCTGGAACTCGCACCCCACACAGGATGTCCTCATGTGCCACCCCGGCCACCTCCCTGTCGGCAGGGATAATATCGGTCGCGAAAGCCTACGTGTTAAACTGGCATGGATGTGTTTGATATGAGTACACGGCACGCTGCGTGTTGTGGTCCCAGTTGCATCCCGTTGACAAACATTTGGAGTATCCCTGGGTCGACTAATAGCATGTCGGGAGATGGCCCAATTGCCTCCACTGCCTCATTTCTGCTCAGCATTTGGCAAACAGTATGGCGAGATATTTGCGCACGTGCACCTCGTCTGAAACACAACTTGGTGGTGAACGGTGGTGGTTAGTGTGTCGCAGCGGTACAAGCACTGCACTGCACACATGGTGACCTGAGGTTAATTCCCGGCCATGTCTCATGAGTTGTAAGTGATATCTGAACTGGTCCTGGGTACCCCTCTTCACCAACCCACACTGACCTGCGTAATGAAGTATGGTCAAACAACAACAATCGTGCCCAACACTGCGTGGGGAAGCCTTCATCCAGCAGTGGATTTGAATGTAATATACATACCAAGTGTGTGTGTATATATATTATTTCATCACGATCAGAATATTTACACTGGGGGAATCCGATGAGCTATAAAGCTCTTTTTCACAGATGTCCACTTGCACAAAGTCTACTCCGTGCCAACCTTACCACTGCTTATAGATTTTAAGCTTTCGTGATTGCAAGGATTCATACTCTTAGGTTTTTTTTACCTACGTGACCTTACCACTGCTCTTACTCTGCATCTGAAGGGGGGGAGGGACTTGGAACCAACCTGAGCTGGGTGATGAAATCCCGCACGAGGGCTCGTTCGAAGTTGACCTCTTGGTGCTCGGGGCAGGCCGGCGGGCTACTGGCTTGCTTCGCCTCGCTCAGCCGGGCTTTGAACTGAGACACCATGTGTCTGCAGGGCAAGCATGCGGTCATGAGCACGCGGTACAACCCTTTGAGTTCAGTCCGGTAATTGGTGTGTGGCGCAAGACGAGGTTTCCACAAATTATTCTTGACAAAGCACTGGGTGCTGCTCATTTCTCATTTCTCATTTTTGCTGACAGGGCCAGTGGTGGAAATTCCACGCTCGGGTACTATGGACTTTCGCACCAAGTGGCGCAGCTTACCAGGTGGTACTCGTTTAACCGACCTTGGAAGCATGATGGTGGTGATGAGTATGCTGGGCTAGATTTGTAATTATGATATTGAAATACTGTAGTCCTGGACTGTATGCCAAGCGTTAATGCATTCAATATTTAAATATGAATTAATATCGGTCTCACCATAGCTTTACGGTTAAACCTTTTCCGACATGCACATCTGTGTATCATAAGTATACGTATGCACACACCTGTACAGCACACGTTAAAACATGACATTATTGTTACATGTGAAAAATTTGTACATGGTGAACATACTCTGACACCCGATTTTAATAAACCATAGCCCTCCTTGGACATTTAACATTCAAGGTGATACTTTCAGAATTTTCTCCAGTTATCTATGTTTTGGTTCTTGCAAACTACACATCAAACAAAAGTGTTAGCAACTGCAGCTCACGAATGATCTCACCCCTAAGGGTGGGCAACCACAGCCGCCGCCCAGGGTGCACTGCTCGAGTGTGGGAATAATGGACGAGTTAGTTTGAGGGGCTGCTACGCACCTCCGATGACCAGGGTTGGCTATGTACGGCGCGAAATAAGTTCAACATACGTCAGCGGTGGATCTAGAAACTTGCAAACGGATGTGTGGAGGGGGCCATCCTGAAATTATGTTTTTTTTTACATGTGGCTTTACATTCATGTAACAAAAAAATTATCTTTACTGTAATTCCCTTGCTTAATATAACATTGCAATTGTATGGGTCTCAAGGGGGTCGGGGGAGTTTTGGTGTCCTTGGGACCACCACAAAAGGGTTACATTTTCGTTAAAACTAAAAACACAACTAATGCCCGCTAATTATTATTGAAAGCCTTAATGAGTCTGAAAAGTTTTCCTGAGTGGCTGGTAACTTATGTACCCAGAGAAAACCCATAAATCGCAGGATACAACTCAACGCTTCGTAAAGACTTCAGAATCAATGTATGTACTGTCATGTCACATCCTCAGCCTGAGCCTATCTCAGGCAGCCTCCCTCCAAATATTAACCAGGCTAAATCCTGCTCAACCTCCGAGATCTACAGAGAAAGATCCAACAACACATTGCACCAACATCTCATGACCACCTTTGCAACCTCGGCCAACAACACCTGGCATTGCCAGCCAGTCTCCCATCCAATTAACAATCAGGATGACTTGGGTCACAGATCGAGGCTGGTGGCACACGCAACCCCACCACGTACCTCGCGATGTAGAAGGGAGGCGACAGGAATAACATTTTGAGGCTTTGGCTGCGTTCGTCCCCTCGCCAATTGAGAATGTCAGGATCCATGCGCCATGGAACTGTCCGGACCTCACTCCTTGGACTTCATGCGTCCGTCGTAGCCGCTCGTCAGCACGGGTGACCAGCGTTTATCCCTGCGCCGTCACGGAAACCTGCAGTCTGGGCCCTTCAATATATATAGCCCCTGCTGCGTGTAATAATCCCACATTATTAAAAGTAACCCTGGCTCCATTGCTATTGGGCAAACAGTTCAGTAAGTTCCAAAGTGGATTCTATTACAATCCAAACAGCCCAAATGGTATGGCGTTTCACGGTTGGGCAACATTTCGTCTGACCGGTCATGAATGAGAGCTTCCTAATGGGAAACAGGCCGATGAGAGGGCTTTTGACATTCCTGCTCAGGAAATGTAACGTTTGACCCTAGATTTGAAGCTTTGGTGACTGCAAGTATTCATATTGTTAGGTTTTTTCGGTAAAGTCACGTAGGTAAAAATGTAAAATGAATAAAAAATAAAATAAAAATCACGACGTTTCGAAACGTCGTGATTTTTATTTTATTTTTATTTAACTTTTATAAATTAAAATTTTTTACCTACGTGACTTTACCGGAAAAAACCTAAGAATAACGTTTGACCACAAACGAGAAGTCGGCACAGCTCGTAGGGAAGTGCTGCCCGCTGTTTTGACTTCCTCATAATGCCCTCAATGTCAGGTGTGGTCATCGTTGAGCGCTGATGCTTATGATAGTTAATAGTCTTCCAGTTATCAACATTGTGCATCGGAATTGGCCCAATTTCTTACATATTTTTTGTTATGTTTAATTATTTCTATATGTTCAAAAGTCGACAACACGTTTAATACACTTATTTTATATATCGTGCATATATAGTGAGTCAAACATAGCAACATGTACCATGCCAATACAAGCCAGTGAAACTCTTCCATGTTTGGAGAGCAGCCCACGGAAGCATTTACCAGCGCCACCTCTTGGATTCCTTCAAATGGTGTCCGCTGCATACACGAGGGGACAATACTTTCTCACCCATCCTGCCACTGCAAGCAATTTCGTTGCATGCCATTGGGGCCGTACATAAATGACGTCACGCGATTTTGGACGAATTTTGACCCCCCCCCCTCGTCACACGGCGTCACAAAAAGTCAGACCCCCCCCCCTCCAAATGACGTCACAAAGCTCTGCCCCTCCCCCAAAACCATATTACCATTTTGAAAATAAAACATGCTTCAAATCGCTTTAAACTATTGTCATTGTAGTGCGTATTTAATGTGGCGCTGCACTCTGATGTTGTAGGAGTGTTGTTATAACAATTAGTGTTGTTATGACAATTCTATATTTATTTAAAGTTGCGCATTTTGATGTGACGTCACATTTCTCACCCCCCCCCCCCTAGGTGCGTGACGTCATTTATGGACGGCCCCATTGCCACAAAATCACAAATGAACCACGATACCGTGCTGATCTCGTCAAGGACCAGCCGCTCTTGGCTGGCCATCGAACAACGACGGCGGCCACCGCATCGCGCACTTTCAGATGCGCTTCTGCGGCCGTCTGGAACGCTCTTCCTTCCGCTATTACTAAGCCACTGGAGCTATGCACTTTTAAATCTAAAAATGAAAACTAATTTCTCTAAAACTGCTTTTGTGTTTAGTTTGCATACCCGTCAACCCCTGATCAGTGCCTACCTTTTTACAGACCAATTCAAATCTCATTGGTCACCACGTGCCTTTATAAATCCCAACATTAATCCTACAAAGTCCCATCACAAGAGAGAAACACAATCAAATAGACATTTTTTTTTGCCCGTATTGAAATGGCTGTAAGCCGTATGGACCTTAACTCAATTTCCCTGTACAAGAATACGGATAAACCGGATGGGTTGACAGGCATGAGATTGTTGTCCTTTGCCCGCACCTCCGGTTAGTACGGTTGACTACATACGGTGCGAAAGAAGTTCAACACATTAAAACCGATACAGTATTTGTAATTCTCTGAACTGGAATTTAGCCATGGGTGATCGCCACCTCTCCGTACTTAGTCTCGACGACTGGTCATCATTCCATATTGCGACCTCTACTTTCCAAGCCCACTTAGCTTTCAAAACAATGTACGTCTTTAACCTGCATGTTCTCTAATCCATGCAGTTAATCTTAATGACATTAATTTGGACGTAAAGCCAATCATAATTACTCCTTCTTGGTTCTTTCGGTAAAGTCACGTAGAAGGGAAGTAATAAAATAATAAAAATAAAACATAATAAAACAATTCTCACGACGTTTCGGCCACAACGCAAGCAGCCGTCCTCAGGTGAAAACCAGGTCCGTCGAGGCGACAGAGTCTGAATGAAACAGCACACGAGCTTGGAGCATATATATAAGCTGGGCGCATTGACAAAGGAATTTGCATATCAAAAGGAATTTAGCATATTTATGGGAAATGCAGGAATGTGATTAGTACTGCATATGCATGTGCATTATGCAGGATTAACAGCATCAAAGGGAGCTGCAGTTACTGCTGCTGCAGCAGTTGCTGCTGCTGCTGCACTTGCTGCTGCTGCACTTGCTGCTGCTGCTGAACTTGCTGCTGCTGCTGCACTTGCTGCTGCTGCTGCACTTGCTGCCTTATCCATTTTAATATAACACTATGTATTATTCTACCCACCCTAATGTGTATCATACTGCTATATGTTTACTGTACAATTACGACACCATACATTACTCTGCACACTGCACCATGCCAGTGAGTGGAACGTGGTCTGAAAGTCACCGTAAACGTGAACACAATCAGTTAAGATCCGAAATGGTTTATTACGTCCTTCCAATGATTGCTAAGCCAGAATCCATCTTCTCGGTTGAAATTGTCTCTATGTTTGTATATGTGGATCGCCTCATGAACGAATCTCTCATGATAGCCAGATGGCTTGCAGAGAACCTCTGTCTTGGAGAAGTCAATGTCATGTGAGCCCACTGAATTGTAACAGTGATCTGCCACGGCTGAGGTGTTTGTCCTACCGTGTTTCAGGTCTGCCTTATGTTCACGGATGCGGTCCGAGACATGTCGTTTGGTTTCTCCAATGTAACTGCTACCACAGAGGCAACTTAGTTTGTAGACGCCAGGGTACTGTATGTCTGGAACCACATCTTTTACAGACGGGACCAGATCACGGATTTTATGTACTGTGTTGAATCGGACCTGGATCTTGTGTTTAATCAGGATTTTGGAGATCTTTTTTGTGACCCCAGCAATGTAGGGTAAGGTGATGGTCTTGAAAGGCTCCTCAACAGGATCCTTCTTGATGGTTGGAGTGATGGCTTTGCGGATTGTGTAGTCGGAGTAACCATTAGCCTTAAGAGCTTGGCGTACGTGTTTGAGTTCACTGGAAATGTGTTCATGGTCGGAGATGCATTGGGCTCTATGATATAGAGTCTTGATGAGGGAATTCTTCTGGGATGGATGGTGGTGGGAATCCGGTTTTAGATAAGCATCCGTGTGGGTGGCTTTCCTGTAGACAGAGTGGCTCATTGAACCATCAGGTCTCCTTTTGATTAGGACATCCAAAAAGGGTAGCTTGCCATCATTTTCGACTTCCATGGTAAATCTGATGGCTGGGTGTATGGAATTGATGTGGTCGAGAAATTGGTCTAGAGCAGGCCGGCCATGTGGCCAGATGACAAAAGTGTCGTCTACGTACCTCTTCCATAAGGTCGGGCGTAGAGTGGCAGTCTGGATGGCGTCCGTCTCAAATTTCTCCATGAAGATGTTGGCTACAACCGGAGATAGGGGAGAGCCCATTGGGGTGCCCTCAATTTGCTTGTAGAAGGTTCCATTCCAGGTGAAGTATGTATTGGTTAAGCAGTGTCTCACCAGGGGGGGTACCCCAGCATTCAGTCCTTGATGAACCAAGTCTTCAATGATTGCGATGGTGTCAGGCACAGGCACCTTGGTGAACAAGGAAACCACATCAAAACTGACAAGCAGGTCGTCTGGGGACAGGGCAATCCCCTTGATTGTCGATACCAGGTCAGTAGAGTTTAGTACTGCAGAGGTGGTTTTTCCAGTGAAAGGCCGTAGGATTTCGGACAAAAAACGAGCCAGTTTGTAAGTGGGGGAGTTGTCCGAAATCCTACGGCCTTTCACTGGAAAAACCACCTCTGCAGTACTAAACTCTACTGACCTGGTATCGACAATCAAGGGGATTGCCCTGTCCCCAGACGACCTGCTTGTCAGTTTTGATGTGGTTTCCTTGTTCACCAAGGTGCCTGTGCCTGACACCATCGCAATCATTGAAGACTTGGTTCATCAAGGACTGAATGCTGGGGTACCCCCCCTGGTGAGACACTGCTTAACCAATACATACTTCACCTGGAATGGAACGTTCTACAAGCAAATTGAGGGCACCCCAATGGGCTCTCCCCTATCTCCGGTTGTAGCCAACATCTTCATGGAGAAATTTGAGACGGACGCCATCCAGACTGCCACTCTACGCCCGACCTTATGGAAGAGGTACGTAGACGACACTTTTGTCATCTGGCCACATGGCCGGCCTGCTCTAGACCAATTTCTCGACCACATCAATTCCATACACCCAGCCATCAGATTCACCATGGAAGTCGAAAATGATGGCAAGCTACCCTTTTTGGATGTCCTAATCAAAAGGAGACCTGATGGTTCAATGAGCCACTCTGTCTACAGAAAAGCCACCCACACGGATGCTTATCTAAAACCGGATTCCCACCACCATCCATCCCAGAAGAATTCCCTCATCAAGACTCTATATCATAGAGCCCAATGCATCTCCGACCATGAACACATTTCCAGTGAACTCAAACACGTACGCCAAGCTCTTAAGGCTAATGGTTACTCCGACTACACAATCCGCAAAGCCATCACTCCAACCATCAAGAAGGATCCTGTTGAGGAGCCTTTCAAGACCATCACCTTACCCTACATTGCTGGGGTCACAAAAAAGATCTCCAAAATCCTGATTAAACACAAGATCCAGGTCCGATTCAACACAGTACATAAAATCCGTGATCTGGTCCCGTCTGTAAAAGATGTGGTTCCAGACATACAGTACCCTGGCGTCTACAAACTAAGTTGCCTCTGTGGTAGCAGTTACATTGTAGAAACCAAACGACATGTCTCGGACCGCATCCGTGAACATAAGGCAGACCTGAAACACGGTAGGACAAACACCTCAGCCGTGGCAGATCACTGTTACAATTCAGTGGGCTCACATGACATTGACTTCTCCAAGACAGAGGTTCTCTGCAAGCCATCTGGCTATCATGAGAGATTCGTTCATGAGGCGATCCACATATACAAACACAGAGACAATTTCAACCGAGAAGATGGATTCTGGCTTAGCAATCATTGGAAGGACGTAATAAACCATTTTGGATCTTAACTGATTGTGTTCACGTTTACGGTGACTTTCAGACCACGTTCCACTCACTGGCATGGTGCAGTGTGCAGAGTAATGTATGGTGTCGTAATTGTACAGTAAACATATAGCAGTATGATACACATTAGGGTGGGAAGAATAATACATAGTGTTATATTAAAATGGATAAGGCAGCAAGTGCAGCAGCAGCAGCAAGTGCAGCAGCAGCAGCAAGTGCAGCAGCAGCAGCAAGTGCAGCAGCAGCAGCAACTGCAGCAGCAGCAGCAAGTGCAGCAGCAGCAGCAAGTGCAGCAGCAGCAGCAAGTGCAGCAGCAGCAGCAAGTGCAGCAGCAGCAGCAACTGCAGCAGCAGCAGCAACTGCTGCAGCAGCAGCAACTGCTGCAGCAGCAGCAACTGCAGCTCCCTTTGATGCTGTTAATCCTGCATAATGCACATGCATATGCAGTACTAATCACATTCCTGCATTTCCCATAAATATGCTAAATTCCGTTTGATATGCAAATTCCTTTGTCAATGCGCCCAGCTTATATATATGCTCCAAGCTCGTGTGCTGTTTCATTCAGACTCTGTCGCCTCGACGGACCTGGTTTTCACCTGAGGACGGCTGCTTGCGTTGTGGCCGAAACGTCGTGAGAATTGTTTTATTATGTTTTATTTTTATTATTTTATTACTTCCCTTCTACGTGACTTTACCGAAAGAACCAAGAAGATGAATCCCTGCAGTCACGAAAGCTTTAAATCGAAACATAATTACTCCGTTATCCAGGAAAGTCGAACTGAGTGCAATGACTTTTTCCCCACAGGGTCCATGTATGGGATTTTATTTTAAGATGTTTGCTCCAATGTATGAGTGCTTATATACTAAACTAACAAAAAACTAGATGATTTTATTTGACCAGGTAAGGATTACTGAGCTGCATAGCTCTTGTTCAGAAGCGACCTATCCACAAATGACAGCTCGAGGTGGCTTATCAAGTGGAAATGTACAGCAGCCAACATACTCGAAAGGTGCGCTTCAGTCTAAATGTGGATGGGAAAACCCAGAGGACCCGGAGAAAAATCAGTTTCATTTCAGTTTCATTTATTAGGTATAACTCTGTGAGCCATGCGGCTCTTGACTCGGGTGCAACAAAACAAAAACATGAACCAGAAACATCTTAAAGTGACTACACGCAACAAAAAATTAACCCGTAAAAACAAAGTTTTTCACTTTAAATCCTTTATATGCGTGGCGGCTAGAGTCCTCTCGTACTCTGGCTTGAGATGGCTGCCACCTATGGGTCAGATGATTGTCTGCCAGCATTAAGCAATTGGTAATTCAACCTAAAAAGTGTAAAATTTAGGAAAAAAATTTTCACTAAAATTAATTGTCTGGCACAACGAGTCTGTGTGCAAAATGTCAGCTCGACTGGATCACGGGAAGTGGGTTAAAAAACGACCGAAAGATTTGCACGGTCGTAAGCAAGCAAGTGAACTTAATATAAAGGATTTAACAAAAAAAAATCCTGGAAAAAACCCAGAAATTATTCCAGAAACAACACCGCATTTCAACGCGACCACACATAAAGCCACCACTTAGCCTATCCCCCCACCCCAAAAAGCAAATGTGGATCAACGGGATTATTGGGCAGGTTGTACTCAGTCCCCGCCATATGACCGTGGTATTCTCAGTCGTTCAAATGCAGATTTTTATTTATTAAAAATACAGCTTTACTCTTTGCTTTTTAATACAGCTTTAAGTACATTTATTTACATTCCGTTTAAATAAGCCCATCACGTGACCGTGACGCCAGGAGGTTAAAGGTCACGTCGTGGTCTTGGCGGGAAAACTCGCGAGGTCACTCACGCAGCTGTCACTTAGCAACGCGGGCAGTGAAGTAACAAAAAGTTAAATAGCAGCGAGGTGCGTGCGTCTTTTCTTGAGGCATTTTAACCATCGGCCGCTCTAGCATAACATTTACGCGTAGATAAACAAAACCGATCAACGCGAGTGGAGGGGCGGGGGTAAGTCAACTTTCTTGAAACTTTCAGCAGAAGCCTTTTGGGCCGAAGAACTAGGCCGCCGCTGGGACGGGGGGGGTGGGTGCAGCGCCGTGGCCGTGATTCGTGCTGGGTTGTAAGCACGACTCCTCCAAGCGATGTTCTCAGAGCAGGCGAGCTCGCTGGGCGAGAGCAGCTGTCTTCTTTCGCGGCCAGAACCCGTGGGCCCTGCTGGGGATGACGGTGAGGAGCGGCTGCAAAGGCGGACGGGAGAGGAGTCGGGCCAGGAGACATCGCAGGCCCTCCCGCCGTCCGACCGCTTCCTCCTGGTCGATCGCTCCTTCGGCCGCCAGTTCGCCCACCTCTACGCCAGCCGCCTGGTGTTCATGCGGAGCATGCTGGAGGCCAGGGCTCGGAGGCATTGGGGTGAGCGAGGGAGATTGGCTCTAATTAATGGCCAACGTCTGAGGGCACCGAGGCGAAAGGAGGAGAGAGCCTGGCTCGGAAGCCCAGCAGACACCGTTATGACCGCTCCAGTTTACCTGTTAAATGAAAAATCTAGAATGTAAAATGATCACCAAGTCACAAGATCTTTTTTCAGGAGGGTCTTGCTAAGTACTGTATTCGCACGAGTGGGGTGACGATGTCATGCGTAATCCCAGTTTAGTGTGCTGATCTTAAAGGTGCATTGAAAAATGTTGATACTCAGAATGATGCTCCTACTGTTGTGTAGTGACTCATGCAGCCAGCTATGGCTGCAGAGTTTGGTAGTACATGTTGTTTATGTAGTTTATTGTGAAAATTCGGTCACAGTTCCTATGACCACTGTTTCATTGCTTTTATGGCTTTATTTTGGTGATTTTCGAAAAGTGTTTTGGTTTGGCCATGTTTGTTTGTTGTAGTACAGAGTTAGACTGATGGCCTTAATCTAAGTTGTCTTGTGGTTGTTGTTGTTGTTTGACTTGCATCCCACTGGGATTTTTGCACAGTGTTGGTGTACGGTGCTTTTTTTGCAATATTTTGCTGTCTTTTCTTGGATTTTCTGTTTGCACATAGTCACTATAAGATGTTTTCTTGTTCATGTTTTAGTTTTTTTTGTTGCTGTTGCAAGAGCCGAATGGCTCACAGGGCTATACCTAATAAATTAACTTGAACTTGAAGTAATTTACAGGAATCTTGCAGGATATGTGGATTTCTTTGTCCACTGACATTTTATGTATTTTAAAGATTTTAAATATTTTTTTGCAATAAAACACGCGTCTCAAGCCGAGACTAATGAATGTATTAACAATATGAATATAATCTTCAAGTGATTGTTTTTTTTTACTCTGATGAGTAAAGAAAATATTTGGGGTTGGGATATGCAAAATTGCGTCACATCGTGTGGGTAATAGGCCAGTGAAGTGACTCCAGCCGTTTGCTGACAAGATGTCATGTTGCAGCTTGTGGTGGGAGTTCCATAAAATATTGTTTTATCTTGACAAGATGTTAATAGCACAATCGGAATGTAACTTGAGTGAAATGAGACAAAACTAAGCCATTGTCTACCCCTTCAAATATGCATTGGAACAGCATTCATCACCACTGACAGTCCTGAGCCATTCGTGGATTTTCCATATTCTAAGAGGCATGCGATGAATTATTTGATAACCCACTAATTTAAAATGCAAAACTCGCATTATTATCTACATTAATTGGAACGACGAAACTTATATGACCTCACGTGGTATGACATCTGAAAATTCTCGTCTGAGCTCTTGGACTGCATTTTACAGCCTCCTATACGAGACTGAACTGGGTTGTGGTTATTGATATCCCGAACTGCTGTTCATAACACTGACCTAGTTCAACTGCTTTGTTAACAAATGAAGATTTTTAATTCCCTGAACAATAGAAATCTGGGGCAGATGAGCAGCTTAAGCTGAGCTTCATTAAAGATTTACCTCCAGCTGTCCTCATTTTGGATTGTGTTAACCCTGACGTTATGCACTCAAAAGTAGAGCAATGTCATGTCCCAGCTTGCATGATGTTTTCTCAGCAGACTTCTGTTCTCAAAAGGGTATTACCGTGTAGACATTATTTTTTAAAGTAATTATTTCAACTGGACTTGTGCTGGGGGTCTGTTCTAGGAATAACCATACTCTCACCTGACATGTGGTAGAGTATTTGGGCTCAGGCTGGATATTTTACTTCTCATTACCACCTTCGGTGGCACATCATTATTGGTACTATTTTCTCTGATTGGTAAATAAAAGTTATTTAGGTCATAAGCATTTCGAATGATTATCTTATGACGTAATTTGTTCATGTAGATAAGTGAGATCTATGACAAACAAATGTCACATGGAGTGGCACTGATTTAAGATTTAGCCCTTGCCTAAGAGCAGTAGTGAGGTTACATTTTGAGTGTAATTATGAATAGATTTTTCGAATAAAATCAGGATTCACACTCGATACATGATACAATATGATTTATGCAAATATTGAATTTAGGCAAATGGACTGAGCAAGCTAGAATGTACAATCCACACTATACAAACGAGACGATACAAATAAGATAAAGTCTTGACCCTGAATTGTGACACTCGCCATCAAATTGTGTGGGAGGGGCCATCAATCAATACATGTTGATTATTGTTCCACCAATTAAAGGGCTGGGCTAATGGACGTCCTGCATCTACCCACAGCTCACAGTCTCTTCTGTTGCATGTGTTGCAGGCAAGGACGTTGTCATTAAGAAGCTCTTTGAGCTTGTGGTTGGTGTCCCTTGCTATGTGGTGGGTACCCTTTACAAGCATATGGAGCTGCGGCCATCTATCCTCAAGGAGATCAGTGAAGAGGTTGGTAAATGCTCTGTTAAGCCGGCCACTGGAAGGTGTTTTGGAAAACCTTCGTTGACGTTATTGTCTTTAGAGACACTGGGTCCAATACGCATGTTGGAGGAATGATATTTAAAGCTGGTGAATAATTCTGTACATGCGTTTGTATTGTTGGGATCTGTCTGTTTAAATGGCCGTCAACCATCTGGTGAATTGCACCGTTTGTTATGCACTTTTGTTAAATATACACATAACAGAGTGCATATCTGAAAATGTTTTCACAGGGTTGCTTAAAGCACTAACACATCTCGAATTAATAGTCCAAAAATGTTGGACTCTTACCCATCTTGCTGGCTTGCCTCAAAACGCTTTGCCTTAATATCTTACACTGATAAATCCTTGAACATATTAAACCTGTCTCCCCACATGCAGTCTTCCTGAAGGCAGTTTTGCAAATTTGCTGTCAATCCCTAACCGCTTCCAGTTTTGTGTTACTGACATTGATTTTGTTCACAATAGGTCTTGATATTTTGTCAACATCTTTTGAGTAAAAAAATCAAAACAAGTCCCAACTTTTGGGATCGTTTCACAAAAACAAAATATTCTATAAACACAAGCGGTTATTATGCTATCGCCGCTCCAGTTATAACCTTGGGCAAAACAACCGGAAAGTGCCCGACCTTGTAAAATGTCAAAAGCTAAGCAGGTTTGAGCCTCTGCAGTGCTTGTATTGGTGACTACCAGGTTACCATAGGGCCTTGGGTTACATGGTAGGAAATTCAGCAAAATCTATTGTTTTGCTGTACTTCTATTCTCCCACATCTCTGCACCTGCACTAATCAGCGTGGTTAAGGTACGGTCAAATAACCAATGCTACCTGTACGGCATGGTGATGTTATCATTCAGCATGAGAATGACAAACCGGCTATAGAAGGTCATGTGGAATCCAGATATATGATGTGCAATAAGTGTGGTTGCGAATGCATTGTTGATATTTTTTGTGATTTAAATTTTTGTTGGAAGACTGGTTGCACCAATGCCATACGTGGTCGATGTTCGCAGCATAACCTGCTGCCCGTGCCTCCTCGCGAGCGTTACGTGGGATCCTTGGATGAGCTGATTCTGGAGGATGAGCTCCAGCGAGTGGGTCTTGTTGGGAATATCCAGCCCGACCTCTTCGTCACCGGTGATTCCTGCAGTACTTTGCACACTGTGCTATGAATGCAACCACCTGAGTTTGATTCCCAGCCACAGCTAAAGTCAGTGGAGAGCTATATTTGAACAGGTCCCTTTTCCAATCCGTATAGACGAACGTGGTGAAATATGGTCAAGCTACCTCCATGACTAACATGGGGTGTGGAGGCCTTCATTCAGGTGTGGATTGACAAAGGACTGTGATGGGTCGAAATAATAGTCTGTTCTGTTTCTCTGGTTGATAAAACTTTCACTTTGTGTACAGTCATCAAGAGTAATCTTGTCAGTAAACCGGCACCTGTCATGGGAATGTAGAATTTTTACCCCTGATCCAGAGCTACCAACATAGTTAAATGCTGCCGTCATTGTATGGTTGAGCATGAAGACGCGCTGACATAATGGTGCAGTCATTCCGCAGTGTTTAATGCAATGTTTTTATCATTAAAAAAACTAATAGGGGTTTGTATAATTGTATTTCTTGCATTGATAGTTAATCAGGTGTGTTGCATTATAAACGAGGGCGTTACGAGTTGTGTGTGGTGAAAAACAGGACCGTTGGCTGTGGTTAGGCAGAGATTCAAATCAGTCCACAGATTGCCATCTTTCTCTTTTAATTTTCCTAACTCGTGTGCATGATGAATGGGATTGTTTAAATTATTAAGTGTCTTTTTTGAATAGGTGTTATTGTGGCAGTGAAAGGAGTTGAAAAAGAGGATGGAAAGTTCCACGTGGAAGATTACTGCATGGCTGACTTGCCGCCACAGACATCAGCGACCTTGCCAACTCAAGACACGTACGGAACCAAATCAGCACAGAGCATCACCTTTTAACCCTTTCATTTCATTGCAATATTACACAGGATATACCGCAAAAGCAATGGATTTTTTTATTGTTCGAAATAACTTTGTACACATGGCTTTTTAAATTTTACTCGCATTTAGTTTTGAGAGGCTGAATACATATATAGTAAAAATTCGACAAATTCAGCCTTTGACCAAATAATCGGGATTGCATGTGATTTCATCTTGATCCCAGAATCTAAGCTTAGTTAAGCCTACATAGTGCTTTTATTGGTGACCACCAGGCATGAAACAGGTATTATAGGCTTCTGCAAGGATACTTTGTCAGCAGAGAGCATTGCAACTAAATAAATAGTTGCACTGTATTTCTATCTCCCAACATGTATACCCGTCACCATCACCAATCCATATTGACAAGCATTAGTGAAGATGGTCAAATAACTGCCGAAACCTGCTCGGCTTGGGGAGGTCCTCATCCAGCAGTGGATTGACAAAGGGGTGCACATATGGAAAATTCGTCCTGACATTCATGTCAGAGGCCCTCCTCCAGCACAACAAACAGAAGACCAAACACGTCGGAGAACATCAGAGGCCATTGAACAGTTTTTGTTGTTGTGGTGGACCATGCAGCCTTATCCACCCACTGCATAGCCCAGATATGGTACCCTTAGATTTTCATTTTTATTTGCTCTTTGAAGTGTGGCCTACAAGGGCAACATTTTGAAAATGACACTGCTGTACAGGATGCTGTTCGCAAAAGGTTACGTGAAATGATGAGTCCTTTAACCGTGATGGAACCCTGGCTCTGCCTCCATGTTGGTTGGCAAAAAAGCATAGAAAAGGATGCATAATTATTTGAAAAACAGTCGGATCTTCTTGACATTCCTACAAATGAAAAACTAAACATTTATTTCACTTGAATTAAAACTTTTTGAGAAAAAAATTAGGTTGCTTAGTTTTTGGGGATTCTGTCATATTTATCAATGATCAATACACTGCGACATGAAATCCTCCCCAATCCATCACCATCTCTTGCTTTCTTGCAATGTAACAATCCACCGAGCATCTGCGCACGAGCTGATTTCATTACTCCATCTACGTGGGGTACATTATTTTGGGTGTGTTCTCGCTCTTGGCTGATACTTTTTCAATAGTTTCCACCCTCGGCCATCCCTTCTAGCGACATTCACGCTTACTTTTTTTTCAGCTGTTAATGTGTATGATTATGTTATGTTTATGCACTGTACCCACGTCCCTGGCATGTGCAGGTATGTGTTGCTCACATCGGGCATCGGACTGGGCAGCCGTAACACAGACGCGACACTGGGCCTGCAACTGCTCGTGGACGTGGCGACTGGGCAGCTGGGGGGACTCGGGGAACAACGGGCGTCCGCTGGGATCGCCCGAGTGATTCTCGCCGGGAATCTGTTGAGCCAGGACACGCAGAGCAAGGATTCGCTGAGCAAGGTGCATTTCCTATTTTTCGTTTAGGTTGCTTGTTTTAAAGAACTGATTTGTGTGATGTGTGTGGCGGTGGTGTAGCGGTTAGCGGGTGGGTGGAGTAGTGGCATAGTGGTTAGCCTGCTGGGCTATGAACCTGGCCACCAGAATTCGATACCTGGCCATGGCAAGAATACATGGAAATTATTTGGACCAATCTTGGCCATTACTTAGGTCGACTCAGCATTAAATTGGTACCTGGTGCAATGTGTAAACATCAGCACTGTGGAGACAAAAAGTTGTGCTGGCCTTAATAGGTGCTTTCTAACAGCACTTGCCCAAGCATTATATACCTCTATATGGGGGATCTTTGTCTTTATAGCGGTTATTGCACTACTTATCATCTGAGCAATATGCATTACTTGCTCATGGGCAAGATTGACAATTTTTTGCTGAACTCACAATGACTTTCCCTGTTGATGTGGTTGAAAAAAATATTGAAGAGACGGGAAGCCAAGATGCATCAAGTTCCCTATGTAATAATGTTTTTTTCTAATTCGGATGTTTCATACATTGGATTAAAGTGACTCCTCCATCACATAGTGGCTGCTAAATTCCCCACATGGTTTCCCTTTATTTATTTTTTTCACCAGTTAAGGCCCACTGAGCAATTTAGCTATTTTTTCAGAAGCGACCTGTCCACAAATGATAGCTCAACGAAGTGGCTTTTCACATGGAAATTTAAAGCAGCCAGATACTCTAAACAAAACTTCTTGAATTGAATTGTAGCTTTAATCGTAACAATTAAATAAATCTTGATTTAAAGCTTTTGTGACTGCAGGAATTCATGTTCTTTGGGTCTTTTGGTAAAGTCACGTAGGTAAGTTCAAAGAAAATAACAAAAAACTACGACGTTTCGATCGCAACACAAGCGGTCGTCCGCTTGTGTTGCGATCGAAACGTCGTAGTTTTTGGCTATTTTGTCATTTTCTTTGAACCTATCTACGTGACTTTACCGAAAGACCCAAAGAATATAAATTGAATAAATCACAAGGGAGACTAATGGTTATACCAAGAATTATCACAACCACCATTCACCCTTCATAAGTGCCTGCCAACAGCACTTTCCCAAAGGGACATTCAGAATAGATGGATTATTGTACGCTTGTCATGGCAAATACGGCTCTTTGCTCAGCTTTTAAACTATTAAACTATTTTTTATTTTACTTGGTAAGGCCCACTGGAATATATATCTCTTTTTCAGAAGCGACCTGGCCACAAATGATAGAAATAAAGTGGCTTATCATGTGGATATTTATATCAGCCAAATACAGTACTATAAGCGCATGTTTCTAAATATGGAAGGAATAACTGGAAAACCCGGAGAAAATTCACGCGACCATTGTGAGAATTTGCAAACTCATAATATACAGGGGTCAGGGTCGGGATCGAACCCACGCCCTCTTGGAAACCAGGCGAGTTAACATCTCGCCACCGTGGCATGGGTGATTATTTAGCTGATAGTTTGGTGCCAACATGCGTTTCCAATGTACGTGCGCATTAATTTCACTCTGATGTCTGTGCATGTTTGTGCGGGTGCAGGCAAAGTACCTGACCAAAAAGACAAAGGCGGCGAGCGTGGAGGCCATGAAGGCACTCGATGAATTGTTGGTACAGCTCTGCGTAAGTTGCAGCCGCGAATGGGCTTTTCTCACCTCGGCTCTGCACACTGCCCTCTTGCCCTGTTGGAAATGGAGCCTCTCTGGCTTTGGGAACAATCTGTAATGCTGGTTGTTTTACCTATACACACTGTATATATAAAGAAAAAGATCCTCTGTTTAGCCTTAAGAGACTGTTGGGGCAAGTGCAGTTAGCGAGCACCTATGAAGGCCGGAATGGTACATGTGGGGGTGTGTGGCAGCTCCACGCTTCGTCTCCCCATAGGAGATATTTACACACCGCACCAGGTACTGATTTGAGGCCGAGTTGCTGGTATTGGCCGTGAGGGGGAATCAACTCGGGTCACCGGGTTCGTAGCGCAGCACGCTAACCGCTACATTACCGCTCCCCACATATACACACACAATTTAATATATCCATACTCCTATTGTTTATGGTTTGAAGTGTTTAGGTATTTTAACAATCATGCCTTTGTAAATCCAGCCAAGAGGGTCAGTGGTAGAGCGAGCAGCTCTACGGCTGGTTGCGAGTTCAATTCCTGTTTCGAGGGTTAACTGAGCCCATCATCCTTCAGAGATCGGTAAAACCAGTACCACTTTTTTTGTTAATTCAACACTGTCTGAGGAATAAACTCACCACCACTGGCTCATGGTTGTAAACATGAGCTGAGCACCACCTCAATGCTCATTTGAGGAAGAAATCACTATACTTTAACTTGTATATCCACTGCTGGATGAAGGCCTCCCCACGCCGTGTTGGAAATGGAGGTTGTCTAACCAGGTTTATCGACATTTGTTAGTGATTATATATTTGTAAGTATAATAATATATATTAAATTGGCATGATGGGAAGTTTACCAATTACAGATGTATCTAATCGAGAAGCTGGTCATAAATAGAAAGACCACTCTAAACTGGAGAAGCAGCCGACAAGAATAAGTTTCAGTCTTTGAGCGATTGACAGCGTTTTTGACGCATAAATAGCAAAGGGGAGCAGTGAAAGAGATTGGGAAGGGTGAGTCCTGTTGTTACAAAATATAATTAAAAACTTCTAATTATGCAAATCCAACACCCAGCTGGGGAAGGGGCTTTCCTCATCTTAATGTCAGCGGTGCTGTAAAATCCCTCGTCGCGGCGGTGTAATTGCTGATTCTTCAGATGGCACAGCACCTAATTTTTGCACATTTGGCTCCCTGGTGCTGAGGTTATCAGGTTTCGTCTTGTTTAGTTCTTAACGTAATTAATAATTCATTTCCTGGAGTAAGATGGTTATGCCGTGCTTAGAGATGTATATCCTTAATGATTTCCGGTGGTGTGCAAGTAGAACTCTGCCAGTGTGAAGGTTACTGTGCACTAACATGCGGTGATAGCGAAGTGGTTTAACACTGTTATTCTGTCATGTATTGCGCTGTCATGTGCACCGTCACTCGACCATCTTTTATTTTTGTAACGTAGTGCAATCCTATTTCAGTAATCGTGCTTGGGTGGAACGGTGATGCTGTATTTAGCAGACTGCGCTCTGAAACCTGGTGAATTGAGTTCGATTCGTGGCTATGGCTTCCGTCAGTGGTGAGTGATATCTGAAATTATCCTCGGCCCCCAACCTGCACTAACCAGTTTCGTGAAGTATGGTGAAACAATCACCATGACTCACAGCACACGAGAGCTTTTTCTAGCAGTGTCGTTGAAAAAGGGCTTTAAGTTATGATCGTTAGAATTAACAATTCAATGTATCCAGGATAGCCTTACTGAGTCAACCACACATTTTCAGGAGGGTCCTTTAATTGGGATATTTAGCCAATTATATTCACGGAATAAATTGAAATTAATCCCTAAAATGTATAACATTTCTAGCTGTAATACATCGTTTCAATTATCTGTTTTAATTGCTGCACAGCGTGCGGTGTTGGAAAGTTGTGTTCATAGTTGTGCACAATTTTTGTTGATAGTTTATGGGTTTGTAGTTTTTGTTGGTGTGTGTTGTTGGGGATTTTTGTCTTTATGTTTGTTTAGGCTGTTTAAACCATCAGGAGATCAGAGAGTATGGCATACGTTTTTATTTAACGGCTTCTTCCCATCGCCCCCTCCCTCACTCCCATCTCTAGTTTCCCTCTGGCTTGCCCCCCCCCCCCGCTTTGCCCCCAACTGTTGCCATTTGCGGATGTAAAAGGTCAAAATGACAGAAATATCCACACTGGTCCCGACTCACGCTCCACCCTGCTGATCGCGCCCACAGCAGCCCAACGTTTACTCCTACCGGCCACTTGTAGTGCGGCGTGGCCTTTACCTGTGCTCGTGCGTCAGCGCGTGTTGGCGTGACACAGCGCGCGTGTTTTTGTTTGTGTGTGCGCGTGACGAACGAGAAACGTTTTTCCTTATTCAACGTTCTCGTGTGTGTGCACACGGACAATCGTTTCTTCAATCCAATGCTGCATGAGGGCCTTCCCATGCCTTGTCGGTCATTGTGGATGTTTGACTATACTTCACCACCTTGGTCAGTGCGGGTTGGTGAAGGTGGCGAGGCATAGATGTGCGAGCATAAAAATATATTTTTCTACGCTGTCCCTTATTCAGGGTTTTTTCTGTCCGAATTAAAAGGCTGCGAGGCTATGTTTTGGACAGCAGATGGCAGTGCAGAAAAACGTGTTGCACGTACTACTATGTTCCCATGCCTATGTTGCCTGCTTTCACCAAGCTGAACTCACCAGCGTGGTGAATTATGGTCAAACAACCCCCACGACCAACACGGTGTGGTGAGTCCTTCATCCAAGCACTGGACGGAGAAAGGGCCGTGAATTATTCCACATTAGTTTATTATATTTGTGAGCAACACCATACACCACCCGTGGGGGTCAAGAAGGGGCCATTTAAAGTTTAAACTCGCCACGCATTTGCTGTTTGAAGATTGCCGGTGCGGCGAGTAGGTGGCCTCTAATAAAAAGACTCCCTCCCTATTTGAACCGGCGCGCTTTTCCAGAGGGGATTGTGCACCTTCCGTTTGAACTTACCCCCTCCCCGGCACCCTACGCTGAGCCACGACCGCCAGAAAGATCAGAAGGGCTTGTCCATGCAGAGGGACAGGCAGCTGAAGGACACTGCTTACCTGTCCTGTGAGTCAGCCTCGTTTGTTCTGCTCTCGAGAGGATGTTTTTTTTCCAGGCTTCTGCCTTCTGTAAGCCCTCAAGGCATGGGAGGCTCTTGTCTGCCGATGCAATGTGCATGCATCAACACGAATGGCGACGGGTCTAAAATAACCACCACGTTCTCTGTGCTCTTCTTTACCAAAAAGGTCTTTAAGCATTGAAGTGAATTAATGCACGGCAAATTCGGGTTTCAAATTACATTTTTATAGTGCTGTTGACAGTGTTGTGAGGTTTTAATGTTTTGTGTCAGGCTGTACACTTACAGCCCTTTTATCAAGTCCACTGCTGGGTGAGGGCTTTCCCACGCCATGCAGGTAATAGGGGTTGTTTAACCACGCTTCGAAGCAGTTGTCCGTATGGGTTGGTGAAGCCTGGGAGCATAGATGTGGGAGCATAGAAATACAGTATCATTGATTTTGATGCGCTGCCCTCTACTTCCCACCACATAGCCTTTTGGGCAAATAACATTATGCACATGGTGGTTCACCCCACCCAAGGTCTATCCAGGCTCAACCCGACTTAATTGCTTAGCTCTGACGAGATCGAACATATTGCAAATCATAGGCAAGCAGAATTCATGGGTGTGGAATACAGGTTTTAAATTTTTAAGAGTAATACAATAGTGCTGTTGGCTACATCTCATATCTGCACATGACAAAACCTGTATTTGTTATTTTATAAGGTGAACTTTGAATGTTTTTCTTGGTTTTGACTGGTGCCAAATGTTCTCTAGTTGAAGTGACCTACCCTAGATAGAAAAATAATCAGGTAGTTGCTTATATCTTTGTAGTTATATTCCTTATACTCCCTGTTGATTGCAGGAGTTAACAAACCGGTAGGATCATGGGAGCCTCCAGTGTGTGAGGGGTTTTGATTGTACCAAGAAATCTACACGCACAGAAACGTACAAACACGTACAGATGAAAACACACACGTAAGGCGCTAATGCTCACACTCATTTCCTAATTATATTGCATGCAAATTAATTGTATTGGTAGACAGCATAATGTTTAATTTTGAAAAACATTAATTTTCCTATGTACTTAATTGCAAATCTTTTTTTGATGAAAGAAATAACTAACCCATCAGCTCTCGACAAGAGTTAACCATGGTCTTTTGAGCTTCATGAACACTGTCCGTATGAGAAACTTAAGCATCTAATAGTCAAGATAAGCAGATGAAAGGGTAGAGAGGTTCACATTTCAGAAATGCACTTTGAGTATTATATTTTTTTCCCATATTCCTTGAACAATTCACGGCTGTTTTAATTTCAGAAGTGGCATGAATGGAAGTGTCCGGGCCTTTACTTGGCCCCATTTTAGCCAAACGATAGACAGACCTGCCAGTCCGTTGAGTTTTGTTTAGTTTAATTGTGCGGCAAATGCAACATGCTGGACACACCATTAATCTGTTGAAGATAAAGACATGTTTCGGAAGCTTAGACATTTCCCATTTATATTTTTCCATTGTTTTGCTTTTGATTGCCAGGCTTATTGAAGAAGTCTAAAATGTAGGAAATTACTATTTTCTCTTTCTGTAGTAAACGTGTAGATTACGGACCATTACCCACGTGCGTGCTTTTGAAGTGGTTTGAAGCAGATAATTTGTGAAAGATTGTTTTGTCTAATAGTTCCAGAATAACAATATTTTCATAAATCCAGATGAACCGCTCATTGAATATCAGTATATTTTACAGCGTATTGTTGCATTGGGATGTTTGTCCAATTCTATTCTCGCTTCATGTGTGAAGCTAACCGGAGTACCCTTGAGAAAACCCACCACTCAAATGGTTTCACAAACTCACTGCACTCCTTTCTGTTGGTCACCTGGCACCTAAAGTAGATTGGGAGTTTTACAAATTTTTGATCCATCAACCCTTGCTTCCAAATTGCTGGATAATGCGATGCTGGGCATGCATGCAGCGCTTGTGTTTTGTAGGTGTGCAGAGGTCTCTGCAAGTATTGTCGGGCATTTAGAGGTTAGAAACAACAGGTGGCTTGGCATTTGCACAGCAGCTTTGCACACCTGATTAACTCTGGGCTCAGGAGCATCCCAACTTGTTGCGCAAGCCTGGACTGTTTCCTCCGTTTTAGATCGTCACCGATGCCCGCAATTCTTGTGGCTTTTGGTCATCTTTTGAGATAAAAAAAGCTTTTATCCCCGAGGGGAAAATATTGATGTTAATTATATCCTTTTTGTTGCATAATTGATGGCGCCAGCACATCCAATGCTCCATCGATTCACTGAATAAAATCAATTCTTACATTTATGATGCATGCAATAGAACTGTGGATGTGATTGTTTATGTTTTATGCAAGGCATATTCAAACTCTATGCTAATGTGATATTTAGGTTGAATGTACAAAACAGAACAAGCTTAAAAACCGGAGATGAATAGGCAGAAAAACAGACTAGATATATATATGTTTTATCAAATCAGGACACTGAATTGTTCCAAGTCATAGGACACCTGACGTGTGAATCGTTACAGGCCAAATTTCCAGTTTGCAAGTGTGCAAATGTGCGTTGGGATGTTGTTCATAATGAAATAATTATCGACATTCGCTCAATTCCCCTGAGGTGCTTCATACATGGGGGCCATCGGATAAATGTGAGCGGCAGCGACGTGTGAGATCCGGCACAAGCGAGACCCAACACGCGCACCCTGCGCCAGGGGTGCAGCTGTCACTTGTGCCGCAAGTGTATGTATGTATCTATGTTGAACTTATTTCGCACCTTACCTCGCCAACCGTGCTAATCGGAGGTACGGGAAAAGTGTAACTGCACAGGGGCCCACCGACTGGAGAATCCCAGGTGCTGAAGAAACTAAATAGGGAGGGAAATTGGACAGAGGGTCCCATTCGTCGGGGTCCCATTTCAGCTCACGAGCCCCGATTCTATGCGTGGGGGACCCTGCGTGTCGCTTAACTTGGCATTCAAAATTGGATTAGCAGAGTAGTTGGGTGTCTGCGTGGCGGGGATTGTAACCGCACCGGAACTGCTTAGCAACTAACGCTGCGCTGAAAAGTTAAGGTCGCATCACCCATGGTGAAGCACAGATAATGGATTATGCATGACGTTGCATTTGCATTATTTAAAACGCGGTGGGTTTAATATTGAAGCAGCGCAACGCGCACTTTGCTTTTGAGGCAGACACTGTGACCGAGTGCTTTTTCACAGTGTTCTGTCACTGTTAACATCAAAATAAAATGCATCAAATGCCACGAATCGAATGAGAAGTAAAGAACACCACGGCAATATTAGATGTGAGTGCATATGCATCTCAATTGTCAATACACTGCTGGATGAGGGGATTGCCACGCTGTATGGGTTGTGAGGGTGTTTTGACCATACTTCTTCTCCATGCTGGACAGTGAAAGATTTTGAAGGTGGGAAGCATAAACATGGGAGCATAAACATTATGACGCTGCAATGCCCACTGAAACTCATAATGTGTTCCCACAGCTTACAATAACACCTGTCTTATTCATGGTAGTCACCTATCCAAGCACTGTCCAGACTCCACACTGCTTAGCTTGCAAGATCTTATGAGATCATGTGCATTCCTAGTAATTTGGTCATCGGTAAGTTAGGGTTTTTGCATGTAGAAATCATATTCCAAAAGATGTCTTAGGTTTTTTCAGTTTCATGGATAATTAATAGCCCTTGAAATGCATTGCCTGCATATTATATGTGTGAGGTGAGGTGGTTTTTGTAGTAGGGTTGTGCATTCTGACATCCTCTGTAACTTGCAGTGCTTTCCACTTTCGTTTGGTGCAAAATTAGGTCACCGTGGCTATGGACGAGTTTTGTTCGGATGGTCGCCCTTGTAGAAGAGGCAATGTTTCACATGTCTCATTGGGTTTATTTCAGCTCCTGGTTAAATAAAGGACACTGACTGACTGGCTGACTGCTTGCTGGAGAGCAAACTTCGTTCAAAATTACATGTATTGTCGCGGCCGATGTTATATCGTAGCACTGAAACTATTCCAATGTGGAATGTATAGCTGGAGGATTGTTTTTGCATGTTGTTTTCAGTGTTTCATTTTGTACCCAAGGTCTTCCATGCAAAAGGGTATTTTGTCTCAATGAGCTCTCACTTGGTTATCAAGTTGATATATTTATATGCGTCTCAAAATAATAATTAGACTTATTCTGGAGAATATGAATAGCAAATATCTAATTAGTTAAATATGTATATTCTCCACAAAGACGCAAATTATTATTTTGAGTTAAGCATTATATAATTTTACATCAATCTGGTGTTACGTAACTTAAGGTGAGGGTGGGTCCTTGCTTGTAAATTCGGCAGGTCACAAGCATGATTCAGGCAAGCCTGACTGCTGATGAGACACTGTGTGTTGAAACCCGGCCAGATTTATCTTCGAACAATGCTGCTGATATTACGCACTTCCAAATTGCTGTGCAACTGTTGGGTTGCGTGAGAAATACTTTAATTCTGTTGTGTAGAGAGGTGGATATGTAAAGTCGGCACATTATTTATTTATTTGATTTATATATGTGGGAGAGCGGTGACACAGTAGTCAGCGCATAGCATTATAAATTTGGTGACCCGAATTGAATTCTCGGACATGGCTAACATCATTGTCGAGTGATCCATGGACACCGCACTGACCCATCTTGTGTGGCATGGTCAAACAAAACTTCATGACCACACAGCAGTGGATTTCCAAATTGTTGTCAATTATTCCATACTTAAATACAGTATTGTATATCTATTCATATTATGCTGGTAGGAACCACCTGGTTCCACCAGCCCACAGGGGATTATTGTGTCCGTCCGTCCGTCGTGCATCCAAAAATGGGATGGGTGGGGCTGGGTGGGGAGGGTGGGGAGGGGCTGAGGTGGGGAGGGGAGGGTGGGGGGTTGGAGGGGTGGGGCTGGGTGGGGAGGGGCTGGTCACCCCCTGGTGCCCTTATAAAACTCAACGTTTAACCTACTCACGCCGGCTTGTACCCGCCCTCACAGTCGGCCATATTTGCGGAATACACCACGCCGCCGTTGACCCTTGCTATTAACCGAGCAACCCAACGTTCCTACCAGCTCCCTCCGCAGGAATGTGTTACAAGAAAGTTGACACGACTGGAAATGCCAGCATATCTGTATGAGTCGTCCGATGTAACTGGGATGTGACATTTTGGAAGTTGGCATCCTTCTTTTTCCCCTCGTGGTTTATTCTTTAAATGACATGGACGAGCGGCGAGGTGACCCCAGTCGCAACACAATTGGCTGCGTACCAACTGAGCAAACCTCACTCCTGCTCTGTAATCATTCCAGGAGGTTCGATTCAAGTCCTGCAAATAAACAGTTAACGTTCCCTCGGATTTGCTTTTTTTGCAACAGCTCCCAGTGAGCACATCGCACCCCTGCCACCAATCACCGTACCACCACCCCACCGAAATGCCACCCCCACCAATCCTCCACCTGGTCACCCTAGCCAGCATGCGGCAGGTCTTAATGAGCAAGTCTTCCCATGGCTAATTAGAGCTTATCGCCACAGGAATACATTTCTGTGGAATTCAGCAGCATGTTGTTACTGATTTAATTATTAAAATCTAATCGGTTAATCAGTCAATCACTCCTGCCCAGGGCCTCTCATGCATTAGCCTACTCTCTTGCTATTTTAGTAATTGTTTGCTTCAGACGTTATTTCAACAACAATGCTTTTATTATTTTTTGTAATAATGATGCAATATTTTTCTACGATTTCCAGCTAAGGTAGATTTTTTATTTTATTATCATTGAGAAGAGAAGTGGATAGCATTAAGGATTACTGAATGGGCATTTGGTGTTTTGGCACAAAAGTTGTGGAACAGCTTACTGAGATATTTGAGTGCACCCACAATTTTAAAGCAAAATTTAAAGGCATTATTTTCAAATGGCATATGAATAATTCCAATATAGACAAAAGAGAGTACTATCAAGCATAATTTAGCTTTTCAATGTTTATTCCCATTGTGTATACCGTTTATACTGTACTGTTTTTAATATTGCATTAGTTCTGCAATCACTTTCTTTCTGAGTAATTATTTTACATATCCCTTTGTTCCAGCACCTCCAGATTTATTGCATGGGAGGCATGAAATACACAATTAATTGTGATTATAGGCAGCAGAGGGCAGTGCTGCAAATCCATTGTTGTACTGTATCATGTGTATCTCGATGCACTGCAAATTCACCAACCACATTGGCCAGCGTGGTGAAGTATGACAAAACAACCCCCACATTAAACACAGCGTCAGAAGGTTTTCATCTGGCAATGACGTGACAGAAGGGCTTTATACCTGCATTTATGTTAGTAACTGTCATTGAGACAGATTCGTAACGTAGAAATTGCCCTTAATAAAGGTTTTTTGGGTTAGATCGCGTTAATATAAATGTGTCGTTAAACCCGCCACCACCCGTTTGTGCTATATTTTGAGTGCGCAGAGCGGTGATGTCACGCGCCTTTTGCCGTGTCGACTGTGTGAGGGCCCCCCCGCAGGCGTCCGTGGATGTGGACGTGATGCCCGGCGAGTTTGACCCCGCCAACTACATGATGCCGCAGCAGCCGCTGCACCGCTGCATGTTCCCGCGCGCCGCCTCCTACGTGACTTTGCGCCTGGAGACGAACCCATACGAAGCAAACATCGCCGGGGTCCGGTGAGTGACTGCCACCACCCATACTCTGGGCCAGGGGAGGTAGGGCTGGTGGTAGCCAAGCTGGAGGTGTCATCTGGGTCATCATTCAATACGCTTGTTTTGAATTGTTTGTCCAGGAGTTGTTCGCGTGAGTTAATCAAAGTGGAGTATATATCGAGAGTTTTGGTCGTGCAACTGCCGGGGAGGGTTGGGGGGGGGGGTGCAGCCTGAGTGTTGGGCTTTGAAGAGAGGGGGAAATTGGGACAGTGTGCATCCATTTCATTTGTTGTACCAAGGCCCATGCTGATGGTGCAATGACTACTGATTGATCACCACCAGGTTTTAGTTTTAAACGAGCATCTTAATGGTGGTCAAGTGGTAGAACAATTTGCCCATCCATTTCTCTGCTCTCTCCAACCAACAGTTGCATTCCTTAAGCTAAACTACATTATTCACGTTACAGTAGGTCCTGTTAATTGTGTTGGTATCTTTCAAGTTGGCACATGGCACAGTGTGGACCCACTTATTTTTGTGTAACGAAACAATGATTGCAATTGCAAACACTGACCTTGAACTCTGATATTCACTTCATACAAAAGAACAGTGACTGAGCCAATGTGGCCTATATTTAGACAAAGGTGGAAGGTGATACACAGGGGAGAACAATGAGGGGTTTTCTCTACAGCTTTGTTTCCTTATCCGGCATTATGTATCTCATTTACATATGCAAAATAAATAACTAGCACTGCCCATGCATTTGGATAGGATATAACTTAAGTGATATGCAAGTGATGGAAGTCACGAACTTAGACAAATGTGTGTTCGCTGAATTATGCATTATCAAAATATCCCCCGTATAGCCTAAGCAGACTTTTGGGGCAAATGCTGTTAGCGAGCACCCATGAAGCCTGGCACTGTGGGTGGCCAGCACCATACCCGACCGCCTTTGTTTCCTTAGTGGCGATGTTTACACACCACACCAGGTAGTCATATGAGGCTGAGTTGTACATATAAACATCATCGCACACACACACACACACGTGTGTATGAACCAATGAATTCATACACGTGGACATTTATATTAATAACAACAAAAACTGAACACATTCATCAATAACACTGCTTTTAAATTTTTAAGTATATAATAGGTGACATTTCAGGCAATGGTGCTTCGTTACAGCACATAGAGGGGCCAGAGAGATTGAGTGAGTACATGTACATTAGTTACACATACTGTATACACATTCATTCATATCAACATCAGTATACAAAGACAAATATCCCCCATATAGCTTGAACATACTGTTGGCGCACGTGCTGTTAGCGAGTACCTATGAAGGCCGGCACGGTACACGAAGGGGTGGGTGGCTAGCACCACACCCAGCCACTTTTGTCTCCCGAGTGGCGATGTTTACACACCGAACTAAATACTCGTTTGAGGCTGAGTCGACCTAGGGGAGGCCCAGGACCGGTTCAGATAATTGTCACTGGTGTTGACGGTGAGTGGGAATCGAACCCAGGTCGCCGGGTTCGTAGGGTATACATTCATATTAACATCAATATATGCACACACATAGATACACATCACATGCACAACACGGACAGAACATATTCGCACATGCTGAAAGCCGGACCTTGTTTTAATCCACCTAACACTTATCGCCAACTCCTGCATCCAGCTTGAGTGTTGAATTGCAGGAAGCGTTCCAATGACATCAAGAATTACAAATGGCCAGCCATTGGATGTCCCCAAGTCGTAGTGGAAATGTCAGGGAAAAAATGCTGGAAATTCAAACACCAGGAATGTCCTTGGCAAGTTTTGTTTAATACATGTTTACCTCCAGCATACCATTTAGGAGATTCAGAGCGTGACGGACAGACGGACACTTCTGAAGTTTATATTTACTGAGTAGAGAACCCGTTAGTCTGAAATGGAAAATAAGAGACAGCTGTCATTTTCATACTCTTCTCACAATCCTGCACTACACGTCATCTGCTTTGATGTCTAATACAACGCCAAGGTAATAAGTATTGTGATTGTTTTGTAACATTCTCTTGAGATTTCAAGAATATTCTGGTGAAAGACTTACATTAATAGGAGCGCAAATTTAAAAGTTAGACCAATTTTAGCGACGCCCACCTCTTGGGCGTCGCTATCTAGTATTCTTCCGCCGTTCAATTTCACGTTTATTTGTTACACGTAAAATCCTTGTCGCCAGTTACCCAGTTAGTTTCAGTGGCAACGGCCTGCAGCAGCCACTAACAACAGAGTTATTGTTGGGGTGGAGATGAACGCAGCCAGCAGCCAGCCAGGAAACTCGAGGCATAGATTATTTTTTATCGTAGTACGATATATATAGAGAAAATATGTAGCCATTTTTTTTATCCACTTCTGGATGAAGACCTCTCAATGCCGTGTTAGTCATGTTTTTTTACTTTTACTATACTTCGCATGGGTTGGTGAAGGGGATGGATTGGGGTGCAAATCCCAGGAGTGGTTCTGATATCACTTGCCAGTGATGTTATCCTTGGGCAGGAATCGAACTCAAGTAGCAGTGCAGTACACACTAACCACTCTGCCACCGCTCCAGCCCATGCAAACGCTATCACTTGTTTTTACATTTGTCGTGGGTTCAACTGAGTTGCAGACGTAGACTTTGGAGGCAGCGCATTTATTTAGTTCCAACACACGGGGTAACTTCCCCTTAACAGAATAACAACCTCGGGTGGTGACCACCCGGCTAACTACACTAGTTGCCACGTAACTGTTACTACGGACCCGGGACCAACACATCTGCCCGGGTCCACGTGCTGGAAGACTCGTAGAACGGAGATCGTAGACGAAGGGTTCTTTTCCCAGGATGAACTACCCCGGTCCCTCTCAGGACTCCGCTTATATTCTCTGCGGCGTGGCCAGCTCTGCCCTTGGCCACGTCCACCTTCCAGGACTATTGGGAACGACCTTTGTCCCTATCACGTGACCCCCCCTAGCCCCCTCGTGGGGTCCCCTCTGTCATCTTAGCCGGTCATGTGTCCTCCCGGGTCAACCAGAGTGCCATGGCCTCACACGACCTTCCCCTTTGGTCAGCACCCACACACCGTGCCTTGTAGGGCCGGCACTGCACTTACAGCGTGGTGCCACCCAGCGCTGTTACTCAACGCACACCGTGCCCCTCTAGGGCCGGTACTACACCCACAAAATGGTGACATCCAGTGATGTCACTACACATTCAAGGAAGTAAAATCTTATATCTCAGTTAACAATACATGACATTTCTAAAGCATCGTTCTACAAAGTGTTCAAAAGTGCTGTACATCACGAAAATAAATAAATAAACACATTTCAGGAGCTAATTTAGAGAATTGAAAGCAAGAGAAAATGAATGCATCTTGAGGTGGGTTTTTTTTTCTCCTGGGCATATGTGAAAAATAACTTTTTAGCTCATCGGATTACTCCAGTATGAATAATGATTCTGAAACACACCGTTTTCAGGTCTCACCTTGGTGTGCATACAAACACTGAACCAGAACCCCCACTTGTGTGTACACATGCGCAGATTGCTGGGCACGTCTGGCCAGAATGTGTTGGACATTTACAAGTACTCGGGCATGGAGGACCACCTGCAGATCCTCGAGTGGACCCTGCGAGCCAGCCACATGGCACCCACAGCGCCAGACACGCTAGGTGGGTGCCCATCTCCTCTCTCACCACCCCTCCGGATGACCCGGTCTCGCCACACAGGGTTTGATCTTCGACAAAGCTCATAGTCCAATTCTAGATTTGAAGCTTTCGTGACTGCAAGGATTCATACTCTTAGGTTTTTTCGGTAAAGTCACGTAGGCAAAAAATAATAATAATAAAATAAAATAATAATAAATGAAAAATAACTTCATTAAATCACGACGTTTTGTAGGCAACACAAGTCTCCGTCTTCAGGTGGAACCGTCACAGCTAAATTTACTGTATCAAGTGACTTGAAACGTCGTGATTTTATGTAGTTATTATTAATTTATTATTATTATATTTTATTATTATAATTTTTTTACCTACGTGACTTTACCGAAAATACCTAAGAGTATACTCATAGTCCAACCTAAACTCCATTCGCATAAACCATGGCAGATGCGAATACCTGACACACAAATGGAAAATTAAAAACTATCCTGTTTGCGACCGTGCTCATCCGGAACAGACCATACAGCATCTAAGGACGTAATGCCCGATCCACAAATACGAAGGAGACATCACAGCGATGATGCACCACTCCGCTACTCCTGACGCGGTTATCTCACTTGACCACCTGAATGTGAAATTGTCGTTGTTGCTCTGGATCGACATCAGCTGTATGAAACAAGAAGAAGCAGCACATTGAGCATTTTTTCATGAAAGGCTCTCAATGTGGACTTGGGTCCCATTGATTGCAATGGATTCTATCAGGTTCTATCAACTTCTGAGCAGTTGCCAGTGTTTGATTGAATCTATTAGCTGTGGTGTATTTTTTTTTTTTTACAAAAAATGGGCACTGAGGGATGTGTCCTGAATGTCGCAGGAAGCCTCACTGATTCTCAAAATGCCTTTTACAGGAGCGTTGTGTTTGTGAAGTTTGGCCAATTCCTTCTTGATGAGTGGTGTGTGCGGGGAAACTGGAGAGCCGTAGAGAACCCACACAAAGAGGGGGGTAACACGCAAAGGTCAACGCAGCCCAATGTACAGAAATGTAAAATACTAACGGAGGCCTTTCATTCATGTTACGAGACTGCAAATGTATAAATTTTACATTATTTCTGCCTGTCAGTTGTATCAGTTATTTATTAAGACATTCCTTCATATTTTATTCGGGTAATAAATAAACTGTCGTTCATTATATCACAGCCACCGTTTCGTACAAAACTTAACTTGTGTGTCTATGTAACGTCTATTACCCCAACACAATATTTTCTGTCTTTGGAGTCTGCAAAACTTTCAGAAACCATAGGGGGGCACGTCTGCTCACTGTTACTGAATGTGCAGTTGCTGCAATTATAAAGGAATCGGAACCACTTTGCAAGGATGTGTGCGATCTCTTTTGTTTCGCAAAATGCACGGATCTCCCATTCCACAAGGGCTCGGGGATGATCTAAGCGTGCATTTAGATTTTTTTTTCAGCGTAAATTATAATGAGCTCATGTTTTATACAGGGCTCGCCCTGCTTATCGCTGGACACCCAACACGTTGGTTTAATGGATCGTGAAAAATGCTTTTTGTAATTATAAAAGGGTTGTTTTTACACAAATACACGGATACAATTATAGACAGTTTACTTAATTATCCGTGGGTGGATTATCCGTTTTAATATGATATTTTCTCTGCACGATGGTACCATTATTGCTCACTGCTCACGTGATTGCAAACATGAGAGACAGATAAGCCGATGATCTTAATAAACAATATAAATAGAATGCACATTCTACATAGATGAGCATTATATATATTTGCCTAATCTGCAAATGTTTTGCATTACGTGTGTTTTGGTTTTGTCCTGCCCTCCACCCCCACCATTACCGCAGATAAAATCAAGAGTTGACTGTATATTCAGTTGTATCCTCTTGTTCAATGTTTACCCCCTTTTTTCTACCCTTGTGTAGGTTGTTATCCGTTCAAACACAAAGACCCATTCATTCTCAACTGCTGTCCAGATGTTTATTTCAGCGGCAATGCTCCCAAGTTCCAAACAAAAACCATCACAGGTGGGCAGTGTTTGTATGTGCCCGTGGGCTCAGTGTTGACAATGACTTTACAAGCACGAATGGTAACCCCCGCAAATGAGTAATGCAAGGCTTTTTTCTGTCTCTGGCTGTACATTACCGATCTTCTGCTGGCACAGGGGAGAGATTTGTTTGCATGCCTGCCTGCTTGCCTGTGTGCATGTGTACGTGATCAACCGCGTGTGTGCTCGTATGCGTTAGCATGGGGCCCGATGTCTTTTATAAATGCATTATGCATATCTGCTTCCGCGGGGTAGTAGAACGAGCTTGCGTGTGTGTTGCTCGCCTACAGCGCATTTTTACAAACACAGACCTCTCGCTCGCTCACAGCGCAGCACGATGCCTTCTTGAAGGCCAGGTAAGAGCCTGTTAGTTGAGCCGTGGCGTCCTGGTTAGTGCACTGCGCTACGAATCCGGCGACCCGAGTTCATTTCCTGGCCACGACGCTTAACATCACTGCCATCTGAACCAGACGTGGGCCATTCCCCTCTTCGCCAACCCGCACTGATAAGCGTGGTGAAGGATTTGAAAATAACCCTGGTGACGTGGTGTGGGGAGGCCATCCAGCAGTGGATGGACAGTGGCTTAAAATTATTGTTAAATTATTTTTAAGAGGCCATTGAGACCAGCAGCCGTATTTTTTTGAAAACAACAAACGTTTTATCGTGCTAATAAATTAAAACTCACAATCATGATAACCAGCAAACATCATAGCAGCAAACAGGGCCTAAAGTGCAACAAATAAAGACTTAAGCAAATGAAACCGCAAATGTAAAATTACAATACGAAAGCAGATCAAAATTACCAACACCAATGGGCAAGCTAAGGCTAAAACAATACGTAATTAGGTCAAACCAAGCATATCTATATAAACCAAACTGATTAAACTCAAATTCAATCACGTGTACCGCATGATCCGTGTGAGCGCGCGTGCTCACGCGGTCTTCACGCGAACCTCCTCTTGCCCCCGTCACGCGGCTTTGCAGGACCCCTGGGCCAGAGGGTGCTGCTGGTGTGCGTGCCGGTGTTTTCGACCACCCAGACTGCCTGCCTGCTCAATCTGCGCACCCTCCAGTGCCAGCCGATCAGCTTCTCCGCCTTCACGGAGCCGCCCGACGACGACGACGATGGAGAGATGGACGTTGGCAATTGATAGGGAGCCCCACTGTAAAAGGCAGAAGGAATGAATTGCCACCTGAAAAGCACTCCAAACAATAGTCGCGTAAGAATTCACCAGCAACCTCCTCCTCCAGTCTCGTTTCGATTCAAGAATCAAGAATGTGTTTCTGTCTTGTTTGTGGTTCAATTGTTTCTAGAGTGTTTTTTTGTTGCATTGTTGTTTTTTTGTCCTGTACGGCCTTGTTAGTTCAGCTGTGTTGCATAATCCCTTCCTGTCCATAAACCTACATGTAGCAAAATACAGTTTGCAATGCTTTGCATCTCCCACAATACATTGTTACACGCACATTTCGACGAGTGTAAGAATTAATTGTAAGTGATGAATCGTTCGTGGCAATTTAAACACTAATTTTTTTTTTAACCTTCACCGAACATCAGAAGCTCAAGGTGGATCCATTTAAATTCACAATGCATATCGGTGGCGTGTGGCAATGCCCGGACATTAGGATAACTGCTTGGCTTAAGGTTAATGAGTATAAAGACCCAGTATTCTTGTCCAGTATTCAAGATTCACCTTTTCAGTCTTAGAGCTAGCGGCGTATGCCGTAATTGAGATTACAACGCACATTTTGTCTTTGCTTCGGGAATTATATCACATTTTGCCAAGTAGACAGTTCCTTATGCTGTGCATGTGCCTATTAACTTACAGTTTTCCAGGGTGAATTGTCGACCACAGTGAAGTGTGGTAACTCAATATCACGTTGCTTCCTTGTTTCATGGACGGAATAAGATAGGGCCGAGCGGTACCGATATCAAGTGCCTGGAGTGATAAATGTGCCCTGTTCCTTCGTGTCAGTTTTGTAGATTAGCATGCTAGCTTATCAAGTTAATTAATGCGGAAACAAATACATACTTTCGGAACACATTAAAATTGCAATCACTGCAGCCAACTCGGTGAATCACTGCAGGTAACCGAGTTCCTTAAATTTCGTTTGAGTTGATTACTTTTTATGCTTTTGTTTTCAAGTGATACCTTTTACTTAGCTGTGCAAGGTGGCGTTGACATTTGTACACTTTTTTGCCAGGGAGGTTTGGAATTCCTTATTGACATAGATGCATTAATTTACAATTCCGTTGCGGGCTATATTTTAATATTTGATATGAGCGATGCCACTCATACACAATGATGAAATATTTCAAATAATACCACTGGATCTCTTGCATTCACAATATGGATTTTTTTCTATCAGGTCTTTGTTAACATTGCCTGCAAGAATCACCATTGGGCTCTGTAAATTGATCCAGTCGTGAGTTGGATAGTATTTGAGGTGTTTAGCTACACGTGGATTCAGTTGCATCTTGTACTTGCCAGAGTTATTGGACTTGCGTGACAGCCCCCACTGCCTTTTGTGCCCTGAGAGTTTATTTCACACCGTGTGTCTATCCCTCTGTGTGTGTGTGTGGTTTTCTCATGTTTGAGTTTTGCCTCTTTGTGTCGTGCACGCAGCCTTTGTTTAGCCGAGTCATTTCCTCATGTTGTGCCGTTTACGGATGCGGTGAATGGCATTAGTTTGTTTTAAAAATGTAGTCATTTTTTTGTAATAAACCCTTTACAAGGACGTTGATGAATATACGTGTTTCTTGGATTTATAAAATAAAGTAATTGTAATGCTGCTCGCGCATGTCTGTAAATGACAGGCCGGGCCGTGGTTTTTGTCTGGAGTGATCTGCGTGCTTTGATGTCACTACTCGACCTCTTTAACCTCTGCACATTGACAAACCTCTCCAGCCAAGTGAAAACTCATCTTTCCTCAAGGTATGCTCAATGTTGTTTGCTAAATTGTTTTGTTTTTATTGATAAGACCACTTCATTATCACTTCCACCCTATTACCCCCCATCGACCCAGTTCCACTAAAGCTTAAAAGCCGTGAATTCTCGCCGATATTCCTTTGATAAACGTTGAAACAGCCTCGGGGTCATTCACGACTGCAGTATCGCGATTGGGGATTGATTTTCAGTTCAAAGGTGCAAAGTTCAAGGTCGCCACGACCTCTGCGCAACCATTTTTTCTACCTGCTGTTTAGAAAGGATTACCCATTCTTGGTGAGACCTTGTAACAAACGTTTGCTTATTTTTTTACACCAAGTCATTACCTAAATCAATGTCACATTTCAGCTTTCTAGACGCCTTCATGGAAAATGTGTTCATTCGCTTCAAGTTCCTGCTGGCTTCAAACTCTTAATATTCCAGCGCTGTCATCAGTTACTCTGACGCTAAATATACCAGTCACCCTTTCATTGCTGCACCTTCATCTCTGCATTGAAGTCCTCCATTAATGATGTGTATTTTGGCCTCAAGTATAATTTATTAATTTGGCCGACGTGACATTGGCATTTTCTGGTCAACTCGTGTAGGAGCATTGTGTGAGTAGCCCACTTCACTCTCGTTTGCGCACTCGGAACGGTTCAACGGACAGTCTTCACAAGCGGTGCATGGTACAGACCCCGAGTGGAGGTTCTGTGAGTGCAACATAGTTTGGATAGGTCACAAGAAAGGTGAGTGGCTGAACTAGCACATTACACCGATACAATACGGCGTCTTAATCACTGCCAAACGTATTTAATTAACGCGTCCTTGGATTATTTACACGTCCTGGATTGTTCAGACTTGCAGTGGTTGGAGAGCCTTAATATGAAATGGATAATTATCTGTAAAGTACTTTCTAATTCTAAAATGCTATATTTGCTTCTGAGACTAAACGTCTCCATATTGACCTTAACACTGACCCATACGATTACTACAATATACATTTTTTACTCGGTTTCTATTCCTCACTCTACTAAGTCCATGGAGTCCTAATTTAATTTCTCTCGAGTCTTAATTCCATGTGTTGTGCGTCGCGATTGAAACGATCTAGAATGCGTCCTGGTGATCCCCAGTGATCACTGCCACCCCCTGCTCCTTCATATTCCCAGACGACCTCATTGCTGGTCAAACCAGAACTGCTGAGTACTGTGGGCCGTAGTTTATGCACAACAAACACGATGGTGTTTTTGACCATAAACTCAATTTTTATATTACCAGGTAAGACTCACTGAGCTATATAGCTCTTTTTCAAAAGCGACCTAGCTATCGCAAATGATGACTCAACGAAGTGGCTTATCAGGTGGAAGTTTATTGCAGCCAAATACTCTATAAACGCGCGCTTCTAAATGTGGAGGGGATAACCCGGTGAAAAATCCACGAAACCGCAAAATGCAAACTCCTAACATACAGGTTCCAGGGTCGGGATCGTACCCATGACCTCCTGTATACCAGGTGACATAGTTAACATCTTCTAGACATCGTGGCGCCCTATTTCAGCAGACTCGGCAGCGGAATACAAATATGACATCCATAGCTCACTTTTCGCGGTAATTCGTGGGTGAGTGTGGCATTAACGGTGATACACCTTCACATGCACGCCGGTAACCCATCACTGCGGAGGCCAAGGTTGGATCAAACAAATGTTGTGACGATCTATTCACGTGGACATCGAGACGCCATGCCCTGCTGGCTTGCCAAGAGAAAGTGGTACAGAAAAATGTGGACCCCCCCCCACCACCTGTGCCAGGTGCGTGGGTTCTCTCCAAGTGCTCTGGGTTTCTTCCACGTGTAATACTCATGAATTGGTGCATAACACCTTAATATATATAGGGCCGCGGAGCGTGGGCAATTGTGGGCACCTATTCGCCGTGTGGCTACCTTCCAGCTTGTCTGTTGTTCCAAGTGCCTTCGATCGTGAGCGAATACTGTGTGCGGCTGCGGGTTACACGTTGAAGTTAGTGATATTAACTGATCTACATTGACATTCTGTAGATTAAAATAACGCTTTCATTTGCTTTCTTTGATAGTTAGAAAGCATATCGGTATATTAATCAGATGCATAGAAAATAAAATAAATTATTCTGGCCTTTGAATAGAGATGGATGCAGAGGATACTAGAGCCACGATGGAGGTACAGCGTGACTTGGACGTTTTGAATGAAATGCAGCACTGAAGTTGAGTGGCAAGAGAGACGAGGCGGTGTGACCGGCAGGACACGTGTGCAGGGTGGAGGAGGGCATGATAGCAAGACGGACATTGGAGTTGCAACCACAGATCGGCAACCAGAGTGAAGCCCTGAAACCATCACTGTTAGTGGATGGGATGCCGTACGAATAGACTTTGAAGGTTGTGCGTTCACAATGCTAGAGCTGCGGTACTGTACCTGGTAAAATAGAAATACACGATAGCGAGGTGCGGTAGCTTCTGCGGCATTGTCCGTGATTACCTCCGTGAACTTAATTCCCTTCCTAGCCAAATCGGAAGTTGCCCCTAATTAGGGGGGGGCGGGCGGTGGGGACAGGTGGAGGGGGGGGCGCTGCTGTTCGTTCGAGTCGCCACTACAGGAACCTCCTCCTCCCCGTCTCACAATCCAAGTTAACCCTTGCAGTCCCGTGCGCCTCCCTGGTTCAAGTAATCACGCACGCGTGGTGGGGATCATCTCTTCACGCCTCCCCTCCTTGTTGCAGTAACCTGCTCCAAACGGTCGCATCGCGTCGCTGTGTGTGTGTGTCCGTGTGTGTCTCTTGTGTCTCTCCCAAGACCACCCGGCGCGAATCCGTCCGTTCAAAGCGGCCGGGCGCTCTGGCCGGCACAGCACACGGATCTGTCAGCCGCACACCGCCGCCTCGTCTGCGTTTCCAGCCTCTTGACATCACCGGCGGAGGCGCGTTCCTGGTCTCGTCTTCCGTCAACTCTCGTCTCTCTGTCATTCACCGCAACAGCTGCTGCTCTCGTCGAGTTGGCATCGTGGCCGCGTGCGCTTACATTGATTGCCTTCTCTCTTTGATACGACAATTATAATAATAGCAGCAGCCAATTTAATCATCTCGAGAGAGAGAGACAGAGAAAGTATCGAGGGGGAGACAGAGAGTAATGGATACCGTCGAGTTGTTATTGGCGCTGTCCACGGCGATGGTGCTGATTGTGTCACTCGTGTCAAACCTCACCGTCCTCTGCTGCTATGGCGCCAGCAGCGAGCTGCGTAAGCGAGCTCCCGGCGTCTTCATCCTCAACCTCACCTGCTCCAACCTGCTGCTCACCCTGCTCAACATGCCCCTCACCCTGGCCGGCGTCGTTCGCTCCGGCCACACCGGGACTCCCACCGCCCCGTTCACGGCGTCCAACTCCAACGACCCGCGCCAGCAGAATCAGCACCAGGTGTTCGCCAAGGACGAGCACGCGTCCTTATCGTCGTCGTCGTCGTCGTCATCTTCCTCCCTGTCGTCATCGTCGTCCTCGTCATCGTCGCGGCCGTGTGGAGAGAGCCTCTGCCAGGCTGCCGCTTTCGCCGAGACCTTCCTCACCACGAACGCCATGCTCAGCGTGGTTGCTCTGGGTCTCGATCGCTGGGTCGCAGTCCTCTTCCCCCTCAGCTACGCCGCCCACATGCGGCGTCGCGACGCGGCGCTGGTCCTCGCCTACGCGTGGCTTCACTCGCTCGCCTTCCCCGCCGCCGCCCTCGCTCACTCGCCCTCGTGGCTGGCCTACGGACCCTCGTACGCCTCGTGCACCCTGGTGCAGGGCCCTCCGCTGTCGCCACCGCCGCCGCCGTCGGCACCCGGCGGCCCGTTGGGGTCTGCGGGCTCCGCGAGCGCGCACCGCGGGTCCTCGGCGTCGTTCGCCGCCTTTTCGCTCGCCTACCACGCGCTCACCTTCTTCCTGTCGCTGCTCGTGCTGTGCCTCACCTACCTGAAGGTGCTGCGCGTGGCGCGCTCGCACTGCCAGCGCATCGACGTGGTCACCATGCACGCGCTCATCCTGCTGGTGGACATCCACCCCAGGTGGGTTGCGATGCCCCGCGCGCGCGATCATAGCTGCAACCACGCGCGCGTGCGTGCGTGCGTGCGTACAAGGACGAACATTCCCCGTGTAGCCTGCGGAAGATGTTGGGAACACGTGCGGTTCGTGAGCACCTCTGGAATGCCCGCACGGAGCGCGAGGAGCTGGTGTGATCGGAACCACGCCCGGTTGCATTTGTCTCCCCGAACTACTGACGGTTTGCACATCGCGTTGATACTTCATTGAATGTTGATTCGACCTCGGGGAGCCCCTGGACCGGTTCAGATAATCGCCACTGATGCTAACCGGGGGTCGGGAATCGAACTTAGTTTGCCGGGTTCTTAGTTCGGCAGTGCGTTAACGACAACACCAACGCTCCAGCGCCGTGCCAAGCAAACCCACCGAGTGGCATGACTATCCAGTGTGCCCGTGTCGTGATTTCCGATGTCCCGTACGCACGCGTGGTTAGCGTGCACGTCGCACGGCACGAGGAGTGGACTGGGGGCTCCGTCGCTATGCTCCACTATCCCCGCCACTCTTCATTAGCCTCACGCCTGGCTCACTCCGGCCCGCGGGCCCCGATGCAGTCGCACCACCACGCACACTCGCCAGCCAAGCCGTAGCGTGCGTCCAAGCGTCCGCGCGCGTGCCTGGTGAACCCGTGCCCACGTGAACCCGTGCCCGCGTGAACCCGTGCCTCGCGAACCCGTGCCCACGTGAACCCGTGCCCGCGTGAGCTCGTGCCCGCGTGAACCCGTGCCCACGTGAACCCGTGCCTCGCGTGAACTCGTGCCCGCGTGAACCCGTGCCCGCAGCGTGCGCGCGCGCTGCCTGGAGGAGCAGAAGGCGCGGAGGACGCGCGCGCCCCGGCGTGTGAGCACCTTCATCGGCACTTTCGTGCTCTGCTTCGCGCCCTACGTCATCACCAGGTGAGAAGCCACGCGGCAGGTTGTCCGCATTACCACCGTATACGATCGTCGTAAATACTAATAATGGTAATCATCACAATCATCGCCACCATTATACAAATGACGATCATCAACAATCAGTTGGAATAATCAGTGATGACGTTAAGCATTAGTACTGTGACGATCAGCATCGTGATATCATCATCATCATTACACACCAGTGGCGTTTGATTGTCTGAAACTGTTCTGGTAGCTTCCACTCCCCCACCTCCCACCCACCACTTTTTACCAACCCGCAATGTCCGGCAAGGCGAAGTGTGGTGAAGTGTGGTGAAGCAAGCTTCTTGACTGACATGGCGTGGGGGGTTGTCTACATCCAGCAGTGGGTTGAACGAGCGCTATAAATTAAGGTTATTGCTTAATAATAATATCGGAGTAGTGCAGCCTACTTGATATGCGGAACACAAAACGCTTGACTTCAATACATCTTTTCATTTGACATGCACGCCGTTAACTTACTGTTGTGTTGGACATTTTAAAACAACAATTACCATAACATTACCCAATTGAGATTATAGATACCGATCATTCCCGACTACAATACTGTGAAATCTTGGCAGGACCCTCTTAAAAAGGAGCCATGAGACTCGGCGAGAATGTCCCCGGGTTAAACAGGCGCAATAACAACAAAACTAAATGGATAACAATAATCTGGATATGGATATACACCACATCAACTTAATCTATAAGCAGCTGCAAGTTCGCAGATACAATTATATATTTGTTTACTTAAGAGACCTGGGTGGTGGGTGGGGGAGAGAATGCTAACAAATTGTACACACAGATTGACAGAAGTAACGACATACAGTACTCTTAGTTTTTTCGGTAAAGTCACGTAGGTAAAAAATGAAATAAAAATTAATAAAAAATAAAAAAATAAAAATAAAAAGCACGACGTTTCGGAGGCAACACAAGTCTCCGTCATCAGGTGGGACCGTCACAGCCAGATTTGCTGTATCAAGTGAGGCAGGGATTCCAAGATGCAAGTTCTTAGCGATGGTTATTACCTTGAAGTAACGACTTCAAAATTCGAGTGGAATGAGCTCCGACGCGCTCTTCCTCCCACTGGGTTCAGTGCCAGGAATCTCAAATCAAATCCCCACCCACACCCATAGCAAACAGACGACTGACTCTCTGAGCGTTCCGCGTGAGTGAGTCTGCGTGCAAAGTGTGGACCGTGCGTGTGCATTTGGGAAACGGTGGTGCGTCGACAGATCGTTATGCGGTCACGGTCAATGTTGTACGCAACATAGATTGACATTCTACAGGGGCTACTGAGAGTCGAAACAAAACAGCGGCAGTCTTATACTGGGCAGTCGCAGTCTGACAGTGTTTATAGTCTACGCAATGCAGTTACAGTCTACACAAGTCTACACAAGGTAATTGACAGTACAAAGAGTACACAATACAAATACAGTACACATTGTTAAGACAGTTATCCACGAGGCAGAGACAGTATATTCTCGCAGAGACACTCTAATACATACTCTTAGTCTACTGGACATTTGTGAAAAATAGCTTTATAGCTGATCAGATTCCTGAAGTCGAAATCGTGGAGACGGTCTACACAGGCAAACACATCGACTGTCGTGCACACAATACAGTCTATAAACACATTTCTGCGGAGGGAGCTAGTAGGAACGTTGGGTTGCTCGGTCAATGGCCAGGGTCAACGGCGGCGTGGTGTATTCCGCAAATATGGCCGACTGTGAGGGCGGGCACAAGCCGGCGTGAGTAGGTTAAACATTGAGTTTTATAAGGGCACCACGGGGTGACCAGCCCCTACCCACCCAGCCCTACCCCTCCCACCCCCCACCCAGCCCCACCCTCCCCACCCAGCCCCTCCCCACCCTCCCCTCCCCACCCAGCCCCTCCCTTCACGACGGTCGGACGGACACAATAATCCCCTGTGGGCTGGTGTAACCAGGAGGTTCCTACCAGTATGAAAGCGCTAAAGTGAGGATGTGTCTGCGCCCGTACCCCCTCCCATCCGTGCCCCCACCCTTGCACCCCCCTCCCGTCACCCCTCCCCCCGCCCCGTGCAGGCTGGTGGAGCTGAGCCCCGCCGTGCCGTTCATTGACCGCCGCTGGGGGCTGTTCACGCGCTGCCTGGCCTACAGCAAAGCGGCCCTCGACCCCTTCGTGTACGCGCTGCTGCGCCGCCAGTGCCGCCGCGTCCTTGCCGAGATGTTCCACCTGCGACGCCACCACAGCCACCACCACAACCACCACCACCACCACAGCAGCCACCGCAACCGCCGCCACAGACACCACCGCTTCTGCGGCTCGCGCTCCACGGGACCCCGTTCCACGCTCGCCCTCGCCTCTGACGCCAGCGACTCCGTGGTGTTCACGGAGAGGCACAGCCCCGTGGGACGGGAAGATCCCTGTGACATCTCGGGGCCCATGGAGGAGATGGAGTTGGAGGTGGAGGTCTCAGAGGTGACTGCGAGCTCGCGCGTCAGGATCGGAGATGAGAATGATTACGAGGACGACGACGACGACGATTACGACGGCGGTGGTGGTGGGCAGCAGAAGGAGAAGAAGGAGGTGAGAGGAGAAGCAGAACGCGGGGATGGAGGAGAAGTTGGAGGAGCCGCGTTGGGACCTCATCACGTTGGGGCGTCCCTGAGGGCAACGCAATCGGAACGCGCGTTGGTGGAGGAAGTCGGGCTTCTGAAACCTGCAGACAGGTTCAGCGGTGACTTTTCCTCCTCCTCTTCCTCCTCCTCGTCGTCGCCATCTTCATCGACGTCCTCATCGTCCTCGCCGCCTCAGAGGGCGGACCGCAAGATGCCCGGGCGGCGAGGCGTGAGTCTCCCTCTGAGCACCGTCATGGAGGAATGTCCCGGCTCGTGCCCCGGCTCGTGCCCCGTGGCGCCCTTCTCGACCCTGAACCCGTGCCCCTCGGGGGAGAACGCGACATCGCCTCTCGCGAGGGCGAACCCCTCTCGAACCACGGTGTAAGGGGAATGGACTGCGAAGGATGACGATGAGGAGGATGACGACGATGAGGGTGAGGAGTTCCCGGGTGGAATAATGAGAGACATCGGAAGACCGTCGTCGAAGGAACGAGTCGAGGAACATCGCGGCAAGAGGCGAGAGTTTCGGAGCCGGGGCTGGCGGTGGTGGTGTGGTCGTCCATCACGCGGACAGCTCTTGATTCTGAAAGTTCGACGAGCGATGGAAGGTCTCGCTGCCCGAAACTCCGCGGGACAATGGCCCAGAGGATGACACGGAGGCTCGGGGTTTTAATTCACACGCCCTTGTTGTCTCCTCTACGGGGAGTGGAGGGGGGGACCAGCGCTCGGCTGCGGCTAAAGTTGGCTTCGCGTTCACGGGTTTCGCTAATAGAATTACCTTATTTAAACCGAGTGAGAGCCCCGCTGAGAGGCGTCTGTTGCGGAAGGCGCCGTGGGTGCGTCGCGGTTGTCCGCGCGCCTTTGTCCTGCCCGGACGTGTGCCGCTGCACCACGGAGCAATCGCGTGGCGGCGAGCGCGCTGGTATCCCGAGTTCCATTTCCGCTCACGGTCAATACGAGTGGCTAACGAATCAATCGAACCGGTCTTGGGCCTCCCCATTGGAGCGACTCGGCGTTAAATGAGTACCCGCTGCGGTGTGTAAACATCAGCTCAGCACTGGGGAGACAAAGGCGTCCGGGCGTCATGGTGGTCACCCACCTTCTCGCGTGCCGTGTCGGTCTCCATAGGTGCTCGCTAACAGCACTTGTCCCAAGAGCCTGTTCAAGGCTACACGGGGGGGGGGGGGGGACTGTGTGCCCTGGACAAAGTCCCGTCAGCGAGCTCCTCCGGCATGCGAGGCTGCGTTGGGTGGGTTTCGTAGCCCGCATGCCCAGCCGCCAAGCAGTTGGTTTGGCCGGATAGAAGTTGGCAAGCGGGCGCGACACGGGCTGGAGAAGAGATGGGCTGGTGTGGTACACGAGGACGTAAAGCTTATTGGACTTGCCGATGACCGGTACCAGCGGTGTCAAGATCGGTCTCTGTGGAGGAGGCTCGTGAAGGACGCAACTGGGCAGTTGGAGGCGGTCGCCCTCCAGCAACAACGGAGGGTAGAGGAGCGACGCTCACAATAACGAGCGGAGCGCCGGGTGGATTAAACGCAGCAAGTTGGTACAGTAGGTGGTACAGCTGGTGCATCTGCCAGTCATCTCAGTCAGTCAACCCCATTGACACTTGAGTCTGTCCCGTGACCTCCTGCCAACAGCGAGCCTTCGACACTTCACGTGGCCTCAAAGCGCACCTAGCCTGGCACAAAGCGAAGCGGCGACATCAGTGCCACTCATTGGCGAATGGAGGTTGTTGCCGTGCCCGATGTATGCGTGTGTACTCTTGCGGGGGGCGGGGGGGGGGGGCGATAGAGTCCATGATGACCAGAATGTAAGTGCACGTTCGGGCGGTATCGTTGCCCTGCCGTTGTAATCAAATCTGTAAATTGACGAAACCGTCAAATCACACGCAGCGGGGAAAAGTGCAAAGCGCGCAGGCTGCTGCCGCGTGTGTGCTCTGAGCACGTTTTGTGTTCGTTGTTTGAAACTATCGTGGTGTGTGTGTGTACATATATAATGTATAAATAGTATTTTGTACGTGTGTGTGCGTATATTCAGCGCAGTGCGCAACCAAGACATGTGCAGATTTAGCCCATCGCAGATGATCTGTGACTGCGTTATTATAGAGGTGTAATCGTGTGGCGGGCAGATCGTTATCGCCACGCAAAATAGTTCACCATTGATACAGATGAACGTGCGGTAGATGTGCCTGGTGTCTGTGTCGAACCGTCAGTACTGGGGGATACACAAATGCGACCGCGCGTGGTGCTCGCTACACCATCATCATCGTTGTGCTCGCTACACCGCCACCATCGTTCATCGTTCCGGCCTTCATAGGTGCTCACGAACAACATTTCCCCTGACAGTCGCCAATGACTGCACAAGAGAAAACCAATACATTGCATTCGGTTGATCACAAAGTGTCCAAAGGCCAGCTATATGATAATAAAAAAACTAATATTTAAATGACCATGTGATGAATATTTTTCTGCAGGAGCGCGTGACGGAAAGTTCAACGACCCCCCTACTGGATGGATAAATGGCCTCTTGACGGTGTATCACATGAGATGTAGTTCTGCGATGTCTCCTTCCACGGGCCGTTAGCTATCCAGCACGTTGCGATGCCCTGCTCGATTGGGATTTTCGAACGGATGTAATCACCGCGTCACGTGACGCTCATTTGGAATAGAATTTCGAAAGACGACCAAATAAAATGCGGGCTGGGTGTCTCTGTAGTCGGAGCGATTCACTCAAAATAAAATAAAAAGTCCTGAGTTCAATTCCTGGATGGAGTCCCCTACCCCCCGGGGTTTTACTCAAACGAATACAGTGGACGTCTCCATATGGATGGATCGGTCTCCCGTCATAGGAATGTGGAAACGCCATCAGCAAGGCATGACGCTGGGACAGCCGTAATAGGTTCGCGCTGACAGCGCTGGCTTCTCCGGTCTATAGATCTACACGGGGCACGGCTTGTCTCGGTGCATGTTTGCAACAACAACAACAAAAATAATAGTCAGTTTTAAGATAAATGACGCGAGTATATTTATAAGCGTTTAAATATACCCCCTAGGATTTCAGTCTATCCCATACTATTTAAATGATACCCGCTGAGTATAAAGCGATGGTGCATGTCTTCGGTACATCTCCATCCAGCACGTTGTGATGTGTCTGTGTTTGCACTCCAGTTGTCTTGCGTGAATGTCCCCACGTCCGTTTTCCTTGTCTTTGTGTTTGTCTCTCCCCGTCTGTCTCCCCCCCCCCTCCAATGTCTATGATTTCCTTACGTATCTCTCCTTGTCTCTGTGTCCGTGTTTCGCTGTCTCTCCACGAGTGTCTCCACGTCTCCGTGTCTGTCTTTCTATCGGTCTGTCTCTCTATCGGTCTGTCTCTCTATCGGTCTGTCTCTCTATCGATCTGTCTCTCTATCGATATGTCTCTCTATCGATCTGTCTCTCTCTCGGTCTGTCTCTCTCTCGGTCTGTCTCTCTCTCGGTCTGTCTCTCTATCGATCTGTCTCTCTATCGATATGTCTCTCTATCGGTCTGTCTCTCTCTCGGTCTGTCTCTCTATCGGTCTGTTTCTATCAGAGGTGGGACAAAGTCATTGTTATGCAAGTCCAAGTCGAGTCTGAAGTCATCAAATTCATGACTCGAGTCTGACTCGAGTCCAAGTCACATGACTCGAGTCCACACCTCAGAGGTGGGACAAAGTCATTGTTATGCAAGTCCAAGTCGAGTCTGAAGTCATCAAATTCATGACTCGAGTCTGACTCGAGTCCAAGTCACATGACTCGAGTTCACACCTCTGGTTTCTATCGATCTGTCTCTCTCTCTCGGTCTGTCTCTCTATCGATCTGTCTCTCGCATTGCCCATGGTGCGGCGAGGATATCTGAAAACAAGACAAGATCTCGCATCGCCTGTCCGGTTGTCTTTCCTCCTCTGTCTCTGATGTCTGAGTTTCCCTTCCCGTGTCTCGCTCCACGTCACCGTGGTTGTCCCCGTGCCTGCATTCCTCCTCGTCTCTCACCACAGTGTGCACGTACGTTGAACTTCTTTCGCACCGCACGTCACCCGCAACGCTCTTGGGAGGTGCGTGTGGGGGGAAGGAAGTGGGTGGAAGGCTGGAATCTTCGTTCCTCTGCGCACCCTCTGCCGTGTCTCGCCGTGATCTTCTCACACCTTGCGACGCCTCCCCCGTCCCACGAGGCGTCCGTCTGGCGTGTTCTCTACCCGTCTGCGTTGAGGAGCTTAAAGGCCAAATACTTTCCCCTGCGTACTTAACCCACACAGCAATAAAACAACAAAGTTATACGACCATTGCCGCCTGCCAGACGGTTACCCCCGCCTCCCCGCTTTGGCATACCCCCTCCCCCATCTGACAGGGTCGCTCCGTATCGTGGGGGGATGGGGGGGTACCCCCCCGTGGCTTTTCACGACGTCTGCTGCTGGAGGAGGAGACGAGGAGAGATGCGGGCGGCGAGTGTGGTGAGAGGAGTCAAACAGAAGCCGTGATTTGTTGCACGACCAAAGAAAAGAAACACTGACATGCGGCCGATCTCGCCGCATCTCAGAAACCAAACGGCGTCCGGGTGTGGTTTTAATATTTGAATGGCAGACTGCCTGGGGAAATAATTACAGATGTTGCGCGGCAGGCTTGGGCTGCGAGCTCGTCCAGGAGATCGCGGTGCAGCAATTGATTTTTGAATCTATCTGTGTGGAGCTTTGAGTATTACCCCACGTTGTATGTAGTCTATATTCGGGCTGAACGATTTGGGGAAAATGTCTAATTGCGATTTTTCTGAGATATTGCGATTTGATTTGGGATTAAACTTTTAAAGTCAAGCTTCAGTTCAATATTCACTGTGTAACAGATTTAAAACGTGTGATGGAGCATTACCACATGATACCATCAAAATATGAACTGCTCTATATATCCTAATGCAAGGATGATAACTTAAAAGATATGAATTGCTTCCCACATGTATTTATTAAAAAAAAGTAATTAAAATAGAACAATAAAACATAAAACTATTGTTAAGTTAAATAAATAAAGTTGTAATAATAATAATACAAAATAAAACAATTCCAATAAGAAAGTAATAGGACTTTTCAAATCGCAAAAAATCGCAGCCTTTGCGATTTGCTAATCGCATTGTTTCAAATTGCGATTTCGATTTGAAATCGATTAATCCTTCAGCCCTAGTCCATGTGCATGGCGGGTTTCCTCCACCTACTCTGGTTCCTCTCAACAGCGGGCAGCTGAATTCGGGCTCCTCCTTCCACCCTGCAGTATAAATGTTTGGTGGGCTAAAGTGTGGGCGCTCCCACCTCTGCCAAGACGTCTGGCCATCGCGGAAGAGTAGGCCTAACACCGCACAGAGCTCCTCTAACAGGAGCTCTGTGCAGCCCAGGGAAGTGGTTATCAACATCGACTCGGCAAGGCCGTGTGAAACGTTCCCGCGACGCTGTTGCAGATGCGATTTTTTGGTTTTCATAAGTCATCACATTTTTTGTTAGTGTCCTTTGCGCAGATATTTAGATTAGTCAATACAAAAGGAAGTTACTCGTTTTCATGGCGTTTTGGTGTCAAATTATAATTATTGTAAATAATAAATAGCGCTTTTTTCACAGTTTTTAAATCTATGTCCTTTGGTGCAGCGTGGTCGTCCGTGAACATCTCCCGATGCTTGGGAGTGCTCAGTGAGTTGAGAGCCACGAGCTCTAGAGGAGGACCCTGGATGGGAGAGGTCGATGCGCTTCCCGCCAGCAGCAGCGTGAGCAATAACACCCCAGCAGAGCCGTCCATAGGGCACGGTGACTCGGGGCGATCGCCCCGGGCCCCGCGCTTTGGAGGGGGGGGGGGGGGGGCTGCGTTCGACGTCACGGTGTCAGATGTAATATTTTTGGTTTAGTTGGAAGGCGTCGGGGCAAACAAAGAGAAAGATCCCCCGTATAGCCTTGACAGACTGTAGGGGCAACTGCTGTTAGCGAGCACCTATGAAGTCCGGCACGGCAGACGAGGGGTGGGTGGACAACACCACGCCAGGCCGCCTTCGTCTCCCCAGTGGCGATGTTTACACACCGCACCAGGTACTCATTTGAGGCTAAGTCGACCTAGGGGAGGCCCAGGACCGGTTCAGATAAACGTCGCCGGTGTTGGCCGTGAGCGGGAATCGAACCCGGGTCGCCAGGGGTGGTAGCGTGGGGGGGGGGGGGCACACAGACAGTGGGATTTTCCCCGGGCTCCGCACCCCTCCTCTGGACGCCCCTGCATGCCAGGGCTTTTTACCTTTAGCGTAGAGACCACAGCGGGCTCGTGTGAGCCGAGCTCCTCGGCTTGTATAATACCGCGCTCCGCTGTCAGTTGTTTTGGGCATGAGTCCAACCCCTCACAAGATCATATGCAGCGGGGAGAGAGGGATTGAATAGACTTTGCCGATCTGATTATTTTTTTAAATTTACAATGCAACTTAAATGAATTTTTTTGTCTCCATCGCACGAACGCGCTAAGATGCATAATGTATATACCGCCGTACTGTCATTGCTCTTCAACGTTCGCTCTGAACGTCAATCATAAACCAGCACCGCGTGTCATTCACATAGCGTGCACCCTACGCGGTTTCTTTTGCAGCAAAAACCCCAGCTCCAAATCCTTTGTGAAGTGAGATCCAGTCTCTGTTTTCAACTGATCAAGCAGGACCTATCCATAGGGACTTTTAAATTTGCCAAGGGAAACGGAGGACATGCTTTTGAGAGACGAGTTACGCGGTGGATCTTTGTCTTTATTTTATATGTGTATATACACACAGAAGATCATTACTGAGCAACTGGTGTCAAATGCATTGCTCCAGATTTTTTTTCCAGAATGGCTGTTGTACAGCTGGAATTTGGCAAGAAAAATATAGCTGAGTCTGCCTAAAACGAGAGAAAAATCCGAATGTTGGCCAGCAAAAACTGAATTCAAAGGCCAAGGTTCTCGAAAAATGCATTAAGTCTCGTAAGGCATATTGTAGACTTATACGATTCACATCGTTAGTTAACCGAGAAATACGCCTCTCATAGGGTGTGATGCTTAACCGGGAGAGAAAACAGATGATGGTCAAAGTCTTCTACCGATAACGAGTCAATAAATACTCCAGGGTTTAATTGTATCCGAATCTGAATGGAGGCCCTGCACACCACATCCAGTATAGCTCGCGGTATGGATGTGGATCATAACGACGGAGCCACCTACCTACATACAACTATTGAGAAAACGAAGACCCATGGCTATCCTGCGCACGTGGAAATGAGTTCGTGTGCCAGAACACGGATCGGTGTCAGCGCAGGACCGCTAGGGATGGCGGCGGCACGGGCAAGAGGGGGTGGTGGCAGATGCCTTCATCCAGCAGTGGACAAACCACAGCTCCCGAACGTCTCGCGCGTTGAGCCCCGCGCAGCTCCATGGGCTACTCGGGGCGATTAGCACAGGTCGGCTACGTGCGGTGCAAAAGAAGTTCAACATACATACAGACATTCAGACACACATGTCACATCCTCCACAGTCTCCTCATTGCGCGCACATGGCCGGGAATTTTTTTAAAAGTCCAAACCCCAAACACGCTCGATGGCTCCCTCCCCCTGCTGTCTCCACCCTATCAACGCCCCCCCCCTCTCTCTCTCCCTTGTGCCCTCTCCCTCCTCATCCACCGTGCATTGCGTGCAAGGCTCAACCACCCCTGGGTGGCGTCGGGTATTGCCAGGGGCCGCATAGGGGGTTGGCTTGGTTGGATTTGAGGTCTGTGGATGGGTGCTGGGAAGGAGGAGGAGAGGGAAGAGGAGGTCGCGGGGAAGGGTGGGGTGGTTCTGCGAAGGGAAGACAGACAGACACAGACAGAGAGAGAGAGAGGGCAGCAGAGGAGTGGAGGGGAATGGAATAGCTACGGGGCTAACGAGCGAGCGCCGGATCGCCGACGTGTCATCATTGTGAGTCCAATTGGACACGTGGTCACAAAAAACCTGCGTTCTTAACCCACACAGCGAGCCACGTGGTTTAAGAGTGATTCTATTTGCGTTGCATTGTGCAGCGCACACACACACACAGAGCGTGATGTTGATGCTGGTTACGATACTGCTGCTAACTTGTGGCGCTGATGTCCGCTGTGCAGGAGTCCCCTTGCCGCTGATGTCTTGACGCTCATTCATTGATCGCATTTTTTTCCCGCACCTCTCAGCCGTCGGTTCCGCGAGGATTGGCGAGCGAGGTTCCGGGAGAGGAGCAAACAGAGTTGAGGCGACCATGGAAATCCGGATGCTGCAGCGACTGATCCTGGCGGTGGTGCTGGTGGTGCCCAGGGCTACTCAGGGTCAGGATTGTGACCCCCGATCGCGCGACTCTTATGGTGAGGCGCGAGGACGATATTGAAGATGGTCATCATCGTTTTAATCTTCATCAGCATTGCCATCATGATCTGCACTGTGAATTTGACTTGCTACTTTGATCAATAATTCATTACATCACATGCATCACCGAAGACGCGCGTGGTGTGAGCACCGGTCGCATCAAAACGTCACCAGGCAGATGCGCACACCTCCTTCATGAATGGAGCATTAAAGACAAGCCACAGTAGTGCGATTGTGGCCATGAAACCCAAACTATGAACCACGTAGGAAACAAATGTCATCTGCGTTGCGTCAACGAAGGAGACGCAATAATAAAGCGACACGAACTTTCTCCCGAAGCCCTCTCGTCGTCGCCAGTTGACACCAACATTGGCATCTAGCTCCTGAGCATATTGCCATCATTCGCAAGAATATAATCGAATGCGTCTATAACTTTGCTGCTCATCTCAATACACCATGATCTTTCACGAGTAATTCCCTTGCTGCTTGTGTCAAGACTAACATAATCTCAAAATGCCTCTTAGTAGTCTCAAGACATCATCGTCGTCTTTAAGACTTTGCTACTTGTACATGATGATGCTCGTCTTCTTTAGTTTGTTGTCCTTCCCCCGCACCTCCAATTAGCACGGTTGGTTACGTACGGTGCGAAAGAAGTTTAACATACGTACGTCTGTAGGGTCGTTGCTTGTGTCAGGGCAAACTTCATCGTCGTCGTCGTTGTAATCGTCTGTTTCTCACTCAACGCGTGCCCACTGATCGATGAATCGATTAAAATCGATTATGTTCGGTCAAGATACTGCGCATACATCTTGAAACTATACACGTCGGATGCGCGTCGTGGATGAACGGCAATGATTTCATTCTTGTTAGTTCATAACTTTTTCTTTGCCACGAATAATCGGTCGCTACACGTTGAATGTTGCGCGTGTAAATTTAATGTAAACATTATATACAAGTAAAAAAAGGAAGATATTGATGCAAGTAATAATTTGCAAATGATATGCGGATATTTGATTTAGTCTTTCAAAACTATGCAAAGGAACAAAAACGATAAACGATACAAACGAGACGGCAAAAAAAACTACAAAAAATTTGATTTTGTAATCGAATCGTAAAGTTTGTTACATGCATCGGGAGAGGGCCGTGTTGTGTGTTGTTTGATTTTGTGTCCAACTGGGACCCACATCTTAAAAGAGGGTCCATGCCTACAGCCAGTCGCGACTCGTGCAAGCTCGACTCTTCGGCTGATGAGACACTGTATGTTGAAACCGGTAAAGAGGTTTGCTAGTCCCGAATCCAATGCTGCTAATCATGAATGCGTGGATCATAACTTAATATTTTTAATGCGCTGGGACAGATATATATTAAGATGTATATGGTTATCTGTTACATACTGTATATGAATCGGGCCGTGTTTTGGAGTTGAAAATCCATTCTTGACCCGTACCCTCCCCCCTCCCCCGCCTTCCCCAATCCGCACTGACAATCGTGGCGAAGTATGGTCAAATACCCCCCACGATGCGCAAGGCGTTTAGGGAGGTCCTCGTCCAGCAGTGGATTGACAAAGGGGCTGCTGTATCACGTGGACCATGCGCTTCGAGCGCAGCGCCGCTGCCTGGCCAAGATCGCCCGAGGTTTTCTCCTCTTGCTGGTGCCATGTGGTTTAGATTTCTGCACCCAGGCGTTGGCACGCCACAGCATTAGCCCTCGTTCCATAAATCAAGGGGTTTTACCGTTAAGCGGCCAAAAAAAAACTTCGACAGAGACCAAAAGCTTCGATGGAGATTTTTCTTTTTAAATAACTGCAACATCGCAAAGACGTGGGGGGGGGGTCTCGAGAGTGCACGAAAAACATTTGATGAAGATCAGTAGCCCTGTCTCAAGATGATGAAGTCAAGTTAGGCGGACTGCTTTTTGCTCTGAGTGGCTTAGACTATTACTAACAGGTTTTCGGGGCACATGAAGACAACGATCCCCCCATATAGCCTTAACATACTGTTGGGGCAAGTGCTGTTAGCGAATAGCACCTATGAAGGCTGGAACGGTACATGAGGTGGATGGGTGGCCATGACCACACCCGAACGCCTTTGTCTCCCTAGTGTCGATATTTAGACACCACACCAGGTACTCATTTGAACCGAGTCGACTTAGGGGAGGCATCAGGACCGGTTCAGATAATCGTCACTGATTCGTTATCGACAATGTGTGAAGAACTCATTGAGCTAATGGGTCAGAAACCTCGCGAAACAATAGCAGATGAGATTTGGGATGTCAGATATTTTTCAATGATTGTTGACTCCACCCCAGACCTGTCACATGTGGACCAATTGACGTTCATATTCCGGTTTGTTAACAGCAGCGGGAGAGTGGTGGAGCGATTCCTGGGCTTTGAGCCAATCGAAAGCCGCACTGGTAAACCTTTAGCAGACTGTGTGACTTTCTTTGATGGTGGAGGGCCTTGGGTTGGACCTCTCTAACTGTAGAGGCAGTCATATGACAATGCAAGCAACATGTCAGGAAAATGCAATGGGCTACAGGCTCACCTGAAACAAAAAACCCATCTGATCGAGTCTGTGCCTTGCGCAACACTTTTGTAGCACTAAACTTAGTTGGTGTTAACACCTTAGACAGGAGTAGCCCAGAGGCTGACGAGTTTAACATGTTACAGTCACTGTGCATATTTTGCTCTTCATCCACACACAGATGGGGGAAAGTCTTTCGGAAAACAGATGTTAGACTGACATTAAAATCGTTGTCTAGTACTCGGTGGAGTGCTCGGGCAGAGTCAACCAAGGCACTGTGGAGAAATTACACCCACATTAGAGAGGCCTTCAGTGGTATGTGCAATGATGATAATGAGAAAAGAGATACTCGAATTGAGGCCGCTGGACTATGTGCTAAATTGGACACCTTAGAGATGGTGTTTATGACACATGAACACCATCTGGGACGTCATACTTGACCGGTTCCACGCTACAAGCATGCACCTACAGACAAGTGACATTGACATCTCTGTAGCAGCACAGCTTTGTCTTTGTTGAGGGATTTTGTTACGGGACAGCGAGACCAGTTTGAGGCTTTTGAAAGGGCAGCCTAAAATGTGACAGGTGTCTCTCAGTCATATAAGCACGATCTTCAGCGAAAGAGGAAACACAAAACATTTGTAGATGAGAGCTCAGAGCCAGGTGTGACACTTGAGGGGAGGGAGAAGTTCAAAATATAAACATTTTACGAGGTCATTGATAAGCTAGTGGCATGCCTTGAACATCGCTTGGATGCTTACAAGCGTTTGACCAGTCTCTTTAGAGTTCTGTTTGTCAGATCAGGTGTCTAACAGTGATGTCATAGTGGAAAGGTAAATGCACTCTCTGCTGCATATCCATCAGACCTGGAAATGAACTTTGCCAATGAACTCATCCAATTCAAGTCTGTCATGTCTGACTCTGAGGGTGAGAAGTGCCCAACTAAATTGCTAGAGACGTTACAGGTACTTCATCTGCAGTCAGCGTTCCCCAATGTGTTCGTGGCAATTCGGATGTTTCTAACTTTGCCAGTGACAAACTGCCAGGGTGAGCGGACATTTTCCCTTTTAGGCAGAATAAAAACGAGCTGTGGAGAAGCATGTTGCCTAACACGTCTCAGCTCATTGTAACTCATGTCAATAGAGTCAGACTTTGTCAGACAGCGAGATGTTGACGATCTAGTGGATGATTTTGCGAGGGGGAAGGCAAGAAATACACCAATATAGAAAAGCGGGGGGGGGGTCTCCAAAAGACATGTGTCCAGGGGCCTCACGGGACCATGATCCGGCCCTGGAAGATGAACAACCTTAACAGCTGCCTCGAAACAAATAAAAACCAGCTGTAATGAGGCATGCTTAATCCACTGCTGGATATACGGACTCTGAGCCGCCACCACCCAGAACGTGCAGGGAAAGTGGTGGGAACGGTTAGAAGGCTAACAGGGAACGCATCATCTAAACGAAAACAGTCTGGCGATTTTTTTTGTGCGTGTTTGAATTGAGATATATAATGTTCACAAGACATCGTGGGATTCCAAAGCGAGCTCGCGATTAGTGACAGCACATGTAATTCGAGACTCCGCACGTGTTTAGGGGGCTGGAGGAGGACGAGGAGGAGAGGTACGGTTCGCGGGTTACCAGGACCGGCGTTTATTGGAGTGGCATCCGCCAGAGATCGGCGACCCAGGGGAAGATTCTCCTAAACATCAGAGGATGCTGGTGGTGGCCAGGATGAGTCATATTCTTAATATTCTTAAGCCAGAATGAGTCTTGATAATACACAAGTCCGTCTGTGACGAGAAAACCCATCGTTTTCAGAAACATGAGTTTGCAGGTCAAGAAAGCAACGAGGTTCATCGAACACGTGCACTGCCGGTAGGGAAGCTCTTTGTCTCGCGCAATGTCCCCGCTGTCTCGGGGTCTTCTCGTCATTCACACATTTCAATTGTCGCCGTGTGGGCAAGTGCCGATGGGGTACCCGTGATGTTGAAGTGGCTAGAGGGGAGGAGAAGGGGGGCTCCTCTGGACAGGATCTCAGAGGCAGACTTGGCAGCTGTGGACATCGGTGACTGTACCGCACTGATGAGTCTTAATTCTGGTGAAACCGATCTACAGTTGTCTCTGTCTCACTGCTGCCCGCCCGTTGGTCTGGTGACGTTTGCTCGATTTTTGGACGACCACAGTTCAGTTGGTCGGGAACTAAGCAGGTTACTTTGCTGCTGCTGCTGCTGCGTTGGCGGTGGTGGACAAGCACAAACAAACAACAACTTGACACATTCGTCAATAACACTGTGACCTGACGAGGAAAACAGAAAATACCATAAATAAGCAAAAAAAATGTTGAATTTCAATGAAGGACATCCGTCAACAAGTCTATGATATAACAACCGGGCAATGCAGATGGACAGAATTCGGTGTTCTGCCAGCAGTGATAGTTGAAATTCAATATGAAATTCAACACTTGAGTGTATGTATATTTTGTCCTTTGAAGGTCACAGTGTTATTGACGAATATGCTGAGTTTTTATCTTGACTTGAAGCTTTCGTGACTGCAGGAATTCATATTCTTTGGGTCTTTCGGTAAAGTCACGTAGATAGGTTCAAAGAAAATAACAAAAAAACTACGACGTTTCGATCGCAACACAAGCGATCGAAACATCGTAGTTTTTATTATTTTCATTAAACCTATCTACGTGACTTTACCGAAAGACGCAAAGAATATGCTGAGTTTCTGTTGTGGTTATTTGTGCTTATGCAACATGCCAACGTAGCAGCAGCAGCATCACCAACTAATTTGTTTATATTTTATCGTACCACTAATTTAGCCACGTCGCCATCATCATCATCACTAGCCATGATCAATCCACTGCTGTAATATGAACCCATTACATACAACACTTTCTACTGTTGCAGTGCTTTGGTGTGGCGTTAGTACGGCGCCCGTTTCATGTTGAATAACTGCGTTTTGTCGCCACAACGTACCTCCTGTAGTTCCCCGCGCAAATTCGAAATTTCCCCTGCACGGTATACATGCCGCAGCCTGAGAGGCGATTGCCTCTCCCCCAATAAAGAAACCCATTACACCACAAGCGATCGTATGATCGATATCAAACCGTGACCTGATGCTTCGTTCCTACCCCCAAGTATCTGAGTGTTGCTGATGACGATGATAATACTGCTGCTGCTGATGATGACGATATTGTTAATGTTGTTGATGATGATGATGGACAGGCGATTGTCCACCCGAAAACTACTACCCGGATGTCGAGCGCAGCCGAGATCCATACGACCACGTGGACAGATATTACGAAGAGGGACCCGAGCCTGGTGAGGTTAACCCCGGCATGCACTCGCCACCCACACGCACCGTCGGAGCGCGTGTCGGCGAGCACCTATTAAGGTCGGCGCAGTACGCAATGGGATTAACCGCTGTGTTCAGCACTGTGGGTCATGCCCGGCCGCCTTTGTCTCCCCGGTGATGCGAGCGTTACAGATAAATATGCTTTACCCTTCACCTACATTTCAGTGTTTGTTTTTCACTGAATATTTTCCGGGTCGCTGGTAATTACGATTGGAGTAGGCACGTTACAAGTAGCCAAGGCTACCGCTGTATTAGATGTGGTGTGCCGCGTACCTAGCAGGACAGACACGGCTGAAGTAAAGCCCCGTGTATGGGTGGGGGAAACGGTGGCACAGTGGTCGGCGGTCCGCTTTTTCAAACCTGGCGAGTTCGAGTTCGAGTCCCAGCCACAGCCGGCGATTGATATCGTAACTGGTCTTGGTCCCCCGTGGTGAAGTATGGTCAAACAACTCCCATAACCGACACGGTATTATTATTGTTGTTGTCATGCACGCTCAAGAGTGCCATTGTGGCCACGCAAGATGTTGTCCTCGTGACAATTATCTTTGTCCTCATCCAGCAACACAGGCCACAATAATGTAGGATTATTACGGGCAGGCGTGTAGACCTTGAACTCAAGTGGTAGTGCCTTATGCCAATAACTTCTCCTCCAAGCCAGCCTAGCAGTAACAAATCAAGTACTGTGCGCACTCACAAAAGGAGAGAGAAATGTTGACGTGGACAAAAAAAAAAGACATTACACGAAAAATGATGCATCATTAATGATGGCAACAGCTAGAGGTGAGGGAAGTCAAAGGAAATCAATCACGAAAGACAAAACAGATTATGGTCATAATGATTACAATGATTATGACTACATTGATGAGAACACGCACTAATATGATGATGATTATGCGAATGAAAGATGTTCCTCATGGGAATGATTCCAACGATGACAGTAATCACCCTGACAATGGCGATGACTATAATTATGATTACATTGATGGTGGTGATCATGACAATGCAATTGATCACCATGAGGGTTACCGTGTTGATAATTACTGATAGTGATGACAATGATGACCACGATAACCATGGTGACATGAGAGTGACGGTCATTATTATAATATTGCTCACAATGATGACGATGATTTCAGATAGTCAAAGATCAATGAAATAATAAAGCCAGCGAGTGTGAAAAAAACTAAAGAATAGGTTTCACCCTTTCTGGCAATACCACAGGAGTTGTGTTCAGATGCTCAAACACCAAATAGGCACCTATTTCAAGGCATCAAGTCCGCATCAACCACACATGCTGGTGGTAAAACATGCAGCGCAAGCGGGCGCTGATGTTGTACGTACGCGCATTGCCTTCGAAACTGATTGGCCCACACCAGAGACGGCAGCCTTCGTCATGGCCATGTCTCTGCACCGGTGTGAGACGAGAGATCAACGCCAAAAGGCGAACGGCACAAAGACATTGCGAGTATCAGAGCAGCGTGGATAGCAGGGGTTGAGCACCGATATCTACAGGACATGTTTTGTCAGTATCAAAAGAGGGGGGGATGAAATCGGCCGGGAGGGGGGGGGGGACATTATTTCCATGCACCAGGGTCTGCCCCTGCCTCTGACCCTCCATACAGATCCTCCATCCAACCTCTGACCCTCCATCCAGATCCTCCATCTAACCTTTGACCCTCCATCCACATCCTCCAACCAACCTCTGACCCTCCATCCAACCTCTGACCCTCTATCCAGATCCTCTATCCAGATCCTCCGTCCAACCTCTGACCCTCTATCCAGATCTTCCATCCAACCTCTGACACTCCATCCAGATCCTCCATTCAACCTATGCCCCTCCATCCAGATCCTCTATCTAATCTCTGACCCTTCATCCACACCCTCCAACCAACCTCTGACCCTTAATCCAGATCCTCCATCCAACCTGTGCCCCTGCATCCAGATCGTCCACCCATGCCTATGCCCCTCCATCCAGATCGCAGAGGCTGGGAAGGAACAGGGCAGGAGACGCACTCGGCAGGAGTGGGCGACGATGGTGCCGGCAGCAGCAGCACGGGCGACTGCGTCCCGCTGAGGCTGGGCTACTGCGAGGACCTCCCGTACAGCGCGACGCGCTACCCCAACGCCCTGGGCCACACGTCGCCGCTGGACAGCGAGCGCAGCCCCGAGTACGTGCTCATGAGCGTGCTCCCGCAGCTGCTCGACGGCGAGTGCCAGCCCCAGCTGCGTCTCTTCGCGTGCGCTGTGCTGGCGCCCAAGTGCGTGCCGCCGCCACCCGAGCCGCACCCGCTGGCGTGGGAAGGTGAGCGCTCGTCGCGGCTCCGGGTCCTCTGCCACCTGTTGTGGTCGTCGTTGTTGCGAGAGGTCCGAGGGTTTGCGAGCCCAGCGTGCGCCACCGCCGGTCTATGCGTCGACGACATCCCAAGGCGTCGTGGGTTCTGTGGAACCGCTGCCAGTGGTGACCAGGGTGTGTGTGTGTGTTGTGTGTGTTGTGTGTGTTGTGTGTGTTGTGTGTGTTGTGTGTGTGGCTTCCGAAGGCCACCGATGGGGCCTTCGTGACAGCTGCCCGCAGTGTGAATGTGGGCAGCAGGAGACCAGGTGGCACGTTTCCCCCCTGCTGGCTGATTATGCCTCTCTGCAGGCCGGGTCCATTAGACTCACTGGAACGGTTGAGACGATGTTTGTGACGTAAGGTGTTTTCCGGTGCGTGACCATTATCAGCGCCCTGGAAATGCTAAGTCTTATTCTTATCATAGTTTGTGTGAATGCGGTTTTTGGTGGACCATGAGCTTCATGGAAAATCAAACCCAGGGATTTTCTGCATTGGTTCTTTCACAGAATACCATTCATATTGATCACGCCGATGATGACGACGACGACGATGACGTTGCTGATGATGACGACGACGACGTTGATGATGACGATGAAGCCCTTCTTGCACCGCAGGCGCCCCGCGCACCCGGTCGCGCGTGTTGAGGCCGTGCCGCGCCGTCTGCACCGACCTCCGGCGGAACTGCGAGCGCGCCTTCCGCCGCATCCAGATGCGCTGGCCCCACTACCTGGAGTGCGAGAATCACACGGCGAGCGAGCGCGAGGAGGAGTGCGTGGACCCCACGGGCCGAGGATTCTCCCTCGGTGAGAGCGCCGGCGAGCGGTGGCGGTGCCAGGCGAGGGGTTTACGGTGGATCACCGGGCTGCGAGGTGGTCCAGAGGTGGCGGTGGGGCAAGTGGAGGTTTGAGTCTTTTGCCCCCCCCCCCCCCCCCGAGTACTCGTGGTGGGTTTTCTCCTTGGGGTTTCAGCTCCCACGTGCATTTATACAAACGCACCCATTGGTGGAACGTAACCGGATGTTCCTGAAAGAGTCTCGAGACTCCGGCTTTACTTGATGCATGTTACAGTATGTTTAACTTCTTTCGCACCGTACATAGCCGACCGTGCGGGGGAAGGACAACAATACTTCTTGTGTGCGGGTGCTTAGGCGGATCGTTGCTTCGCAAGATCGTGAGTGGTGACGGCTAGGGGAGGCTCTCATCCAGCAGCGGATTGTTCATAGCTGCTGATGACACAACAACAACAAAACCCAGTGTTTGAGCTGAAGTAGAGGGTGAAGGGTGGTGACGCTGGGGCTGTCACCTCTGAGCTACAAACATCCGGGAAGAATAATTTCTCACACGACCAGATGCGGGGGGTGGGGGGGAGGGAGCTGCATGCGAACACATTGTCCTGAGTGGTGCATTGTTACGCAACTGGCAAGAACCTGACTTTGGTTGACCTTTATCATTATTATGATGCTTGTTTACCCAGGAGAGCCTCACCCAGTATCACGACTGCTTTGCAGGAGGTTCCTGCCAAGCGTTTTCAGTAGGCGACGATGATTGCTGCGTACGATATAAAGTAATTTGCGGGTAATGTTTCAAATTTGGAGCGTGACGCCGGCACACGGTGGCTTGCTCTTGCGAGCGATGTCACACGGATCTTTAAAAACGTCCACTGTGATGTCGGCGTCGTACACCGGTGCAGTTAGCACCAACACGCGCCGTGGCATTAACCAGGGCGGCCGCTGCGGATTCGAAACCTCCGAAAAAGAAAGCGACGAACGACGCCGGCGCTTCGGCCTGGGAAGACTTCGCGCTTCTCTCGATGACACGTCCACCTTTGTCCCCCCCGCCCCCCCCTGCGCCCGTGTGCCCTCACAGACGCTTTGCCGCACGGAGAGGATTGGCCCGGCGCCGACGCGGGGAATCGCGGCGCCGTGCTGAGGCACCGACGGCACGCGGAGATGGCGCGGGCGCTGCGCCGGGCGGAGAAGTCGTGCGGTGGCGCCGCGAGGCTCTACAGCATCGGCAAGAGCTTCGAGAACCGGGACCTCCTCGTCATCGAGCTGTCGGAAAACCCGGGCAAGCACGAGCTGCGTACGTCTGGCTCTCGGGGAGCTTGTAGCTGAACTGACGGCGAGCGTGTTGGCGAGGCGGTCCTGTGTGGCGGTGGCGTGTTTAATGACACAATTATATTCACGCGGTCTAACCCAAAGAGTCGCTTTTCTTTTTTTACTGACGTTAAACGTTAGCGCAGTTTAGGAAGGGGGGAAGAGGGAGGGAAAGAAGTCACGCTGAATTTCGATTTAAAGCTTTCGTGACTGCAGGGATTCATCTTCTTGGTTCTTTCGGTAAAGTCACTTAGAAGGAAAAAATAAAATAATAAAAATAAAACATGATAAAATAATTCTCATGATGTTTGGGCTACAACGGCTGCTTGCGTTATAGCCGAAATGTCGTGAGATTTATTTTATTATGTTTTATTTTTATTATTTTATTATTTTCCTTCTACGTGACTTTACCGAAAGAACCAAGAAAAAGTCACGCTGACCTGCAGTTCAATATAGCGGGGTAGAGAGAGGACAAGGAGCCCTGCGGATCCAAACATTTGGAGGCAAGGGGTCGGTGAATCACATATGTCTTTGTAACACATTGTCCTGCGGAGGGAGCTGGTAGGAACGTTGGATTGCTCTGTCAATGGCCAGGGTCAACGGCGGCGTGGTGTATTCCGCAAAAATGCCTGACTGTGAGGGCGGGCACAAGCCGGCGTGAGTAGGTTAAACGTTGAGTTTTATAAGGGCACCACGGGGTGACCAGCCCCTCCCCACCCAGCCCCACCCCTCCCAACCTCCACCGCAGCCCCACCCTCCCCACCCAGCCCCTCCCCACCCTCCCCACCCCTCCCACCCCCCACCCAGCCCCTCCCCACCCTCCCCACCCAGCCCCACCCTCCCCACCCAGCCCCTCCCCACCCAGCCCCTCCCTCCCCACTCAGCCAATGCCTGCACGACGGATGGACACAATAATCCCCTGTGGGCTGGTGTAACTAGGAGGTTCCTACCAGTAAAACTCCTTCCTCCCACATGCAAAGCACTCTCTAAAATGTGAATGCCTCGATTGAATGGTAACAATAATAATTCTAATGAAAAATAAGCTCAATGAGGCTCTCCTGGTTAAATGAATGAGACTGGTTTTCATATGACACGTCAAGGCCGGACCAATAAGACACCTGCAGTGGGCTGAGAAGGAAATAGATTGATGGGGTTTTTTCTTTGCTGGGGTTTGAACGTTGTCCCAAATGTATGTCTTTTTTGGACTCTCTAGTTTCCTCCTACAAGAAATACAATTCAAGTGTTTCGTCAACTCATATTCAAGCAACACAAGTCTCAAAGTGTGTTTTGTTTTTTGGCCGTATTCAAGCTTAAAATAGAGCAAAATAAATTATTGCTTACAGAGAGGTGCAGTGGCGCAGTGGTTTCGCATCCTGCACTCTAAACGTGGCCGCCTGGGTTCGATTCCCGGTCACGGCTAACAACAGTGGCGAATGATACGTATCTCAACCGGCCCCGGGTCCTACCCTTTGTGAAACTCCTTACTGACGGACATGGTGAAATATGGTGAAACAACCCCACCCCCTTGGCTGACAGCACGGTGAGGTACGTCCGCCCGGCGGCGGTGGTCCGACAAGGAGCCGTGAAAACCGGCGTGGCTTGTGTTTATCTGCAAGCTGTTCTATTTGTGTGTGTAAAAGCCCAGCACCCAGGTGTACCGTGAATCGGGTCATGCTGTGACTTTGCAACAAAGGGGATTCGCGACGGAACCATAGAGGGGGGTCGACCTCTTTGTCTTCAAGCGCCGGCGAAGAAAATCGACTCGGTCGCGGGAGATTAAGTTCAGAGCGTCGCCCATCCCTCCCCCTTCCCCCTTTTTCACCGGTGAGGGCGGCTGTAACAAGAGTGGGGAGCCGGGTTGTTGTTGTTTTTTTGTTGTTGTTGTTGAGACTTCTTCTCTCATACTCTTAGTTCTTTCGGTAAAGTCACGTAGGTAAAAAATGAAATTAAAATTAATAAAAATAAAATAAAAATCACGACGTTTCGGAGGCAACACAAGTCTCCGTCATCAGATGGAACAGTCACAGCCAGATTTGCTGCATCACCTACGTGACTTTACCGAAAAAACTAAGAGTATGCATCCTTGCAGTCATGAAAGCTTCAAATCTAGAACTTCTTCTCTCTCCGATTACGGCAACCGCTTTCACCGACAGCTCGGCCAGACAACACCTGGCTATTGGAACAACAACAGCGAACAACAATCAAACAAACAACAACAGCAAACAACAATCAAACAACAACGGACAGCTCACACTCCTCTTCCCTGCACTCTCTTCCACTCAACTCACCGCTCTCCCACCCCACCCATCCCACACCACTTGAGCCTCGCTTCACCTCATCCCCATCGCAAGCATTCACAGCCGGGGAACTCTCGTCCTCGCCGCTGTGAGACCGTGTTCGCCGTCGCATGAGCGTCTCCTGCGCATGTTGTAGATGGAATCGTGGTCGCATACGCGGCGTCATTACGAGTTGGCAGAATATGCGTCACTCGCAAACCCAGGATAACCTCGCAAACGAGATGCTCCGTCTCGAGTGAATTATTCGGGGTGACATATTTCAGTAAAATTAAATAGTGAACGACGGTCTAGAATAATACTAATGATAACGGCACGTCCAGCCTTCCGAATCCGCACCGCAAACGTCTGCATTGAGCGGTGGGGGGGGTGCATTCAGTGTCACCGGCTACGAAAAATATAATCGCGATATATCGATTTATTTTAAAAAATAATTCAACTAAAAATCTCTTACTAAATAGATCACGACGTTTCGATCTCTTCCCTTTCCCCGTGCCCCATTCTCCTTGCAGTGGAGCCGGAGGTTCGCCTCGTGGGGAACATCCACGGGAACGAGGTGCTGGGCCGCGAGCTGCTCGTCGCGCTCGTGCAGCACCTGTGCGCTCGCCTCGAGGAGGGAGACGCGCGCGTCCGCCGCCTGCTCAACTCCACGCGGCTCCACATCCTCCCCGCCATGAACCCCGACGGATACGAGCTCGCCGCCGACTCCGTGAGCGGCTCCGTCGCAAACGCCGCGGATTCGTCCGCGCTGCAGGAGCAGCGGCAACAGCAGCTGCTGCAGCAGCAGTAGGAGCAGCTGCAGCAGCAGTAGGAGCTGCAGCAGCAGTAGGAGCTACAGCAGCTGCAGCTCCTGCAGCGGCTGCAGCAGCAGTAGGAGCTGCAGCAGCAGTAGGAGCTCCTGCAGCAGCAGTAGGAGCTGCTGCAGCAGCAGTAGGAGCTGCAGCAGTTGCAGCAGCTGCAGGATTACTGCTGCCGTAGCCGCGCGGTTTTTTCTCGCCGTCGAAGAGAGAGAGGGGGAACGACTCAGAGGAGCCAGGGGGAACCACGCTACCAACAATTGCCCAAGCTCTACCGTCCTCTTTGTGGTATCAGCTAATTGATGAAGTTATTATTACTACTACTACTCAGATTGTTTACCCCAGGAAAGAGTGACCGAGTTTCACGACCCAGAAGCGGGCGTTCATTGCTGCAACGTGTGCGCGTGTGTACTCCCATTTCAGTCGTTTGCGGGAATTATCTTTCAAATTCGGCCGACTGGGACTATGACGCCGATACGCAATGGCCTACTCTTGCGAACGGCGTCGGGGGGGGGGGGGGGTCTTTAACGTCCGCTGTGGAGCGAGCGACGCGTGTGTGTTTTAAGGCCATGTCACCGCCACCCCTCCCGCCTCCACCGAGTGAACGGTGGTGGATCCAAGGCGGGGGTACGTGTCTGAAAGAATGAATGAAACGTCTGGCTAATGAATCAAAATCAGAATATTTATTTTTACTCGAGGAATCATATGAGCTCTAAAGCTCTTTTTCACAGATATCCAGCAGGGGCGGGTAAGAACGTTACAACAACAAACAGTACACAACCACGATCGTAGTGCAAAGTACAAGACAGGTAAACAAATCACCCAAACGTACAAATAAAACTAAACCATCCCCATCCTACCAGGCAAAGCCCACCGACCTGGCCACAAATGATAGCTCAACAAAGTGGCTTCACATATAGAAATTAATAGCAGCAAAATAATCTCAAAGCATGTTTCTAAATGTGGAGATCAAACCCAGAGGACCCATGCGACCACGCGGAGAGAGACACGCACACTCCAAATGAATGAATGTCTGTCTGCTGGGGCACTCTGCCTGCCCACACTGCCCCCACCACCCCGACGCTTGCAGATCGAGGAGGATCGGCAGGCCATCCAGGGCAGGAACAACATGCAGAACATCGACCTGAACCGCAACTTCCCCGACCTGACGAGCGGCGTTCTGCGCCGGCCTAAGCGCCGCACGCAGCCTCTGCCCGTGCCTGACCAGTACTGGGATGGCAAGGTGAGGCTCGCAGACGCACACAGACACCCAACACGCCGCTAGACCTTTGTCCATTCACCGCGACGACAAAGGCGGTGTAATCTATTGCTCAGAATCATGATCGTTGATCAGTAACTACGAATACAGGTCAAACGCCGATAAAATGCGTGCAGAGGCGCACACTGGCAATTACATTAAGAGACGAAACACGGCAGCACCCGGGATGAGAGAATGCCACGCAGAGATGTGAGACGGAGGTCGTCCAAATGGGGGCGGAACGCGTCGTGAGCAGGGACGGCGGCAGCGGCGGACGTAATTCGAACTCCTCCGAGAGACGCGTCCGCCGCGGAGAAGGAGCGACGCTAAGAGTTGGCGTGCAGGTGCTGGGTGGAATCCGGGATTTGTGTGCCGTTCCACAGGGGTTGACCGTGGCCGCCGCCGCCGCCGCCGATGACGATGATTGTCATGACTACTATTGTTGTACGTGCGCACGACGCAGGTTGCGCCTGAGACGCGTGCGGTGATCGACTGGATGGAGGAGTTCCCCTTCGTGCTGGCGGGGAACCTGCACGGCGGGGAGCTGCTCGTGCGCTACCCGTACGACGCGTCGCTCATGGGCGAGAAGTTCTACTCCGCCACGCCCGAAGACCAGGTCCGTCAGAATCAGGATATTTGTTTTTTGCTGAACGAATCCGATTGAGCTGTATAGCTCTTTTTTCACAGATGTGCTTGGGACACAACCGTGTATAAAACAACAAAAACACTCGCTGACGTCAACAACACTGTGGCCTTGAATAAAAATATATAACAGGTGACATTTCGGGCAATGTCCCTTTCTCCGTAGCACGCCATTCATTGATGTGCTACGGAGAAGGGACATTGCCCAGTACATCAACTGTTACATATTTAATATGAAATGTATTTTAAATAGATTTTTTTTTATCTTTTAATGCCGCAGCGTTATTGACTGATGAGTTGTTTTGTTTCTCGTGCTTGTGCGCCACTGCCAACGCAGCAGCACCATCATCACCAAACGATGTAACATGTACAGGGTGCTTCAAAAAAATGTTTACACTTACATGGGACTATCGGTATTGTTGCAAATTTTCAAAAGTGTTTAAAAAAAAATTAAGCACCCTGATGCGGAGCCTACGGTCTCCGCAGAGGGCAGTGGCACCCACCGTTGTACCATACTATGCTCCAAGGGTCTGTGCTCCCCGCCCTGACCGGCCCACACTCGATCAGTGCGGTGACATGTGATCAAACACCCCCCCTGCGCCCCACCCCCCCCCCCGTGGAGAGGAACTCATCCAGCAGTGGATAACAACAAGAGTTATGTACGTGTGTGCCACACGCACAGATGTTCCGGCTGCTGGCGCGCACGTACGCAGAGGCTCACCCGCTGATGTCCGACAAGCACAAGGCCCCGTGCCCCGGGGAGACCGGGGCACCCTCCGGCGGAATCGTGAACGGAGCCGAGTGGTACAGCTTCCGCGGAGGTGAGCGTCGCGGCGCGGTGAGCTGGTGAAGAGTTGGAGAGGGGCGGCGAAGGTTGGAGTGGTGAGGTGAGGTGGGAGAGGGGTGGTGAGGTGAGGTGGGAGTGGTGTGGTGGGAGTGGTGAGGTGGGAGTAGTGAGGTGGGAGTGGTGTGGTGAGGTGGGAGTGGTGTGGTGGAAGTGGTGAGGTGGGAGTGGTGTGGTGAGGTGGGAGTGATGAGGTGAGGTGGGAGTGGTGTGATGAGGTGGGAGTGGTGTGATGAGGTGGGAGTGGTGTAGTGAGGTGGGAGAGGTGTGGTGGGAGTGGTGTGGTGAGGTGGGAGTGGTGAGGTGAGGTGGGAGTGGTGAGGTGGGAGTGGTGTGGTGAGGTGGGAGTGGTGAGGTGGGAGTGGTGAGGTGGGAGAGGTGAGGTGAGTTGGGAGTGGTGAGGTGGGAGTGGTGAGGTGGGAGTGGTGAGGTGGGAGTGGTGTGGTGGGAGTGGTGTGGTGTTGTGGAGCGTGGTGTTGAGATGAAATGATGGAGTGGTAAGGGTGGAGTGATGGGGTTGAGTGGTGGAGTCAAGGGTGACCTGGCAGGGTTGTATGTTTGAAAGCTCCACTGAGTCTCAAGACATTTACAGGAGGGTCCTGCACTGGGATTCTTTAGCCAACTCTACGATTGAGTGTTTGGCCGCACATTGGAGGAGAAAGCGGAGGACAAAGAGAAAAATATAGTGGTGGTGAGCTCATGAGCGATGGTGTGTGATGGTGAGTGATGGTGAGCGATGGTGAGCGATGCTGAGTGATGGTGAGTGATGGTGAGCGATGGTGAGCGATGGTGAGTGATTGTGAGCGATGGTGTGTGATGGTGAGCGACGTTGAGCAATGGTGAGCTTCTCTGCAGGGATGCCGGACTTCAGCTACCTGCACTCGGGATGCCTGGAGCTGACCCTCGAGCTGGGCTGCGTGAAGTTCCCGAGCGGGGAGGACCTTCCCATCGAGTGGGCGCACAACCGCGAGGCGCTGCTCACCTTCGTGGAGGCGGTGAGCACCGCACCGCTCGCTCGCTCGCTGGCGCGGCACCGGCGGCGCGTCACGTGCATCTCGCCGACAAAATGTCACGGTTCCATTTTTTTGTCGATCGGATCGCGTCGGGGTTGTTCGACCATACTTCACCACGCTGGTCAGTGCGGGTTGGGGAAGGCGGGTGGGAGAGCAAGGGGGGGGGGGAGGCGTTACAGCGATGGATTTGAAATTCGTGGCATCCGAATTGGCGTACAATTACAAGGTCTGAATAAAATAAGAATAGGTTTTACCCTTTTATGCCAGACCTTACTGGATGGGCACTTCTCGCGTCGTGGGGGGGGGGGGGCAGTGCACGAGCAGCCCCCCCCCCTCTTCCTTCCACGCCGTGTGGGCCGCGTGTGGGGGTTTGTTCACCTCCACCGCCCGCTCGCGAATTCCCCCCACGGCAAGCGGGAGGAGTCTGCAGGATCGTCTCCGTCGAGACCACGCCGCTTGGCCGTGTCGGCTGTGTCCCGAGCAGGTCCACCAGGGCATCAAGGGCGTCGTGCGGGACGAGCGCGGTGCCGGGATTGGAGGCGCCCGCATCTCCATCAAGGGGAACCTACGCGACACCGTCACAGGTGCGATGCCCTCACCTGTAGAGACAAAGACAAAGATGCCCCGTGTAGCCTGTGACAGACTGTCGGGGGCAAGTGCTGTTAGCGAGCACCTTTGGGGCCGTCCATAAATGAGGTCACGCACCTCGGGGGGGGGGAGGGGGGGTCAGACATTTGTGACGATGTGTGACGAGGGGGGGAGGGGTTTGAGAAATGTGACTTAATTAAATAGACTTTTTGATGTTTTCTCCTACAACATCAGAGTGCAGCGCCACATTAAATACGCACAACAATGACAATAGTTTAAAGCTATTTGTCTTAGATGTTCGCTAAGAGCACTTGCCGCAAGTCTGTTAAGGCTATACGGGGTATCTTTGCCTTTGTCTTAGATGTTCGCTAACAGCACTTGCCCCAACAGTCTGTTAAGGCTATACGGGGGATCTTTGCCTTCGTCTTAGGTGTTCATCTTCTTGGTTCTTTCGGTAAAGTCACGTAGAAGGGAAATAATAAAATAATAAAAATAAAACAATAAAATACAATTCTCACGTTTCGGCCACAACGCAAGCAGCCGTCCTCAGGTGAAGAACAAGGCTGTCGGAATGACACTGTCCCTGCAGTCACGAAAGCTTTAAATCGAAAAAAACAATTCGTCTTAGGTGCTTGCTAAGAGCACTTCCCTGGATCTTTGTGTTTTTTGGGGCGCGCAGCTCCGAGCGGTGAATTTTGGCGGCTGTTGCCTCCGGGCAGCTACATCGTGCGAGCGTCCCGGGCGGGCTACCGCGCCGTGGTGAAGCGCGTCCGCCTCCCCGCGCGCCTCCAGACGCCCGGCCGCGTCGACTTCAAGCTGCAGCGCCAACCCGGCACCACCGCCAGCCCCGCAGAGCCACACGGCGCGAGGAGGAGGGGCGGACTGAGCAGGGGTCGCGGCCGCGGCCAGGGCCGCTCCAGGAACAACGGCGAGGATGAGGAGGATGAGAAGCCGAGGTGGTGGGCGTACTTTCAGTCCATGGGTATCCAGCCACCGCCGTGGATGATGGTATCCCCAGACGACGATTACTGAGGTGGTCGTGAATCGGCGATTGGAAATATATTGGCACGCACGCGATTAAAGTGGGAAGATTGTGCTTTAAAAAAAAAGTTACGATCGGCTTGTGTTCAGGTACGAGGTGGGTTGTCATATCCTATTTTAAGATGGCAGCAAAATTTGTAACTTTTCATTAACCAGTGGATTGACGACTGATAATACACAGTAATGGGTTAGTGTCAATGTTGCAGCCCACGGTGATGCTACATTCCACATTGCTTTTCAGTGAACCGCGACCCAGATTTGCGACAATTCCGTCGAATCGTCACGTCTCCTGCTGGACCGTTCTGTACCCACGCATCCCACATGAGCCACCGCTCAGATTTTGAGCCAGACCAGTTTGTTTTGGAGTTTTCCGGATTGAATTTGAAATGTTGAAAAACTTATTTTTTTTATTCGCATTTCAAGTGAACAAAAATGCACACGTGGCAAACATTTATAACCTTTTTTTTCAAAACTAGTTTTAATAATTTGTAAAATGTCTGTAATAAAACGATACATGTAAATGTGGTATGGAAGGAATTTTTTTAAGTTAATTTTTTTCATACATTCAAGTTCCTAGAAACATGCTCACGGCCAAATTTTTTAACCTAAATACAAAAAAAATAACCAACCTGGGAGCTGTCAAAGCAATGACACAAATTTCCTTTTCACAAAACGATATCCCACTTTTTTGATAGACGTAAAAGAAAAAGATACAAAGTCTCATGAAAACAGCTTAACACAAAACTTAACAATAACAGATTAACCACCGTCAGTCTTCTTTCAAAGGGCAGCTGAACGCTTCAACGTCATTTGTGATTAAAGCCTCGACTAATAAACAAAATGTATCCAAAAAAATATGATTCTTTGTTGATGTGGGGAGCACCATCACACGCGTTCGTTTTATGGGTCACATCTCCATTCACGAAGGACATTACGAGGCAATGGCACACGTGCCGCACCTATAATCAGCTCGGTTGGCTACGTACGGTGAGAAAGAAGTCCAACATATACACACACACACCTTTCCCCAGTCCTCCCAACTGTGGTTCAATTAACTTTTGAATATTGGTGGCACAATTCAAAAATCTCGTTTGTTATATGTATACTAAACCATTGGTATTATTGGCATAACGGTAATGTTCCCAATTTCTTATGTGCATGACAAAGCATGTTGAGTGGAATAGCTGATTTTAATAAATTAATCTTTGACATAAACGTGTCTGGTTTGCATCCGGTGGCATGCAACGATGCATCAATTACATTACATCCTCGGACTCGTAATGCAATCGTCTAATCACAAATAACAAATTTATCAATTATGAACATAGTGTGCCAATGGTACATTAAGCTAATAACGTCAAACAGTACAAAGTAGAATAAAAAGAAACGGCACGAGACCAACAATGAATTGTGGAATCGGAGTCATGACTTCGTTGAATCGTCCCTTGGAGTAACGAGTCGTCGTCTTCTTCACACGGGCAGCGGCAGGGCCTTCACGTCGGCGAAGCACTCGTCGTAGGCCTCCTGGTAATCCTCGTGCGCCTTCACCAGGATGACGCACGTGGCGCGCTTCGATCCCGCCGCTCCGCCCAGGTCCTGAACGCACAAAGTGACATCGACAACGTTCGGCAAAATGGGCAAACGCAAAAACAATGAGGTGGCAAGAACACAGCTTGTTAGGTTTAGTGTTTAGTATTTAAACAACTCCAGTGACTTTTTTCGATTTAAAGCTTTCGTGACTGCAGGGATTCATCTTCTTGGTTCTTTCGGTAAAGTCACGTCGAAGGGACACAATTAAATAATAAAAAGAAAACATGATAAAATAATTTTATGTTTTATTTTAATTATTTTATTATGTTCCTTCTACGTGACTTTACCGAAAGAACCACGAAGATGAGCTTCAATTGTTTGGTCGTGGAGCCCGACTGTCTTACAGCAGTGGTGGCCAATACGTGGATTGCGATCTATGGGTGGCTCTCAAAAATTGTTTGTGGATCGCAGCACAAATTTGAAAACTAAAATGAGCGTACAATAATTTTCGTTGCGGTTGAACACAAAAAAATATCCACTCATAATTCATCCAATAAAACAAATATAACATCTACCAATAGATGGCGCTATACTACGTTCAGGGTGAATTCCGGGTAGATTTTGGTCAAAGCTTTCTGGTTGAGATCTCCCAGATGAATTCGAGTGCTTGGTAGACTGGGCACCCGGGTATTCGACTGTACCAAAATGCGCACTTCAACAGACACGTAGGTGGGTCAGATGCACGTGCGTCACGCGCCAGTGCGCAGTCTTTAACGTTATTATACACGTGGTTTTTCATTCATAAAACATTTTCCAATTTCGCCACAAAAAACTCTCTTCATACCTTGACACTGGGTACAGGTCTGGGTGATAGGTCAGCTGGACGATAAGAGTGTCTACTCTTAGTTGTTGCTAACATGAGGTGTCCTCCGGCAATGCATTAGCAAGACGTGTCATGTCTGTCCCCCCTTGAAGTTGAGCGTGGTAGTGGGTGGGAAACAAGAGGTCGCAAACGGGTTTTGATTCCTTACCCGTACCCGGCCGCACCAGGGCCGGGTATCGGGTAGGGTAGCCGGGTATCGGGTAGGGTAGCCGGGTATCGGGTAGGGTACGGGTATCGGGTTCCGGTTGCGACCTCTGGTGGGAAATGCGAGTCGCCTGCTCTGGCCGTTGAGCCAGGAGGAGGCCGACGTGGCTGAGTTGCCTTACCGCCTTTGCCGGGACGTAGCAGTACGGCAGGTTCTGATCCTCGCACATGATGGGTATGTGGCAGATCACTTCCACCGGCTGGGTGTCTCCGGCCAGCACGATGATTCTGCAAGCAGTCACGACACACGCAATGCAGGTCACATTTTTTTTAAACAATATATAAGAACGGGAGACAGAGGAGAGAGCCTCACCATTCTGGCGAATTGCCCGATGATGCTGGATGCAATTACCAGCGAAACGTCGTACTCAAATGGTAAATGTTGTGGTTTCACGCTTCAACACACCAGTGGGCTAAAGCAGTGAACTATTTGTCTTTTGTCAACGTGACACTTTTTTACCGATTGGCCGTGTCGGGTGGTGGAGGGTTACGACACATTTATAAACAACGCGATCTAAACAACAAAAACGTTGATTATGAATAATATTGGTCGCGAAAGCCTACGTGTTAAATTGATAGTTTAAACTGTGAATGGAGGGGGGGGGCGCTGCGAAAAAAAACGTCAATCCGAAGCACGCCAGTGAGTTGTTGCATCTGACGACGAACGGGCGCTCACCCCTTCTCGCCCTTCTTCAGGAATTTCTGCACCTCCTTGACACCCCTCCTCAGCATCTTCTGCTTGGACGCTGTTGAAGAATGCAGAGGACGCCGCAAGATGAGCGATTATGGTACAACATCAAAAATGGCATTCACCCATCATTGGTCTTACACGTCCCGCACTGCGCCGCAGTCCGAGTATCGTGTACAGCCCACTGCTGGATGAAGGCCTCTCCCCGCGCCGCGGGTGTTACTTGACCATTCTGCACCTCGCTGTTCTGCACGGGCTGTAAAGGGGGAAAGAGACCATTGACTGGTTAAACTATAACTCGCCATTGTTAGCCGTGGCCTGTTATTGAAAACCCCTAATATTCCGGAGTCAGGAGCCTAGAGAGAGGTGAAAGGCAAACCAGGGATGAAGGATACACGTATGAGGGACAGGGGATGTTGGTCCACACGTGAGAAAACACCACGGCGCACCCGATACATCCGAACATATTGATAGGATACGTACAAGAGAGAGGCGACACGCGATACCAGAGAAGCGTAAAAACAGACGAGGGCGCGCAACGTTACAGAGCAAACACCACGAGAAACACACACGTGCTATAAACACAGGATATCACTTCTAGATTTGAAGCTTTCGTGACTGCAACGATTCATACTCTTAGGTTTTTTTCGGTAAAGTCACCTGAAGAGGGAAGCTTGTGTTGCCTCCGAAACGTCGTGATTTTTTTTTATTAATTTAAATTTTATTTTTTACAGGACAGCACACCAGACAAGAGTGTGGTGGATAGGCGACACGATGAGAAGGAGAGCAACACGAGAGGGAGAGCAACACGAGGAAGAGAGAGACACGATGAGAGGAAGAGAGAGACACGATGAGATGAAGAGAGAGACACGACGGGAGGGAGAGACATGATGAGGGTCAGACGCGATGCGAGAGACACGATGGGAGGGAGAGAGACACGAGAGAGCGGCGTTGGCCTCCCCCGTACCCTTCTTGATGGTCTTGTAGAGCCTCTTTGTGAGTTTGCGCGAGGCGAGCGGGTTCGCGATCACGCTCACGTTCGCCACCAGCTCCTCGTACGACTTCTCCACTGGGCCCGCGGCGGGCTCCGCCTGCCCCTCCTCGGCCACCTTGTGCTTGCTCGACTTGGCCATGGCTGAAGCGTGCAGGGGTTGTGGTGGTGGTGGTGGTAGTTGTGGTTGTTGTTGTTGTTGATTCACGACGCTCAACAATCCGCACGTCCCCGGCTCGATTCCCAACTTCGTGCACGTTGCTCCCACGTGGTGGCGCCACTGCGCATGCGCGAAGGTAGGGTAGGACCCTCCGCTTGATGACGCCGCGGGCCACTTTTAGGCGTCCCGAGAGCGGCTGGCAGTGCCTGCAGGAACGTTTTCCTGCAATTTTTCGCCTTATTATTGAGTGCGAGATAAAAACTGATCCCTCGACAGTTTTATCCGTATTAGTTTAAAATGTGTACTTCAGATTTAATTTCTTAGATGTATCTGCCTCGGGGAAGCGCAGTTTGTATTTTAAATGTTTTTATTTTAAACATATGGTTGCGAGACTTAAACGTCTCTTATTTCGTAGCAAAAATGTAATTATGTATTTTATTCATCTTTAGCATGCACGCATTTTTAGTATTGAGCTTTTGTATAGAAAAAAACTCGTACATTTCCACCGAAGTTGGCACAGTTTAGTCTGACTACACATTGCATAATTTCATGTAATATGCAAACATTACATAATTTAAATTCGTTGAACAAGGTAACTTTTGAACAACTATTAACTATATTTTCAAAATGTTATTTTTTATTTAATGCGGTATTACTCGTTTTTATCTAAGGGGCCGTCCATAAATGACGTCACGCACCTAGGTGGTGTCAGACGTGTGACGATATGACGAAGCGGGGGGGGGGGGTGAGAAATGTGACGTCACATCAAAATGCGCAACTTTAAATAAATATAGACGACACGTTCTACTTAATTAAATAGACTTTTTATTAAATGTTCTCTCCTACATCAGTGCAGCGCCACAGTAAATACGCACTACAATGACAATAGTTTAAAGCGATTTGAAGCATGTTTTATTTTGGGGGGGGGGGGCAGAGCTTTGTGACGTCATATTTGAGGGGGGGTCTGTAACGAAGGGGTGGGGGGTCAAAAATCGTGACGTCATTTATGGACAGCTCCTGAAACGGTTGAAGACCAACTTTTGAGTAATGATTTTGAATGACATTGGTATGCATGCTAATTTAAATGGAATGTTGAAGAGTTCTTTATTTTGGAACAGAAACATTTGAACAGATGTAACGGTGTACAATCTCATCATAAATTAAGTTTTATTTTTGATTGATAAATTAATGGTGCACAGTAAGTCTTCAATTGTACATGCGAAAACAATACATTATGTACCATGTACAATATACTATCTGCAACTGTTAATTACCCGATTGCCAAGATATGCAGAAATTATTTTTGAAAAATAAATCTCCACTAAACACCCACTTAATTCCCTTCTTCGTTACGCATTTATTATAATATTTAAAGAAAAATAACCCTCCACAAACTTTTAAACCGTGTTGCACACAACTAAATGCGGTACACGATACGATAGTTTTTTTTATCACGCTAATTAAATACTGTACATCAAACAACATAGACATCTGCAAGTAAACATGCAACAGTAGTAAATATGATCCCAAGACACAATGTCCCTGTCACCGTGGCTGGAGTTCAACAGGGCACATCATCACCCACGCTCAATTCACTGGTCAATGCAGGCCTCCCAAAGGCCATTGCCAGATTTCAAGGTTTTGCGATGGATAAATCCACCCGGGGATCTGCACACCGGGCCAGACGATACAGTCGAACGTGTTCCTTTGGCCCCATCACCCCGCTGTCAGCCTCGAGCACCGGGGCAGAGAACATGCTGGGTGTATTTCATAGAGAACTCGGGCTAGGGCTGGCAGGAGGAGACAGGAAGTCAGACATAGCATCTTCGCAATCTTCTTGCTTATCCTGCAGGATGATATCTCCCTTCGTCTGGCTGCCATCCACTTCGCCAAGCCCTTCACAAACCAGGTCTTCTGCCAAATTGACTTCTGCCATTGCTTCAGAAAGACGCACCACTTCTGCCCCACGTTGCTCAATGTCATCCACAACGAAGAGAGCTTTATCCAGGACGTCGGCATCCTCTTCTAAATCCTGCTCGGCAGACAATATTTGTGCCACCGACAGCCCCGCCACTGCGTTATGAGCGGACGCCCCTTCTCCTAACATCGCCAGTTCGGCCAGAGTCTTGCACGTTTTGTGCATCGCTGCATGGCACGGCTGCTCCTCACGGCCGACATCCTGAAACGGGAGGTTCGACACGCCGTCGGCGTTTTTGCTCGCACGCTCGGATGCGCCGTTTCCGTCGTGAGGAAGTACTGGTTGAGCAGCAGCGCCAGCTTCTGTGGTCAAGCCGAGGAATTGTGACTGCGCCTCGCTGGTATCCGAGTGGCTGTACGTGCAAGCCGGTTCGTCTGGCCTCCTGGCCGAGGCCTCTCTCTCCTGCCCCTCTGCCTCCTGCCGACAGAGCCCCAGGCTGGTGGAGTCCTGAGGCGCAACGCCAACACCGGAAGCACCTGCTGAGAATGTAAGCAATTAGTGATACGGATGTTTTGCGTGGGTGATGCACTTTAATTAAAAAGCAAACAATAAGGTGTTGTCTATACTCTTTGGGTCTTTCGGTAAAGTCACGTAGAAAGAAAAATAATAGATCACGACGTTTCGATCGCAACACAGATCTTCACCTGAAGACAACACAGGAAATCGTCTTGTTTTTGTCCATTGTGCTTGTGCACACTTTACAATGGAGCATTATCAACATGTGCAGGAGTATTATTAGTATCACCGATCTGGGTAGACTGCATCAGGGAAAAAGTGTACTTAGCCTCAAATGTATTCATCCGCCAACACGCATCATGTTATTTGCTATTAAATATACAATGATGTACTTAAGTTTAGACATAAAGACTGTTTAATTATGGCCATCTTTCTTACCAGTTGCACTGCTGAGCACCATGGGCTGCAGAGGAGGCTTGAGGTCTGAATTCAATTTTAAGCTTCCAGCCCCATTGAGCATGGGATCTTTGCTACCTGCAGTCCAAGCGACACAACAACCATTAATAATAATATTCTCATTCAGCTGAAATGAAATAGAAATGCGCATTAGAATACATCGATGCTGCTGAGACAAGTGCACATAGGTTAGGAGACATTTGTAAGCACCGATATTAAAAGCCGACATTTTCACTGAAAGAAAAATATTTCCAGAATGATTTCAGCGTGTTATTCCATTCACGTGTGAGATATTTATATTTTTGAACGAATGACTGAATCTCGTCTCAATAAATCATACAAAGAGTGCCCACTAAAATAAACATATATATGAAGAAGAACATGTGAAAAAGAGACAGACCCATAGAGGCGTACACAAGACATGCAATTAACACATGCACATGTGTGGCATGCTAAAGAGCAGAGAAGAGGGGACCAGTACCTATGCCCACAGACACACTGTAGGTCCGGCCTGGTGGCAGGTGAGGTGGTGTGGAAAAGTAGAGGGGGGGTGGGAAACAAGGACAAGAGCAAGTTAAACCAACAAACGCCTCACCAATTGCAGCAGTCGCAAAAATGACGCTGGCTCGTGCATTACGCTGGCAGCAGAGCAGCCTCGGCGCACAAATTCCCAGCAACCCAGAGCTCAATAATGCTACTCGCCTACGCAGTGATGCACACTGCTACCCTACCTGGCTTAGACTCTAAAAGGACGACACCACCCAAAATACCCCGAGCTAGAAATGCTCCGATACGTGCATTGTCTTTGTGCTGTTCGCTCTTTGGTGTTCTCTGGTCTGACACTGGTGAGACTAGGCCCGAAAGAAGGCTGTCTCTGGTGTAGACCAATCAGTCTCAAGGACAATGCCATATATTATCATAGCGTGCTTTGTTTGCATGTTCACCACAAGTGTGGTTATTGCAGACTTGATCACTTGCAAAAGGTTCCTATTTGGTGTTTGAACGTCTCAACACCTGTTTTATTGCCAGAAAGGGTAACACCTGTTCTTATTTTTCATACTTTGATACTAGCAAAAAAGGTCCCATTTTGTAGCTATTGTCTTGTAGATTTATAACTCGGCTGTTTGTCCAGGGCTGCCCCATCCGAGTATGAAGGTTTGTAATGAGAAACAATAGACTTTAGAATCTCTCACGTAGACATGCCCACCAAAGCACGTGATAGTGACATCAATGCGTGGGAGTTATGTCACATTGATGTCCTTCAATTATTTTTTCTTGTACTTAATTCAGCTAAATTCTATACCTGAAATAAAAAAATTGTATGAGAATAGGTTTTCCCCTTTTTTCTGGCAACAAAACAGTTGTGTTAAGATGTTAAAACATCAAACTGAAACCTTTTACAAGGAATCATGTCTGCATGAACCACAATACTTGTGGTCAGAATGCAAACAAAAAACATACATGCATTGTCTTTGAAACTGATTGGTCCACGTCAAAAGGCGTCCTCTGGTCTAACACACATCTACCAATAAAACAACACCGTGTAGTTTTATTGTTAGATGCGATAGTGCTGCCCCCTCTTGTTTGGTAATTGGAATCTCGGAAACAGTTCCCTTAAAATCACTTCCGTGGTCCATTCTTTTACTCTCAGGGTGGGGGGGGGGTTTGAGTTTTGTTACTTGAGTGTGTGCATCACTGGCAACGCATCACCACCAAATGATTAGTAAAACCAAGCTATACGCTGCTATACGAGAGATCTGATTTGGATTATTCCAAATTAAATAAATATCAATAAAAAGTCTTGCTTTTCATTATCTATGCTTCAAACTGAAATAATTTGAGACAGAATGGGATACACAGTCCGGCCATGAATCTACAAGGCTAAGAGTCGTTTGCTTTTTAGATTGCGTCTTCCTTAAATATGTTTTGCAAAGCCTGCCTTGGGACAGCACAGAACCTGAATGTCGATTTAAACCCCAAGGATTGCAGGAATTTGACTTGAAGTGCAACTATTGCCAAGGGGCGAGAGGTGTGGTGATGCTGCTGCTGTTGGTGCAGCTGACAAAGAACCCACCAGGAAGACACCACAGCCCCGACACTTCCAGAGTCTTTAACTTCCTCTCCAGCTCAGCGACTCGTGTGCCCAGGATCCTGCACAGCAACAACGTTTCAGGCCAGGACATTTCTAAAGCTCCTCACTCCCACCCTTTGTACCAAGAAGCAGACAGAAGATTTTGGATAATATCTGACTGCAATTAATTTCCCCAACAGTGAGCAAATTACACAAACGAAGGCTATTCAGTTTAATGTGCATGAATGACAAATAGCTGAAAAATTATAAATCACAATTTTAATTTATAAAGCATGGCGTTTTTGTTGTTACTGGTCTTACTTATTTTATTGCGGTTGATATTTTTTATATAATCTTATTTTTAGACTGTTGCGACATTAATTTAGTTTGAGACATGTCGCTGGTTCATGACAAACACTGTATTTATGCAAACCTGTTTTTGGACGTTTCATTCTGAGACCAACAATATTGATGTACTACATTGGAGATGAGGGTCTTGATCATGATATTCAATCACCAAAAAATAACTTAACAAACAAACTCTTCGGTATCCTGACCTCCAAATTACATATGTCCTCCGTTCTTGTAAAACATTTTTAGACGAAAAGTGGTCACATTTATATTAAATTCTAGACATGATTGAAAATAGTTCAATCGTATAAGTGAGTGAGGGAGAAGGGTAGGAGGCTACAGGACCGAGAAGGTGAGATAACACTAAAGACAAAGTGAGAATGAAGAAGCGATATTCATTCGACATTCATTGATGGGCGGATGGACTGCGTATTTGCGCGCTGTACTTGTTGGTCTTGCGCTGGTGCTGTAGGGCCATGTTCTTGTCGTGGATCGTCTCCAGCAGCGCGAGGGCGAGCGAGCGCAGGTCTGACAAGGACTGCTGGGTGAGCGGGAGGCACGGGGACCGTTCCTCCGCGAGCATCTCCTGCACTGTACCCCCCACAAACACGCCACATGAGCAATGTAGCACACCATACCACGGGGGTCACTCCCAAATGCACTTCATTATCCCATTATTGCTTTGCACATTGCGTTTGGATGACGTGACACAAAAGGGTTTATTGCAAGACCACGGGCTACGAAACCCGGACAAGATTAGCTTAATGAGCTACGCAGCTAACGCAGCTTCTCATTTACGATCCTCGAATGCACAAGGATGGCTGCCAACACGACACTGCTGCTTTTTAACGACTGCTAGGAGGCGCAATTAATGACCATAATTGTTAGATGTTAAGCCAAACATCTGTTTCTTTATTCTTGCCGAACTATGCAGATTTACATAATTCAGGACATGTGGTTTGGCACTCAGCAGCTTGTGTGATGTGTGTCTATTCTAGAGGCTGGGTGGGGAGGGATGTGGATGTCTGGGGTAGCTGTGTCTCAAGTACCTTGCTTGGCTGACAGGATGCCAGTTAGTCCACTGCTGCCAACTTTCACTGTGTTTTTAGGAGCCTTCCTTCGCTCGAGGGCCCCCTGAAGAAACATTAAAGATATGGATTTTGTTGTTGTTAAGAACACGCGTACTGTCATGAAAATCCTTGAATAAATCGTGAATGTTTAATATCTTATTAGAGTAAATTACGAGACTGCCATTGTTACTTAAATTGTTTTGCATCAGCTTACTTCTCGCCTCTCATCTCTCTCTACTCCCCTGTCGGTAGACTCCAGAAACCAATGTCTCTTGTTGAAACCCACAGTCAATCTTTGCTCATCAGGAGATCATCGCTTCGCTCTAAAAACTCTGGCCTAGTCACCCACATAGCCGACTCTTCCCCCACTATAAATTCCATCTCAATAACTTTTTACCTTTGACTAGTTCCTACATCATGCACTCCCTCTCCGATCGTCCCCTAGAGTGTGTCCATCGTTTTGCACAGCATAAACGTAATTACATTTACACGTGACATCCATGCGACTGCTATAGAGTGCCACTCATCCAGGTGTCGTACACACCTTGTACTTGGAGATGGTGCTCTTCAGGATCATCTTCTCCTCCTGCATCTGTTTTAGCCTGTCTTGGAGATACCTGTCAAGTAGATTTCACAACTTTTAAGTGATTGTGCAAAAGTGATGAGAAATAATTATTTTTCCCAAGTGGCAAAGAACTGCGTTTAGTTTGTTGTCCTTCCCCCCGCACCTCAGATTCGGACGGTTGGCTACGTACGGTGCGAAAGAAGTTCAACATACATACCATATTTAAAGAAAACAAAACATGGAATGATGGACCAGTTAATCAATTATAATGTAGTCTCATACTCACGAAATGCAATTGAGTTACATATGCAATAATTGTTTATATTAGAAAGATGGGAATTTCCCTACGAGCTAATAAGCAGAATGAATGAGACAGACAATATAGATAAAACAAACAGTACAAATGAAGTAGACAATACAAAGGAGTCAGTACCAATAGTGTGGGAGAGAGTGGTAGTAGAGAAAAGACAGACAAACGAGGGAAAAAAATCGATTGACTCTTGACCCAATATCATAACAATTCATCACGTTGTTGAGAAAGTGAAATGTCATTCCTCCTAGAGACCCTGAAAACATGCTCTGTTGGCTTCTCCACCCAACAACTGCAAACTTTTCTCACCCCACCCAGCAATTAGGAATTATGCTATAAATTACATCGATGTCAATTTGACCAGCATCGCATCCCTGACAAGCCAAACCTAACTCCAGTAGTCCCACAGCACACCCTTCTGTTATCACACAGGATGTTAACGACCTCGCCTGGTATGCAGGAGGACGTGGGTTCAATCCCAACCCTGACACCTGCTGTATATTTGGAGTTTGCATGTTCTCCCCATTGTCATGTGGATTTTTCTCCAGGTCCTCCGGTTTTACCCCCCACATTTAGAAGCATGCATTTAAGAGTATTTGGTTGCTGTAAATTTCCACATAAGACACTTTGTTGAGCTATCAATTGTGGCCAGGTCACTTCTGAGAAAAGAGATCTATAGCTCAGTTGGCTTTACCTGGTGAAATTAAAACTTTAGTTTAGTTGCCAAGCCCAGCAAACCTGTTCTCCATGCAGAGGGCATCGACGTCCACAATCCGGTTCTCGTGGCCACCCAACACCTGGTTGAGTTCCAGGTTGAGGCGCTCAGCCTTGGCCTTGTGGAAGGCGTGCTCCGTGCGCATCTCCTCCAGCTCGTCCAAGGCCGCCTGCAGCTCCCTTTCCTGCCTCTCGGTCTACACAGAGAGTGATTCGGAGGCCGTGTGGAGACTCAAGTGTTGTAAGGCAGTTGATCAAGCATTAGCAGTGTAACACTCGGCAAGTTGGAACGCCGTTGATTTCCAATGGTGCATTGTTAAGTAAATGTCTGAAAAGTTAACACGTAACACCTGGGTTCCTGCGAGCAAACATTTGATACTGCACATGGCCTTCAAGTTAACCAAGCCTGGCACAAGCGCTGGGGTTACGAGACCTTCACTTTAGTGGCAATTTGTGGCCGTTGTTGTGTTCAAGCCTTGTGGGGAGTGGTGGCACAGTGGGTAGTGCACTGCGTTGTGAACCCAGCGAACTGAGTTTGATTTACATCAGAAAAGGTCCTCCTCTGTATCAACTCAATCTTACATTATGAACTGGTGCAGTGTATAAAAGTCTGCAAGATAGAGACAGTGGCAGCCAGGCGTGGTGCTAGCCACACCACCCCCTCGTGCGCTATTCTGGCCTTCATAAGCGCTCGCTAAAGCACTTCCTCCAACGCTCTGTGTAGGCTACACGAAAGATCTCTGTGTGTGTTTTGATTGTATCAGGCCCTGCAGTTACCTGCTCTCGCGCTGTCTCCAGCTGCTGGACGAGATCTTCTCGTTCGTGCGCCGGGAAGTGACGCGCTCCGACCTCCTCGTCTCCCAGGCGCTGTCGGGCTATCGTCATGCGCAGGAGCTGAAATGGAAACATGATTCACAACCACCATCTGCCATTGTCTTGAAGAAGCAGTATTTATTCCCAAGATTTCTTGGGCTCCAACTATACTTTTAAAAGTATACCATTGAAGCTGTCTTGCAAAACAGATTGCATTTGCTTGGAGCAATGACACTGATGCACAAGTGTGAACCAGGATTCACCTTAATGTCTCCCTGTGCCTCAGACAACCTCTGCTTCAGCTCCTTGCTTTCCTCCAGGAGGCGTTTGTTCTGCTCTCGCGAGTCACTCAGCAGCTGTGCAAGGTTTGCCTGCGAACCGGAAGGTGAAAACTAATGGTGTAAAGAACACATTAATGCCTTTATTATCACTATCAGTCACAATACACTGCTTGATGAAGGCCTCCCCCATATGACGTCCATCTTTTGTGGTCTTGCGATGAAAAAATTCATCGAGCTCTGACACATGAGTAGAGCTCATCGCCCTGGATGTTCTCTTGAGCGTGCTCGCTCCTGTAACTCTGTGGAACTCTGAGTGTTACCGTGCGCACAAGGGAGTAATACTCTAAAATGTTCATAGTTATTTGTTGTACTTAATTCGGCTACATTCTAGACCTGAAATAAAAAAATGTATGAGAATGTTTTCCCCTTTTTTCTGGCAACAAAACAGGTGTTAAGATGTTAAAACACCAAACTGAAACTTTTTACAAGGAATCATGTCTGCATTAACCACAATACTTGTGGTCAGAATGCAAACAAAAAACATATATGCATTAAATGGTGACTTAAAGCAATCGTGACTCGCTATATGTTTTCACCTGATGACGATTGCTTGTGTTGCGATCGAAACGTCGTGATAATTTTATTATCTTTCTATCTACGCAGCTTTACGGAAAGACCCAAAGAATACATATATGCATTGTCTTTGAAACTGATTGGTCCACACCAAAGACAGCTTTCTTTTGAGATCCACAGAATATAAATGTTCGTATTCTTACATTTCAAAATCCATTGCTTTAGGACCATCTCTTAGGCTATCCTGACATCCAAGCCTACAAGAATTGGTATTCCGAGTCATCCAAAGTAAAAACGCAAGTTCAACCCTGTTTAGCTTCCAAGATCAGAGGAGACGAAGTCATTTGGTGATGGGAAATATAAAAGTTGAAAACTTTTCTGTTACGATCCTTAAGCAAAGGAAACGCACACATAAATTAACACCAATCGTCGTTAACATTTTAACAGAGAAGTTTATGGTACCTGATTCCGTTTTTCTGGAGGAAGAGTAGGGTCGCCCTCCTGAAAAAAAGCAATAAAACCCATCAGAATAACAAACGCACAGGTAACAGTGTTTTGATCAACTGTGACGTGAGCCAGATGATGGCCCTTGGACAGTGCAGATGTTGTGCTGCGCATTGACGCGTGCATTTGTGTCGCGTACCACAAGCTCCCGGTACTTATGCCGCACTGCTTGATGTTTCTCCCGCAGCTGGTTGGCCATGAGGCGGTACTGGTCGCGTTCTTGCTGACATGAGTCCAGCTCCTTGGACAGAATTAGCAGTGCCTCTTTCTTGCTCTCCAGCTTGCGCTTGCACACCACGTACTGGAGCGGTCAGAGCAGGGAAAATGGGTTGAAGTAACAGCTGGCGGATGTGATATTGATTCGATATTTACACTGAACGGATTAACCCGGATAATGTGAAAAATCAGCTCGTGTGACTTTCCACCAGTCTATCGAACTACAATCCATTTTCACGTGACAATGGCAAGCCACTTTAACAAAGCAACTATAAGTACAACTTCTAGCTCTCGAAAATAGGTGAATTGAAAGGAAGTTAGAAATGTACTTTAAAGCTAGGGTAACTTACTTCCAAGTTCCAAAAAGGACATGTGATAAATGTAATCAGGAGGAGGTTGCAAAAGACTGGACAGACATTTAGTGGCACTGAAGAGGTTGGCAATCAAGGGGATGACATAAAATAACGACATGTCAGTGGTGGTGAGACTGTCAGAGCGGTCCTTGAAGGATATTGTTGACTGTAGCAAGGGGAATACCTAAAGCCAGATGATGACGAGACTGACTTCAACAGAAGGAGCAATCGTAAAGTATGGTGACATCATCAGCATTGGCCATGTTGCCTCGCCACGCAGTCGAAATACTGTACTGTAATCCGATCTGCCTCTCACTGTAAAAAAAATAATCTTAAAGCCCCTGAGCATATCAGATTGTGCCACATGCAATTTAAAAGCGCAGCTGAAAAGCTAATTTATTAAGTAAACAAAAAAGAGGGCGTGTCTTGCTCGGTCGTTAAGTTGCATGTTACACGTGTTTTATTTAGAGTTGTCTATTACAGCCTTGTGGTCTAATTACTCCCTTTATACGTTTTCAGTCACAGCAACCAGCTCTTCCAGTCAATCCTGTCTCGGTGAGTTACGTTTCAGTCGTAGTGGTACATTCACCATTGCTGCATAGGGGGTTTTATGCAAATGGTTACGTGTGTAATGACAATTACTGTTTACATCAACAGCATACACATTTCACACATTCTCAGATCTGCCCTATTAATAGATACTGACATGATGCATAAACCATTAGCATCAATGACATTACCATAAAACAGTGTTTGCATTTTTTACTGGAAACCACACACGCCGTCATTTAACAACCCGCGGGGCTTAAAGATTCCAGGAACACAGGATGAGATGTTACTATAAATTATAAAGCGAAGTCCTTTGTTAATCCACTGCTGTTTGGAGGCCTCTCTCCACACCGTGTCAATAATGAAGGTTGCTTGACCATACTTCACCACGCTGGTCAACGTGGTTTTGCAATCTACCTCTGCAAACAGTAGCTCTGAACTTTTAGCCACCCAAGCTTCCCCATACTAGGTACTTATCTATCCCTACATCTATATGTATCGCGTCTTATTTTAAGAGTCACAATGTCGGAGTAAGAGGATGGTAACCCCAAGGCTCCCCAACCCGGATGGAGACTGCCCAACCCGGGCAGGCCGGACAGTAAAGCCGCAAAAGGCCTACTCGAGTAGGCCGCGGTCATGTTCACAGTCGGCATATGCCAACTTATCACCGCGAGACTCACCTCGTTCACGAGCGCTTGCCATTCCGACTCCGTTCGCTGAATTGACACCATTGTTTGCGTGTCTTTTAATCAACAGTTACGTTCCAACTAACAACGAGAAATACGCAAGACGACAACGCAGCCAGCCTCGCGTTGTTGACATTTACACGTCAGCATTGGGGGGAGGGGCGGGAACCTCGCGCCAACAGCGGGGTCCGCGCACGGTTCCTCCACTCATCACTCACTTGAAATTGCGGAGCAGGCAGTTTTTACTGCCATGCATTTGCATTGGGGTGCGTCGTGGGCGTTCAACAGAGGTGGAGTAAACGAACCGTCGGCGTTGTCACCTTGCCCCCCGCACTCCCCCGCTTATTGGGCAGTGTTCTCCACCTGCAAGGTGCCCTCACCCTGGTGGCCTCACCCAGGTGCCCTCACCCTGGTGGCCTCACCCTGGTGGCCTCACCCTGGTGCCCTCACCCTGGTGGCCTCACCCAGGTGCCCTCACCCTGGTGGCCTCACCCTGGTGGCTTCACCCTGGTGACCTCACCCAGGTGCCCTCACCCTGGTGGCCTCACCCTGGTGCCCTCACCCTGGTGGCCTCACCCTGGTGGCCTCACCCTGGTGGCCTCACCCTGGTGACCTCACCCAGGTGGCCTCACCCTGGTGGCCTCACCCAGGTGCCCTCACCCTGGTGGCCTCACCCTGGTGGCCTCACCCTGGTGGCCTCACCCAGGTGGCCTCACCCTGGTGCCCTCACCCTGGTGGCCTCACCCTGGTGGCCTCACCCTGGTGGCCTCACCCAGGTGCCCTCACCCTGGTGGCCTCACCCTGGTGGCCTCACCCTGGTGGCCTCACCCAGGTGCCCTCACCCTGGTGGCCTCACCCAGGTGCCCTCACCCTGGTGGCCTCACCCTGGTGGCCTCACCCTGGTGGCCTCACCCTGGTGGCCTCACCCTGGTGGTTTCACCCAGGTGCCCTCACCCTGGTGGCCTCACCCTGGTGCCCTCACCCTGGTGGCCTCACCCAGGTGCCCTCACCCTGGTGGCCTCACCCTGGTGCCCTCACCCTGGTGGCCTCACCCAGGTGCCCTCACCCTGGTGGCCTCACCCTGGTGGCCTCACCCTGGTGGCCTCACCCAGGTGCCCTCACCCTGGTGGCCTCACCCTGGTGCCCTCACCCTGGTGGCCTCACCCTGGTGGCCTCACCCTCGTGGCCTCACCCTGGTGGCCTCACCCAGGTGCCCTCACCCAGGTGCCCTCACCCTGGTGGCCTCACCCTCGTGGCCTCACCCTGGTGGCCTCACCCTGGTGCCTTCACCCTGGTGCCCTCACCCTGGTGGCCTCACCCTGGTGGCCTCACCCAGGTGGCCTCACCCAGGTGGCCTCACCCTGGTGGCCTCACCCTCGTGGCCTCACCCTGGTGGCCTCACCCAGGTGGCCTCACCCAGGTGGCCTCACCCTGGTGCCCTCACCCTGGTGGCCTCACCCTGGTGGCCTCACCCTGGTGGCCTCACCCAGGTGGCCTCACCCTGGTGGCCTCACCCTGGTGGCCTCACCCTGGTGGCCTCACCCAGGTGGCCTCACCCTGGTGGCCTCACCCTCGTGGCCTCACCCAGGTGGCCTCACCCTGGTGGCCTCACCCTCGTGGCCTCACCCTGGTGGCCTCACCCTCGTGGCCTCACCCAGGTGGCCTCACCCTGGTGGCCTCACCCAGGTGGCCTCACCCAGGTGGCCTCACCCTGGTGGCCTCACCCAGGTGGCCTCACCCAGGTGGCCTCACCCAGGTGGCCTCACCCAGGTGCCCTCACCCAGGTGGCCTCACCCAGGTGGCCTCACCCAGGTGGCCTCACCCTGGTGCCCTCACCCAGGTGGCCTCACCCAGGTGGCATTTAGTGCGCCCCCCCTCTCACCGACAAAACACAAATGGTGAAAACACCCCCCACCCCCCCCCCCCCCCCATCATCGTCATGCTGTCAACCCTCAATGGTTTTTAATGCGTAGCGGCCCTCACACTCTGGCTGAACGATTAATCGAAATAGCAATTTGAAACATGGCATGTTCTGTTTACGTGACAACCCTTACTAGTTGGCTGTCGGGTGGTGGCGAGTTTAATGTTGGCACATTTCTATATTTACGCGATCTAACCCAAAAAAACCTGTATTGTGGATGATATTGGTCGCGAAAGCCTCCTACATGTTCAATTGACCACCCTATCCTGCCAAACATCTTGGCCCAGACATTCCTTCTCCTCGCGTTCCAATCTGGCGCTCCTTCTCTATGGCGAGATCTTAACTCCCTCGCCTGGTATACAGGAGGTCGTGCGTTCGATCCCGACCCTGACGATGCCTGCTGTATATTTGGGGTTTGCGTCTCTCTCTCTCTCTCCCCCTGGTCGCATGGATCTGTCTTCGGGTCCTCTGGTTTTCCCTCCAAGATGCGTTTAAGAGTATTTGGCTGCTATATAATTTCCACACGATAAGCCACTTCGTTGAGCAATCTTTTGTGGCCAGGTAGCTTCTTTAAAAGAGATCCATAGCTCAGTGGGATCTTAGCTGGTAAAATAAAAAAAATTGTTTAGTTTATTGCTGCTGCTCACCTTGTCTTGGATACTCCCGTCCCAGCATTATTTCCTTTCCCCGGTCATTTGGCTCTGCCTGACCTTTTGCAAAACTGACTGGACTCTCCCTCTCGTGATGTGCCACGGGTAAAAGTTTTCTTGTTATCACGAACGGGATGATAATAACAATAATAGTTTTCGCGGTTCCAACAGCTGAAGCGGATAATAGGAGATGCAGATAATAGGAGCCATGGGTAAGATGCGTTCAAATGCATGTATTACTTATACAGGTTGTATGTTTGACTAATGGTGCCAACAGCAGTGTGCAAACATGACAGAAAAAAAAATATTAACGAGACGTGAAACAAAAAATAACCAAAACATTTACAGCACTCATGAATCAGGTGAAAGCCCTAACCTAACACAACATTGCATCGTGTGCAGGGGAGACTGGGGCAGTTTAGGGTGTAAGTAGGTACGTGAGCCTTAAACGAGTACCTGGTGCGATGTGTAAACATGAGCACTGGGGGAGACAAAGGCGGCCGGGCGTGATGCTGGCCACCGACCAATCCCACGTGTACCCTTTTGTGGCATTCCACGTGTACCCTTTTGTGGCACCTAATAGGTGCTCACGAACAGCATTTGCCCCAACAGTTTGTTAGAGGCTACACAGTGGCTCTGTACCTTTGTGAGTTCGCACATGCATGTTAGTGTGTCTTTGTGTATGTGTGTGTGTGTATCGGAGCGTAATCTGGAGTAGGGGCCTTGTGTGTCGGTATCCCAGGAAACATGCAACGTTGGCCCAACGTCAACCAACGTTTGGTCCACGCTGCAAAATTTGTACTGGGCATCTCGTAACATCCACCAGATGTCACTCTTGTCACGGCTATGTTGGAATTCGTACTTATACTCGACAATAATCCTATATGCGTATTGCAATGTCTTCATCGTTGACATACTGTGAATAAAACTGTAACGAGCATTGAGCTTTAATCTAATTAATACGCAATGTGAAATGTAATTGCCTCCGACCAAGTCACCTGGAATGCGACCGATTTGGTCAGATCTTGGAAGAGTAGCAGACTTTGAGCCTGTAAAAGTATTCGGCTGTGTGGCCACCATTCACGACCTGGTTGCCATCGGGCTGCGGGGTCACGTCGTTGGTATCAGAGGGCAGAGCAGCAAAGTCTACTTCTAAGCTCTGAAATGTATTCCCACCTCCTTCATAAACTCGAAGTGACCAGCGTGGCGAAGCATGGCCAAACGCGGTCTTCGTTTAGCAGTAGGGAAGGCCTTTTGACAAAGGATATTTTTAGGAAAGGGCACATGCAGTCTGTTACTCGTGGGACTGAACTGTGCATTTTCACAGAATAACTGTTAATGTAACCAATCGTCTCGGGTGAAAGCAGTCCAAGATTTAATAATAGACCACCATGAGCAATAATGCAATAATTTCAGTACAGCTAAACGGGCTGTACTTACTTTGAAACTGAGTTGAGTACAGTATTTGTGTAACGCAGAGCACAGCGTGTTTTGCGGTTGAAATAAACACAGTAGCTGCATTCATAGAGGATTTAATTGAGGCCCTTTTGAAATAAAGGTAATTGCAGGTTAGGCCGCTTTCTGACCATACCAATGCCTATTATGAAAGTTAGCCGATCATGTGGCCATTCCATGCGTGGTGCATGGCCTCTGCATGTGGTCACGGGGTTGTGCCAGGCACTGCTGTTGTCGAGTTGGGACCCTCCTCTACAGAGTTAGGAGAAACAGGTGCCTTGGTCAATTCACTGCTGGCTGAATGCCTCCTAAAAGCAATGTAACAGTTAATCTCGCTCCTTGTACCGTAACGAAATTGTTCTACTACCACGGTGGACATCTTCTTGGGCGTGTTTCGTCCTTTGATTATGAAATGATGATGATTTGGTGATTCAATGATCTCGCCAAATATAAATATGAATTTAAGTCCATCAACCCATGAGCTTTGCAGACCATTCCCAATTAAGCAAACTATGGAGCAGTTTCAACCTTTTAGGTTTTGTCAGCAGAGATTCAACATTTTCGAAGTGTATGTACCATGGTAGAAATAATAAAAAATACTTGTATTCTTCTGGAAAAAACACATTTAATACCAACCTAAACGAGTGTAAACGTTCAAACCATAAAGTCAGCTCTGCTAAGACGAGCAAAGTGGAGCAGTGCTAATCTCAGCTGGTGGCCCGGCGCTGAACCAGTGGTGAAAATTCCAATATAAATCTGTCTGCAAAAATCGTAAAAATAATTCATAATAGCTAAAGTATGTGCCTAACTACATTATGAAAAAAAAAACACATCCCTGTAGGGCATCTGATCTTCTTCACAACGGTATTATTGTTGTGTCTCTACTCTCGAACGTGATCTCGCTGAATGTAAGACACAACGTGAGAAGGTGCACATTCTTTGATTTTTTTCCCCCAACGTAAACTACTTGAAGGGTAACCCTTCCATTTTGCAGTCTGCTTGTGCCCCTAATCCCAAACCGCGGACTGTCACGGGAGGTCTCGCGCCAGTTACTTTAACGACTTTGCCGCCACGCTGAGAAACGGGACTCGTGGTCGCGTGCGGTAAAACACACACATACATCAACCATG